ACCGCCGCCTTGCAGTTGGGTTTCTAGGCCAAACTTGCAGCCGGAAGTCGGCTGACTGACCTGGATTTCGCTAATGATGCCACCCTGCTAGCGTCCAGCTTTGATGACCTGCAAACCCAAATATTCACAAGTTGTATTTCTGGCAAGAAGGCGGCTTCCCTTGCGATAAGCAACTGTCGACTTAAGGTGGAGAGTTCCAAATAACTCGGAGCGAAGTTTGTACCAAATTGAAGGAATGGGAGCAACACCACTTCCCTGATCGATACTGGTCCTAGGATTTGCGCAATTTTTAAAGTGCGTGGATCTGACGCTATATCTCAATCACCACAAAGATCCGCCTTTAGAAAGCACCCATCCGGTAGCTCCATCTGTATGGCTATGGATGGTGACCTGTACGCATAGAAGGCAACGAAAACTGGGCGTTCGGTCACCGTTGCTTGAGAAGTATCCTTACAGTTAAATGTAGACAAAGGCTCGAATGATGCAAATCGCAGTCGCTGCGCTTAGGCAATCCCTGAGGAAAGACTGAAGTGGGTTGGACGCGCTCGCCGTAACCCCCGACCTGAAGTTGTCGAGGTCAGCACAAAGCCCGACTCAACACTTTGCAAAGGCATGGGTATGGCTGGTGGGGATTTTGTAATCAATCTCCATCACCAGAGGGGAACGGCTCCATTTCCGCTGGCGAACATTTCCACGCTGAGGTACAATACGTGACATCATAAGGCCGGCCAGATCAAGCGTGATCCTAGCCGTACGAAGTACGAGTAAAATTGCGTGAAAAACTATAACAGATGGCGGTGAAAAAGATGCAAAAACTAAAATTTCCATAATAACTATCACTTTCACGGATACGTCGCCATGCACTTACGCCAACAATAGGCATCAATATCAAAAGCCTGCAGCTAAGTGCGCGGGTGAACGGGAAGAACAACCGGGGTTAAAACATACGTTTGTGCAGAGTCCTGATCTGCCTGTTCATTCGAAGGTTATACTTTGAGGTAACAAACACGTGCACCGGGGACCTGTACTAAGGGTTTATGAGTTTATAAGAAACCGTGACGCCTGACAGGTGGATTCGGCGCGCAGCACTTACCACGAGGACTGTGTGACAAAGGTGTTATAACACCTTCAATTAATTAACAGACCATGATCTATGTTATTGTACACATTGCACATAAAGATCCCCATCCGATGACGGAATGTTGCGACTACCCAGACGTTCTGCTGACTGATGAGCGAACAAATCGGACGAGAGGCAGTACATTAAGCTTCCTCGACGAATTCCATGTTGCGGAAGAGGTAGGGGAACCAAGACGTGCAGGAGCATGCAGGGTGCGGCTAAACAAATGTTTGAAAACGACCGAAAATGTCGTCCGTACAGGTGTTACAGGCACGACTTCCCGGGACTTAGCAGCAGTTCGCAGGTTTGACTTTAACGACAACAATAAAGTGGCTATTCTGCGGTGTCTGGAGCAGACCCCACAGATACAACTTGTGCTGTATCAACATTTGGACACAGTGCAAATTGATGGAAGTGTGCATTAGGCGGCATGTCAACGCGAACAAAAGTCGACAGTCAGCATATGCTCGAAAGTCATTTGACTGCTGGGCAGTTGCAAGCTAGGTCAACGACTACAGAAACCGGCGTCATACAGAGGCAGAAGTCAGACAAAAAACCCTTCACCTAACGCTGATAACAATAAGGTTTTGCAGGAAAACGCGATCGACATTACCACGCCAAACTGTGTGGGAACGACACACCGGACCAAGCTTCCACAGGTGCAACCGCTAAACCGACATACAATATCGATATACGGGGATAAACAAATAAAAGGAGGTACGGAATGAAATGAATGCTGGATGATATTCATGCAAGCAACGGCGTATGCCATTTTATCTAAAAACGGTATCCATATTCTTCAGCTTATAAGGTGTATCACTTCTCGACAGCAGTGACTGTCGTTTTACAAGAATGCGTAACAAAACACGTATCAGTCCCTGGTCTGCGTTTGCTAGAGGTATGACGGTTCAAGGAATATTTCTGTCGTCACATCATCAGAAACTCATGACGCCCAATTATTTGCCCAAAGCTTCTGTTCGGGACACGCCGCTTTGTCAACCATTGAGGACAAAGCGGAAATGGTGAAACGCTGTTGGCAAAACTGTCGACGACATAAAGAAGCCAGAAGTTTAGAAAAGTGAGGTCAGGCCGAAAAATCCTTACGCCAGAACTCAAGGTCGATGCAAAAATAGACTTTGTACACATAAAATGCCTGAACAGAGAGCTTTGAGCGCTCAAAAAGTGAACCAATTTTAATACAATAAATGCCATCCTGACCGATTTATTACCTTAACTTGAAATTATCCTGACAAGAACCACCCTGGCCGAATTAACAACAAAATGTACTAAAGTGCCTATTTCAAAGTTAGTATGAATGTTCGCACGGGTGTACGGGGCGCGAAACCCTTAACAATGGGAAATTAAAAAAGCGAGATGTATGTTCTGTGCGTGCGTTTAGTGTTATGGCTATTATTTGCGTTTATGAGTTTGTGAGCTAGTGATGCGCAGCTTGGTGCTTGGGTTTAGACTGTATGGTTTTACCGCAGGTTTCCATGAGGGTTCATTGGCCGAATAGACTCATGTCACGGTGGATTGCCCTTGGGCAGTGGTTGCAAGTGATGCGGGTGTGACCGGAATGCGTCGGACCTGCAGGTGATGGTTTACCAGTTTCACTGCGTTCGCACTGGGAGGAGATCAAGATTAGGCCTGTCCTATTGTCGACGCGGAAGTTTTCCATATCTTTCAAACGGTTCACGTGGTAGATGCGCTGGACAAACATGGGAGCAATATCGGATTCTGGCAGGCGTTGTCGTAACTCGTACCAAAACAAATGCCAACACACGGGATGGTGTGGCAGATACATTCCCGGTGTACTTTAAGCACACTGGGACGTGTGCCGCCCGCCCCATTGTTGTTATTCGTTAAAATCCTGATCATTTGCTGCGTGGACCTAGGGGCGTCGAGTGGAGCGCTAAGGTGTGGGCTCAACCGTGCCGTATACCTGCGCTCTCCGCAGCCTCCCGCCTTCTTGGCTCTATCTAGAATTGGGGCCCAGATGGTGGTGAAGGTGAGATTGCGGTTGATGCTGTGTACGTCTACCAGCACTATAAACTAGATTACGCACACATAACCGCCTCTTCTCCATGCTGCTGCAGAGCACATGGTGGACATCGTTGGGTACGACTGTTGAACTGCCGGGGACGTTGGTACTAATAGCAGTCGTGGATATGAATGACATGGAGTCACAAGCTGTGACGGTGGGGGTCTTCGTCAATGCCGTGTCTGCCGGCGCCGTAAACGTCGTGAGCGATCTGGTGCTGATGGTCTAGGTGGCGACGGGTGGGGGATATTGAGTGTGTTAACCAGTTATGATTATTGCGGCGGCGGCGGCGGTGATGATGATGATGATGATGGTGGTGGTGGTAGTAGTAGTAGTAGTAGTAGTAGTAGTAGTAGTAGTAGACGTAGTAGTAGTAGTAATAGTAGTAGTAGTAGTAGTAGTAGTAGTAGTAGTAGTAGTAGTAGTAGTAGTAGTAGTAGTAGTAGTAGTAGTAGTAGTGCAAAAGAAACTTAGCCCACGCGTGCGTCGATTCGTCATCGAATTTACGTGGTGAATATTTACATCACCGGGACCGATCTCGATAACAGCCAATCGGAGCTAGTAATTTAAAGCGCAGTGACTTGTCAAAACCTAATGTGCTTTTCTACAAGAATGGGCAGTGTAATCATAAATCGAAAATGTCAATTATTGGGAATATTGCTGGCTCAAGTTATTTGGACTTCTTACCAAAATCATTCTCCCAACCAATCAACGAATTCGAATGTGTCGTTGACTTATCGTACTGAAAGTCCACAAATTCGGCCTCATGTGTTCCAGTCGTTGCCGCCCTTCCCCCTGCGACCAGCAGGACTTCTTCGTCAGTCAACTCGTCACTGCATTGCCAGCTGACTGGACATCCTTGGTTAACAGTATTTTATTTTTCGGGCAGGTTTTCCTTAGTTCTTCGGTGTACGTTGGTTGTTCAGTTCATTAGGTGTCGACTGGGGTGTAGGGGTGTCAGCGGTGGGTTCACGTGACGGTCGTAGTGGTCGCTGATTTGCTTGCCGGCGAGACTACGCCTAGCGTCCATTTGCTGTTACCCAACTCTCGCCTGTGGCTCCACGTAGATAGGCTTTGCTCAGCGGCCATACCAGGGGCAACCGCCTCGAACGGCGGGCTAAACCAGGTGCGGGAGGTTACTCCCGGTGCGCGTTGTGTTACGTGCACAGGGTACTGCGGACTCCGCTGGACGGTTGGTGGTATGGAACACCGTTTCGGCGCCGTCGTGAAGAGGTTTCGTCTTCGCTGTCGGTCAGCCGGTTGGTGGAACATCGCATCGACATCGTTGAGACGAGGCTCCACCTGATACGCCGTTGATCAGACGGGGGGATGAATCTTCGAATCGACATCGCAGACTCGCGCCCATCTGGTGCACCGTAGGAGACCGCAAGCTTACGGCAACGCCGTAAGCCAATGGCAAATTCGAGTCGTTCTTTCACTGCCAAACAAACTCGTGGCCCACAGTGGAGTTCGGCCGCGCCGGCACATTAAGCAGCCCTATTCAGGGACCGGACACTGCTTCTCTTCAGAGGGGGCCTGGAAAAGCTGGCCTAAAAATTGCCGGGGGAACCACGTCGTCTGCAGGCGCACCGTGGTGGCAGACGCAAAACTCACGGTTGAAACAATCAAAATCGAAACAACAACAACAACAACCATACTCATTCTCCTCATCCTATCTCTTCTTCCTCTGCCTATTCTTCTCCTTCGCCACCTTCTCCAATTCCTTCCCGTCGCCCCACCCGTAGTCACCAGACTGGCAGGGTGAGCCCGCTCACTCTGGCAGCCTGGAATATTCGTTCCCTTTTAGACAATCCGAGGTCTAACCGACCGGAACGGAGGATGGCGCCAGTGGCCCGGGAACTGGCGCGCTACAAGGTGAACATAGCCGCACTCAGCGAGACCCGATTTTCCGAACAAGGCCAACTGGAGGAGGCGGGTGCCGGCTACACCTTCTTCTGGAGTGGGCGGCCCAGGGCAGAGCGACGAGACGCGGGTGTCGCCTTCGCCATTCGGAACGACATCGTGGACGACTGCCCTGTTTGCCGCAGGACATCAATGATCGCCTGATGAGCCTCCGCCTGCCTCTCCGGGGTGGGGGCACATTCGCCACCATCATCAGCGCCTACGCTCCGAAGATGACTAACCCCGACGCCGTCAGAGACAAATTCTACCGTGACCTGCACGCCCTCTTGGCGACTGTGTCGAAGGCGAACAAGTTGATTGTCCTTGGTGACTTTAACGCCCGCGTCGGCACAGACCATACTGCCTGGAGAGGAGTGCTGGGTCCTCACGGTCTCCGCGGCTCAATCCTGTCGAACACGTTCCTCTGTCTGCCGGAGCGAGAGAAGGCCACCTGGAGGCATCCTCGGTCGCGTCAGTGGCACCTGCTGGACTATGTCCTCGTCCGGAGGCGAGACCAGCGGAACGTGCTGGTGACAAGGGCGATTGCGGGCGCTGACGGGTGGACCGACCATCGCCTCGTCATCTCGAAGATGCGTATTCACCTACAGCCTCGCAGGAGGCCACAAGGTAAGCGACCCCCAGGCAAGCTGGATGTTGCCTTGTTGTCTTTGCCCGCTCACCATTTTCATTTCAGCAATGAGCTAGCTCTACAGCTAGACAACCTTCCAATCGCTGCCGCCGACGACGCTGCCGCTGCCGAGAACGCCTCCGTGGAGAACCGCTGGTGTTAACTGCGAGACACGGTCCAGTCGCCGGGGCTCGCCGTCCTCGGTCGCGCTCCCCGCCAACATCAGGACTGGTTCGACGACAACGACGCCGCCACCAGCAATCTGCTTGCCGAGAAGAAGCGCCTACACAAAGCCTGAACGGCTGACAAAGCTGAGGAGATCCAAGGCTACGCAGACGTCAACGAGTGGAAGAACTTCTTCTCTGCGATCAAAGCTGTCTACGGTCCGCCGACGAAGGGCACTGCTACTCTCCTCAGCGCCGACGCAACACTCTCCTGACTGAGAAGACACAAATTCTACAGAGCATTTCCGAGGCTTCCTCAACCGCCCCTCCGCCATCTCCGACGTCGCCATCGCCCGTTTGCCGCAAGTGGAGACCAACGTGGACCTCGACCTCCCGCCATCTCTCCAGGAAACGATCAGGGCCGTGCAGCAGCTCTCCAGCGGGAAAGCACCCGGATCGGACGCAATCCCTGCTGAGGTCTACAAGCACGGAGGTCCCCAACTAATGGATCACCTGACTGCGCTCTTCCAGGAGATGTGGCGCCAAGGTGAAATCCCGCAAGATTTCAAAGACGCAACCATCTTGCATCTCTACAAGCGAAAAGGAAACAGCCATGTCTGCGACAATCACCGGGGTATCTCCTTGCTAAACATCGCCGGGAAGATCTTCGCTCGCATTCTCCTCAATCGTCTGAATAATCATCTGGAACAGCGCCTTCTAACGAAATGCCATTGCGGCTTCCGTCGTCATTGTGGGACCACGGATATGATCCTCGCCGCCCGTCAACTTCAGGAGAAGTGTCAGGAGATGCGGACCCACCTGCACTCTACCTTCGTGGACCTGACGAAAGCCTTCGACACGGTGAATCGTGAAGGACTGTGGAAGTTCATGCAGAAATTCGGCTGTCCGGAGCGATTCACCCAGATGGTGTGTCAGCTGCACGACGGTATGATGGCGCGAGTCACGGACAACGGTGCGGTCTCAGAGGCATTCGCAGTGACCAATGGAGTGAAGCAGGTCTGCGTACTGGCGCCTGTCCTCTTCAGTCTCATGTTCTCTGGCATGCTGATGGACGCCTACCGCGACGAACGCCCCGGAATCCGCATCGCCTACAGAACGGAAGGTCATCTCCTGAATCAACGGCGGATGCACTTCCAATCGCGCGTATCCACAACCGCCGTCCACAAACTCCTCTTCGCCGACGACAGCGCCCTGAACACCACCTCGGAAGAGGAGATGCAACGGAACATGGACCTGTTCTCCGCCACCTGCGAGAACTTCGGTCTGGTCATTAACACGCAGAAGACGGTGATCATGCATCAACCGCCACCCAACGTAGTCACTCCTACCAACGAGCCGCAAATCAGTGTGAACGGAACCCAACTCCAAGTGGTGGAGAACTTCCCGTACCTGGGCAGCACCCTCTCCCTTAACGCCAAAATCGATGACGAAGTCGCCAACAGAATCTCGAAAGCCAGTCAAGCCTTCGGACGCCTCCAAAGCACAGTTTGGAATCGCCACGGTCTCCAACTGAGCACGAAGCTGAAGATGTACAAGGCCGTCATCCTGCCGACTCTGCAGTACGGAGCGGAGACTCGGACAGTGTACACGAGGCAGGCACGCCGTTTGAACCACTTCCACCTCAGTTGTCTTCGTCAACTCCTGAGGCTGTACTGGCAGGATCGAATCTCTGACACTGATGTGTTGGAACGGACGGGAATCCTCAGCATCTACACCATGCTGAGACAAATGCAGCTGCGCTGGAGCGGCCACCTGGTGCGTATGGACGACGAGCGACTACCCAAACGACTCTTCTACGGAGACGTCGCGACGGGTTCTCGCCGCCAAGGAGGCCAAATTCGCCGATACTAGGATACTCTGAAGTCCTCCCTGAAGCATCTGAAAACTAACCCGACCAACTGGAAAGAGCTCGCCCTCGACCGACCGACCGACCTGGAGGAGGAAAGTGAAGACAGGCGCTGCGATCTATGAAGCTAACCGAATCGCCGCTGCCAAAGTGAAACGCGACGCACGCAAATCACAGTCACGCCCCGTCCGCAACGCCGACGCACAACCGCTTCCAACGTGTTCTCGGTGTTAACGGACATTCCGGGCACGAATTGGACTCATTTGACACCTTCGAACCAACTGCACCTCCCATACCGCACCAACCGCCGTCCCTTCGCCCGCCTCTTTCTCGTCCACGACGTCAACATCGCGCCCGCTCCAGTAGGTGTGGTCAGAACCTACAAACTCGACTTATCCCCCAATATCGTGCGAAGTTGGCCTCGCCAAGGTCTACGAAACTCTCTTATATTGCCACAGTTCGCGGGTGGCCGACCCTGTCCTCCTTTCTGGTCAGTTTGCCGGCGGAATGCCTGACACAACGAACATACTAGGCTGCCAGAATGACCAATGATACCCTAGCAGCCTGTGGAGAATCGGAGGATGAGGGAGGGGGGTGGAGTATTGGTTTCTCATTGTATTTCAACCGCGATTTTTTGGTCTACGAGCCCATGCCATCCTGCACAGAACGTGGTTATCGGCATTTCACTGGGATTCATGTTCTAACCTTTCGCCCGCGAGGGGTGAGCAGTGTCGCCCCTAACCAGGACAACGTAGTCATTCTAGGCGCCTTCCGAGTTCCACTGATGATTAGTACTTTCGAGAACTGTGAAAAATGAGATAGCCTTTGTCACATAAAAGACCTCCCTAGCCAATTTCGTAGGATATTTTAGTTTTGGGGAAGAATGAGGCAGAAAATTGACTCTCAAATGTGAGACACAGACGGAAAGCACACGCACTGACCAGGTATTCTATTATAATTCATCTTACCTATCGGCGCGTTTACCGTAATGTGGCCTTTAACCAGAGTCTAGCCCCAGTAAACCACAGATGGGAGCGGAGTGTCAGTTTGTGGCGGCGGGATGCAACTATCACGTGCACTAGGCTCATGCAGCAACCTTTTACTCCTACAAGGTGTACTCTCCACGGAAAGTCCCTACGTCCCATGAGTCTCCGAAAGGTGGAAAAGTCGACAGGGTACTGCTCTAGGCCAGTGGTAGATCGAACAATGCAACGGTCAACATAGATGGTATATGATAAAAACAGATTTTTTCCGAAAAAATCAACCAACGATTGTTATAAGTTTGTGAGGAACTTTGCTCGACAACGACAGTCGGACTCTGTACTGGCCTTAGCTAGTTTACTTGAGTCAGCATTTCTGAACACCACCTTTTATCGTGAAGCTTAATCCGCCCATGTTACTCCCACCGTATGTTCGTTAATCAAGCCATTTTAAACTATGGACAACGTGAACATAATAAGAACACGCTTTCCTTCCGTAACAGATCTTTCCATCTTCATTATAAACAAAATGTTTTTCTCACTGTAAGTTCCACGATCAGGTAAATGCATCAGCCTAAGACTTTTGTCACTACAGTATTTACATAATAAGACGATACTGAGTACGCTTTAGTCTTATAACTTATGTTTTCTATCGTCAGGACCGAAACTCAAGTTGTTCAAAGCGGGGTTGCTGTACAGCAATACTACTTATGAACGAGGGTCTTTTAATGTCGCCGGTCAGTGATTGGCCGCAATTCACGCTTTATCAGAAATCAAACCATGACCCACAAAAATATATTTGATGGGTGACTGTACACCACAAAAGGTTGGAGTAGGCAGAATGCTGGCCCTACCTCTTAGTAGAATAAATGTCAAAATTAACGTCTAAGTATAAAATGTTGGCCGGTGGCCCAATAAACCAGATATAAAGTGGGCCAGATTTGATGTTCTCCTTTACCTAACACAAGCAGTTCACATGTGCATCTTTGACTGAGAGCCAGAGATTAGGATAAAAACCGGAGGTGATGATACTTTGCCAATTTAATCCTGCCTACCCAAACTCGTTATTATAATTACTTATCTGATAACACACAGATACTTAAATATGTCACTGGCTGGCCGCTAATTTAGGAGCGAAGCGGTCGCTAATTTGAGGAACACAGTTTCAAAGTATCATTATATGTCCTCTTTTCTTCCTGATGCACGCAAAACTATGTCCGCGACGATGCAAATTTTTCTATGTAAAGATAGCTAAAAGCCGACCATACGAATAATGGCCGAGGAAGATAAGGTGTGCGTTAACAAAAAATATCTGCTTGGAAAGACTTTACGAGTGGAGCATAACACAACGGGAACTATTTCCACAATCCGAATGTAATCTTTCTACCTTCATTCCTCAAAACCCATTAGACCTACAGTTTTATAGTTCATTAAATAGATATTCGCCAAAGTAAAATGCATTTATTTAATTTACACGAATGTCCAGGGCTAATGCCCTGTACGCAAACGCAGCACATTTTTACAGCTTTATATGCAAAATCTTTGAATTGTCCGCACTTAAGTCAACACTTCTTTAAATGCCTCTGAGGGTGTTGACAGGGTAAAACGATCGAACAAACAGTTGGGATTTTAACAGTGAACTAGTCAAGCCCAGTCTCTAAAAACAAATAAGTGGAAGCAGTTTCTTCGTACGACGGATTCCCCAGTTAAATCCACACGAAGGGGTTACCCACACTATCTGTACTGCAAAAAACTTTTAGTATCATTAATAATTTATGTCGAAGATAAAAGATGAACCGCCTCTAGGATCGGACCAATAGCCCATCTACCAAGTCTAACCAAGTCCACATGTGCTGGCAGAATTAATATGGAATAGCATTAACACATATTTTTTCACGTGAAAAAGCATTCCTTCATTAACCACCAAATAACCTAGTTTTCAGCAAACGTAATGACCACTGGAAAACGAATGAAGCCGACGAGTCTCTTTGTATTCTACTGTACTTCCAAAGGTACAGCGTCACACGCGGCAGAATCCAGCTTTACGTTTTTAACTAACTACAAGGACTGGGATTAATGAAAATCACAAGTGTCAATGCATACGTCACACATCAAAAGACACAACGAAAACGATCTCAAGTAGCAAAATAATATAATAGCGAAATGGAATGGCAGCTTGATAATCATTATTGACAAGGCGCACCCCGTCTCCTACAGCAGGGCGGACACAGGGACGGCGACTTGCGTGTGAATTTGTTTGTAGTAGTGATGAACTTGTGCTGAATCTGCCGCACTCCCTCCTCCCTCATTCGTCTGGGCCCAATGTTAAAAGAGAGCAAAGAAGACCGGATACTAGATCGGGAGCAGTGATTGACAAAACTAAACAACCCATATACGGGGACTATGCACGCCTGGAGGAGAGTTCCGTTGAGGTGGCGTGGATCCAAACTGAGTGGAATTGACACATAGTCCACGTTGAGAAGGAGCCAGTGCAGTCCTGATGTCAGGACAGAGTTATCCCATCAGTTGACAGACCTCCAAGCCACGGTATATTAAGAAGGAGACACTGGGCCTGACTCAAATTCCGCCAGTTCACCTCAACGCATGAAACTACACCCAGGGCGGACTACGAGGCCCGAGTTTTGTCGTCAGCTAGCGGCCTTCTAATTGATTCAAGCGCGTCAGATTTATTATGGTGGGGGGTTCACTGAAGGGCCGTGTGGGTGGAGTTCCCAGAGTAGACCTCACTCTCCCCCTCCCGTTAACCAGTCCATTTTCCTGACAGACCGTCCGAGTGTTGTTGAGATTAAAGGCGGTGGCTGACATGAAGCAGCGACGACGAGGAATGACGACAGTTCTCAGGTCGCGGCTTATTCGACGGGACCCGGCCACACTTTCAAGTTTGACGAGGCTGAGATTCTCGCAAGAAATGACAACTGCACGAGCCAAGAGCTGATTGATTCATAGCCTTTTAGCCCACATTCAGTTAACAGGCGCACTGACCTCCAGCCTCCATATTCTGTGCTGAGACTTTGACTGGGTAGAGTGATTAGGCCTGTTGTGATCAAGCGGTGAGAGTGTGTGCGGCATGTGAGCTACAATCGTCAAATCAGATCCAAAGTTGAAGGGAAAGAGATAAAAGGCACTAAAATGAGGGATTTATTGTGCACAAAACCAGGTGTTGTCCTCTCAGGCGGCAGCGGCCACTGGCGACGTCAGGGCTGGTGTTGGCGGCGTCCAGTCATGCCTGAGAGCCCCTGAAATAGTGATGGCAGCCGCTTTTGTAGGCTTGGGCCAAGCTCAAGTGGTGTCCAGTCAGTGTGCGTTGTATTTGCCGAGGGGTGGTGTCCCAGTGGCTTAGGTTATGGTTGCAGGGGCAGGTGCGTTCAAGTGGCCACATGGGCAGCTGCGACTGCGCGGACGCAGGTATGCCCGAGTTGTTGGTCGTGTGACTTCAGGTCAGCTCGTCTGCGACGGCTCGCTGCAAGGGGTGAATGAACTTGAGGCAGCGAGGTCTTGAAGAATGACACCAGACCAGTCAGGATGGCTTCTCGACACAGGCCCACGAGGAAGGCACGGGGCTACCAACAGACCAAGAACAAGTTTCCCACTCGCGTAAAAATTTCCTATTTGCTAGTAGAAGCGAAGAGGCGAGTTCCAGGAAGTAGTCGCGAAGGAGGCACAATAGCTGGAACAAGAGTTTCATTAGGCTGACGTTTCGGATTTTCAATCGAATCCATCATCATAGACAGAGCCAGATAAGGGTGCTAAATTGCCCAGATGTTGCAGTATTTATAGGATCTAGTTGCTAGGCCGCTACATGCTCTGACTCTGTCTCTGATTATGGGCTCGAGTGAGAATTTTAAACGTCAGGCTAAGAAAGCTCTTGTTCCAGCTATCATGTCTCCTTCTTCGAAATTTTCTATTTCGTGTTCGTGGGACCACCGATTCATGTGCGACGCGTATGTTTTTGGATAAATTTGTGACGATGCCGTTTGGTTTACGTTGTCCTTGCGTGGACCATTATGGAGGCATATGTGGCTGAGTAGGCCTATGCGGTGGTCAAAGTACGCAGTCATCGAGGACCTTTGAGGTGGGCGCGACTGGTGTTTGACAGGTGCTCCTGGCATCGGTTAGCCGGTCTCAGCACGGCGAATTCGCAAGTGACTGATCAGGCCGCTGTGGGATATTCGTGTGCAGGTCAAATTTGTCTATTCCTGCTTACCTCTTTGAAAAGTCACTGGATTGCCCAAAAGGAGGGCCAGGTGGTTAATGCAGACCAAGACGAGCGGAAAAGTTAGGGCATCATGAAGGTCATGCCCCTTATCTCCGCACTGCCGCCTTTCATAATGTAAATTCTGAGCCGATGGTACGAGTGCAGGTAACATAATTTTGTGCTACTGAATTACTTTTTGGCTTATTCTGCAGCCAACCAGGCATTAAGTGAGAAGTTAAGCCAACGGAAACTCAGAAGAAAAAGTAGGTGCGGGAAAGATGTTTGTGGTACCACTGGAACTGAAACTTAAATGGTGCAAACTCGGCCACAGTTTTTGACATTTACTCTTCTCCCCTTCTTTGAAAGGCTCCGGCACAGTTTCTGAGAAAATGACCCTAGTGCCCCAAATGACCCAATGCAGACAGTCTAAAATGCTAAAATTCGTATTAATGTCACGTTTGGGGGGAGATGATTGTGTTTTTGAGATGCCGTCATAATAAACCAGCAGTTCCAGACTCATCCCGTCATTTGTAAATCAGTCATAGTGATTGCTAACTAAAATTAACTGGGTCCGTCTCAACCAATTAGTTCGTTACTTTTTTCTTCTCCTCTCCATCTTATCGTTTCTCCTCCTCCTCTCCCTCCTGCTCCTCCTTGTCCTCCTCCTCCCCCCCCTCCTCCTCCTCCTCCTCCTCCTCCTCCTCCTCATCATCATCATCATCATCATCATCATCATCGTATTCACAATCATCCTCACTCTCGTTCTCACAAGCTTGAACATTTTGTGTTTGTCAATGAACGTTCCACAGGGTTGCACTTGAATACTGCGAAGTAATTTCAGCGAAGATCAGCATTGAAATGCAATCCAAGGTGAAAAACCAGTGTTACTACCCGAAACCCCACCCTGAGAGTTAATCTAACACTACCCTTAAAAAGTAAGTTGGACATGAGAGATCCAGTGATGCCTTTGGAGTACTTTACAAACCTCTCCGTATTCCTCTCTTCCAATGCAGTTTTTAATTTATTAGTGCCTTCCGTGACAAACCAGACATGTAGGTAACCACGCTATGTATGGCCAAGTTATCAGGTGAACCCGTATCTTACCGAGTTTTCCGTTAAGCCAAATAACCAAATGAACAGGGGTGTAAAACTCAAGTCCTCCTGGCGCCCGGCGTAGGTTTGATTGAAGATGGCAAATAAGCCCGAAATAGTGACTGAGTTCTCTTATGTCTTTGTCCGCAATGCTTCTAGATTTTTCTTTTCGTATCTAGATTATTTAATAAGACCGAAGTTTCACAGGAAGTCACAGGATTTTCACTTCTTCCTTCTCTCTTTAAAATCCGTTTGAATCGATTAAGATTGCTATTCTTGATAAGCAACCGAACTTGTGATGTGTTTTCCAATGCTATCCACCTCCATGACTTTTTCAGTCCTCCATTTGACTGCAAAATTGACCGCTTATTGGTAAGATCATAGCTGTCCTTACCATCAGAGAGGACATCGGTAGAGATTCGGGTAGTCTGGTCCGGCGCTGGTTTAAACCTACTTCGTCTTCGGTCAGCAAAGCATAACCCTGGCCAGTAACCTGAACCAGACACAAAAAGATGCGCACGCATACAGCGCATGTAATGCCCAGACAGGATCTACCAGGTGGGTCAGACAGACATTTACCAGCGCCTTGCTAGCTGGCATTCTCCATTGCTGAATACTATGTATTTCTACGGTATTGGACACAAGCTGACCGATTAACTTCCCAAAATCTTTCGGGAATAATTGTGCGTATGACCGACTTAAGACTATCCCCAGGATTCGTGTATGCGTGATTGTTATTTATTTAACCTCGGTAGGTAGGCAGTGGTTTCCGGTCGGAACACTTACACGCCTACACTTCGAACCCTAGCATCCTTTTTTCAGCGTGCAGTTCATACTCGTGGTTTCCTAATGACTAATATTATCGTTCCCTTTTCGCCGTGCATTTCGCACTAACTATACTCATACAAGCATTATTAGCGTTTGAGATGCAATGGCAAGCCGATTGTAGGCCAGCTGGCCCTCAACCCAGTCACCGTCATCCTCTGTTTGGAATGGTGTTCTTATTACTTTATAATCTGTAACATGTAAGATTCGTTAGGCCCGTGCTGCCTCGGAATTTGTGCCAGACGGCGGGAGAACACATTCGAGGTTCACTTTTGGGGTTGATTCTGGAGAACAACTGACCAGTAGGTTGAAAGGATTAAGACTAGCTGGTGTGAAGTTTTAAAAACAAATACCCCCATCAATCTAACTAACACACTCCTATACAGTGGACGCCCTTTTTGAGTTCACAGTGAAAAACTTAAACAAGAGAACAGTAGAAATATGAAATTTCCGCTTTCATCAGCTTTTGGATTATTGGCTGCCGCCTTTTATTCCTTTCCCCCAAATAACACCTGTTTCCACCACTCTCATATTACAGATGGCTGTAGGGAAATTAGTGGGGGGAATAACAATAGGCCAGTCTTACCCATTTTTGACTAAAATATAGGTAAACACAATACTTTTATAACTAAGTGTCTTCGGTGGTAGGCAAGAGTTCAGGTTGGACTATGGGACTTTTCGAGGAAAGAGCCCGTTTCACTTGCCGTCGCCGAGATGGGTCGGGTCCAGCGTATGGGCTCAGGATGGAGCTCGTAAGCCGGTGAGATGGCAGGTGATACGTGACGCGTGGGTGCACTGCGAACAGTTGCCGTACTAAGACTGTGTGCGGTCGTTCCGAGGTATAGATGCTGCCCAGTAAATGTCGCAAGATTCGGTGGGCCTCGGAAGCCGGTTCCTGCCCAAGCACCGTCCGAAGCCTCTAGTTCGCCGACGGAGGCCGCAAATTCGCGGTAGGTGCTCGACACACAAGTCCCGTCATCTCTGTCTTGTCCAAAATCCAAGAGGGAAACTGCAGATGTCTGAGTTATAGAGATTGACGGGGGCAGGGAAAGACCATGGATAGTTTCGGATGGTCGACAGCGGCAGGTATCGGTGCCGGCTGACGCAAACGAGATGAGCACTTGGGGATTGGTACCATGGCGGTCCTCGCAGTCTCCGATTGGCCCAGAAGATGTGGACTGCGGGAAGGTATTAGAGTCGAGGAACCAGGCCGTACGTCGTAGCATGGCATCTAGCTGCCGACGGTGAACGGCGCGGTACCGGTTATATGAACAACGGCTGGAAGACTTGACCAGGACGGGCGTGTATAGCGACTTGCCAGTCTCAGAAAAGCTGCAAACGTCCTGCGAATTTGATAAGAAATGCGCAATGAAAATTAGTAAATATAAATCAAGGGAGAGCGCGCTTTTCTACCAGTAACGACTCGCAGAGTAATATGGAGAGGAAGGAGAGGTCGTAATAGAAAAATCGGCAAGGGCACAATAATGAGCATAGTTTTGATCACTTTCATTGCAAACACGACATAGATCTAATATTATTCATTGTCAAGTAAAAATAAAAATTCACCGGCCTTTTTTGCTTACAGAATGTAGTATGAGCACCGCTTTTTTTACTGTGTTGCAGTATAGAATTTGCTTAAGTAATCACATAAGAACGAGACGACCACATTAGGTCCCACAATCAGCCTGAGTAGAAAAGCGCCATTTATACGTAAACTTGACTATTTCTGGCCACGACTAACACGGTACGAGTCAGTGACCTAAGGGGTAAAGAATTATGATCAATATCCAACAGGATCTTAAATCAGATTTTCGGTCATTACTGGAGGCGATTAGATTATGATTGAAATGACTAGCCAAATATTGTTGTTTCACAGTTGGTTTCCTCTGGCAATAATATTTGACAAAAAATTCACTAGAAGTCTTCCATTTAGAGAAAATGAGGGCCATAAAAGTGCGTGTTCAAAAGAAAAGAATCGTGCAAATGAGAATAAAATTGAAAACTACTTTCGCGGGATCAAGTGAGCGTTCAGTTGCAACGCCTAGGTGCCAGTAAAACCAAATTGTTTGCAACTTAGAAAGGCGTCTCTACGGAGTGACACTCTCATTCAAACCATGAAATGGCTTGTACTTATTTTCAAGGTATGGTTTATTTACTCAATTAAGCGATTGTTCTGAATTATATCGCCTTCAGCTTGGGTATGGAGTAGTGCCTTTCGCTTACTATGCTCACTCCAGGTTTAAGCAGAGGAATTCTGATGATGACGACAAGGCTGTCTGCATATTGGACGGACGACGAGTGCATCTTTTATTAGAGGAACACACAGTGAGTGACCGATCTCATGAAATGTTGACCAAAATTCTGAAATGCGTTTTTGATTGGGAGGGATTACTTAGACGCCGTTGTAACACGGATTATCCCCCGGCATAATCCTATAATATTTTGGACTCGGCAAGATGTCAGCTTTTAAATGCACTGCTTTTCAATCTCCTGTAGATACCGTACACGGTAAAAAATGACTACTTAAGTAGCATGCCTTTTTCGCAATGATTTTCGATGGTCATATAAACTCAAATATATTTCATAGAAGATATGCATAAAATATTCTTTTTCCCCCGTTTGATAGAGAATTACGTTACCATTATATTTTATATTTGAACAAGGAGTATAATTAGGTTTTAAGAAAGTTTTCTAATTCCTGATTAATTTGGAGCCTGATCTGACGTTACATCAGTGCCTAGTGATTTTAGTCTACAAGGTGCATGCCTTCCGCGTAAGGAAAATCGTATATTCTTCTATCCCTTTAAAAAGATACCATATGGAATCCACAAAATTTTGCAATGGATCCGGACTATGTTGTACATTTCATGAGAAGCAGTGGCAAACGGGAAGGTGCGATGATGTATGAATGGACACTGAACGGTCTCAAAAATCTCATAATTAGAAACTTTTTTAAAACCTAAATACACGCCTTCTTCAAGTATAAAATATAAAGGTTACGTGAGTCTCCATTAAATGAGTTAAAAAGAATGTTTTTTATGCATATCTTCTATAAATATATTTGAATTTATAAGACCATCGAAAAGCAGTGCGAAAAAGGCATACTACTTAAGTAGTCATTTTTTACCGGGTACGGTTTCTACAGGAGGTTGACAAGCAATGCATTCAAAAGCTGACATCTTGCCGAGTCCAAAATATTATAGGATTATGCCGGGGGATAATCTGTTTTAGAACGGCGTCTAAGTAATCCTTCCCAATCAAAAACGCATTTCAGAATTTTGGTCAATATTTCATGAGATCGGTCACTCACTGTATGAGAGAAGTGCATTACCAGAGTATGAGTTTCAGGCCACAGACAATACATTTACTATGGACAAGGTTTTCGTCTACCTTGCCGGGAAAATTCCCGTGCACGCTAATACGTGACCTTTCGTAAAAAATACTAAAATTCTCACAGACTTAAATTTTAGTGCAAACTCTTGGGGGCGTCAAGCGTAATATTCTTTGAAATGATGAGATGATACAAATCTTAGTCAAGCAAACCTACCAATACATGGGCCATGGACAGACGCACTTTAATGCAATTTTCAAAATTTGCGACCATTACAGAGTTGCTTATAGCATTCGTATGTTCAACCTCACGAACTTGTTTAGATATTTCAAAGACACAGATGCCAGATTTACATTTGTCGGTTTAGTGAGGCAAAAGGCCGGTGACTTCGGAGTATCGAGTAGGATCATCAACGTCCTGCAGGCATTTAGGCGTAGTTCTATTAAAGGATAAATACAATTTGGATTTCATGATATTCCTGAATTTCATGGATTCCGGTAGATCATCATCACCAACAATCCTGCCAACTCGATTCAAGGTGTACCGAGCAATGCGCTGCAGGCAAAGGCAATACGCGGTTATTTATTAATTTATAAGCGGCGTCCCTAATAATTTCTAGAATACGCCTTCTTCACATTTTCGCCTTTCTTTAAACTTTTACGCAATACAAATACTACATATTACTTTACAAAGGGTCAGTTTGTTATTGTAACCAGTTTGGTGGTGCTTGGGGTACAATTTCCGTGTTGTGAGGGTTTTTGTCCATTTTTATTTACTCACATCGGCGAACGGGTGAAATAACATCAACAACATTTTTCAAAACTTCGTCAGATAGATAGTCTAAAATTATTAATTTAGACGTTTGATTCCGCATTCTAAATAATCAATCACAATACCAATGATTCTCAACAGGTCCTCTGAATACCAATACCCTAAATATAGTATGTAAACACAAGATTAAGCCATTATAATCGAACTGTTATGGTCCATAATAAATAGATTTATAATAAAAACCTCGCTATCAGACTGCCTAAGTGGGACTCAAACTACAATAAAAGCAGTGACTCAGGCTTTTCTAGCCGTTTTAAAGACGCTTTTGCACGGGCATTTCCACCAAGCGACACTTTTTTAATGTGGAAGTGTATTTCTATAACAGGTTCAGAAGACTGCTGCAACTTAACGGTGGCGAACCTAGCCGCCTTATTTGACCCCATATTCGCCTATTTTACTACGTTATTACTCTAAGAACTTCCGGCAAAACCAATATAGTATAAGGCGAAATTTCCAAAAACAAACACATATGCGCTATAAAGGACGATAATAGATAAGCATGAGCAGACGGTGATGAGCACTGGTGTTCAACGTGAATTCAGTTTAAAATATCATAAATCAGTTTATAAAGACAAACTGAGACAATAAATAGTGTTTTCTCCTGGTAGCGAATAAGACGTATAGAATTCTGCATGGCGGAATGCCAAGCTTTTGCATCGTGATCATTGAACTACAGTTCAGGTTCGAAAAGAAAACTTTATGACAGAAATGATCATAACCTACTATAAAAACTCAAATTACCTCTCAAGAATTCGGCTGTTTAGGACCAAGATCAAACGTCTAAGTGGAAGGAAAATTCTGGAGATTTATGGTATCCTCACATGCTTTCAACTACGAAAGACGATCCCATAAATCCATCAGCACGCGTTTTCCGGGAACATAGTTGAAGGTTTTGTAATAAACGGCCAATAGGTGGTCTTAAGCTGGAAATTTCTCCGACAAGCTATGTTAGTCAAATCGCAAAATCCACTGATTTTGGGTGACGTTGGTTTCCTTATAGACCAAGTTACATTTCCTAGAAGGAATGGGGCCAAATTCACTCCTTATATTTGAAGTTGAAATTGGGTATCCAAAAATTCAAGTATTCTGACATTGTAAAAAAAATAAGCATTTTTGCATATATCAAAAATTCTGCGCCGAAAATCTTTCCTCTTCTTTCAGTTTTCTACGAAACCTGAAAACAATTTTACGTGTTTCTTGGAGTTTCCCCGGATGGAACTCCTTAAGATCACAGTCCAGCAGAATAGAGTTGTATCAAGCCTCGTAAATTTAAAGTGTCTCCAATTAGTCTTCAGATATTCGACTATACGAAGTATCAACGCGAGGGTTCCGTAGATTCGCATTACTGCACTTCCCTATCAAATTGTCTTTGGAAGTATTGCTCTCGAAACTGAGTAGCTGAGGGACTGTTTTGCTCAGCCGTATAAAGAAATATAACCATATTAATACAAATCCCGAGCGTCTTTAGAAAAAGTCACGCAACTTAAGCAATAGTCCTTCTACCGTGCGTAATTTAAAAATGTAGTTTGAAAGACTTTCAGGTAGACGTAAGATATCCTACGAGCGAGGTTGCGCAAGGACTACGTTAAAAATAATCGGTACTTAAATATCAATCCAATAAGCATTTTTATCTGAAGTCATTTTCAACAACCTAATTAAGCTATACAATTTTTCTGCTTAGAACCAGATAATAAATCTGAGCCGAATAACGGGTGGCTGTACTAGACACGCGCAGGGACATCTTCGAAACACATGCTTGGGTCTTTAGCTATCGTTTATATTAGAAGGAAGAAACGGTGACTGTCCCGTAAAATTATTCTGTTAGTGGTACTGGTCTGTTGATAGGGAACTATGTGCTCATTCGGCAGAATTCGACTGTCTTCAACTCAAATGTAAATCAATATTTCGGGGCTGGCTCAGAACGCCTTGTCCCGGAAACAACACGAAGTCACCGGGTCACGAATTCGCCAAACCAATGCGAAACAAATGTGCGCGTCCTCGGACAAAAAAGCATAGGGGACCACAGGAGTCATTATTTTGTTCTGCTTCTGTCATCGATCTGTTTAGTACCACGCCCCACGGCATTTAAATGGCACAACCTACGCTCGGGTGCCGTTGTCTCCAAGGTTGTCAGTGCGTTGCGAGAGGCTGCCGTCCGTAGGGTGTCTACATCCCCGTTCCTCCTTCGAGAACGGCGTTTGGGTGCCAACGGCTTCTCCTCTCGCTTGCATTGTCCGTATCGCGGTATCGCACAGTAGCAGTGAGGAGGATGGGGCAACTCCCGCTGGTGGCGAAACACCGTTCCGCCCCTCTGGTGTGTTCGTTTTGCTGAGACCCCGAACTCATGAACGGAGGTAACGAGTAAACCATCAGGAGGGGTGGTTTTTAGCCGCAACATTTCCCAACTAATGTATCATTTCAAATACCAACAAATACAGTGTCGCCCTGGTGTCACATAGAACATATAGCTGCGAAAATTCCCACGGGGCAATTCAGAAGAGCATTTGGCGAGCACACGCGTGCTTCCAATAAATCCTCATCGAGGTACAAACTGAAACGTGTGAGTGATAAGTGCAATTGATTACAGTTCGTCTTTTCATACAAATGGGTTAAGGGAATAGAGAAGGAGAAGGGAGGGAAAGGAGGCAGTGACAATGAGGGTTAGGTAGAGACGTGTCGAAAGGGGGGGGAGAGGGGGGGACGGGGCACGGAGACATGCAGACGCTGAGCGTGCAAGAGGTTCTTCTGCGCGCACAGGACCGGCCTCTGTAGCCTGATGACAGCCGCTTCTGCTGTTGCTAGTAGGCGTTGACCCATTCGCTTAGGATAGTTAGGTGGGATATTGAAGAAGGAGACACGATCGCTGGGACAAGAGCTTTATTGGCCTGACGTTTCGGATTCCTGCTCGAACCCATCATCAGAGACAAAGCATATACGGGTGGTTCATGCATAAGGGGCTGCAGTATTTATAGGATGCAGTAGTCATGCTACCGCATACCTATGAATGTTCACGCCCCCCTCCCCCTTCATCAGGGATCGTTGCACGTGGTGTTATAGCCGATATTCGCGTCGTTAATTGCTGCAACTTCACCACATGCGTTGGATGTTGGATGCCTTGTCTCTGATGATGGGTTCGAGCAGGAATCCGAAATGTCAGGCTAATAAAGCTCTTGTCCCCGCGATCGTGTCTCCTTCTTCAAGACTGCATACTGGGACTCGTCTCTTCGCTTCTGTTGGCAGGTGGGATATTGTAAATCACAGGGAAGGCCTCGTTGGGACCCACACGATGCCCAGAGTTAACCATGTGTGAGAGGATGGAGCTGTGTATGCTCTTAGCTTCGCCTTTCCACAGCCATGCTGGGCGCTTCGCACTCAGCCAGCCTTTAGCAGTAGTTTTGTTTTCCGAAACACAACCGTTGATGTGACACTTTGCTGAATCAAGCATTCTTCCTCCCATCTTTTATTGCTCCCCTATATTGTCCTCATTTACTGAAAAAGGTAATATCTGTATAACTGGACGCACAAAACTGGCCCCGCCTGTCTTCCCCTCCAAGCACCAGTGGGCTGTCTAACATGTCGTCGGCTAGTAATCTGGTTGGACGCACAGCCTGGCCTGGCGCAAAAGCTCCATCTGCATGTGCAGCATGTATACACAGCAGTAGCCATGATCTTGGGAGGGCGTACGACAGCTGAGGCACTGCATGCCGTGAGCCAGTAAGTGGGTAAAGAGGGGCAGCTAGAAACCAGTTCAACCTAGACTCCAACAGTCCTTGGGTGGCCCTCTCTATGTCCTATCAAGTCCTACAAGTGCAGCTCGAATCGGGTGCAGTCGTGGCAAATTCAGTAAAAGCATGAAAAAGGGTAGGCATGAACATATATCGGGCATAAACGTAGGTGGAGGAGAATCTAAGGTGAACGTTAAGCCCGAAACCTTTTGGCTTAAGTCGGGCCCGGACACAGGTCGTGCGTTAACGCTGCTGGTGGAGACTTCTAGGCAGATATAAACGGGTGTGTAGACACTGCCGATTCTACGAAAGACCATAAGAACGCGGACGAGTGCAAACGCGAAACAAGGACAACATGCTCAAGAATGGAACCAACAAACGCAGAGAATGCAGACGGAAGCAATTACGTTTAACACCCAAAGGTTGTCCCCCGACAGGAAACAGGAAGGTCGTCTGCAATGCGGACAACAACCGTCCCTCCGCAGTGCGATTAGAGTAGACAGTTTCGGAGACAGTGGTATCTCGGCAGGGATAGTATCATTTACATTATGCAGGACGTTGTACTAGGCTCACTGGCGATAGGTGCCTGTAGGCTTTTGAAACATTGGATGTGGGCATACACATGACAAACTTCACCATGTTCCCGATGCCAAGACGGTTTGGACCCGTTTTGATGGTTTTCTGTTGCAGAACGGCGAAACTGCGTGGGATATAAAATTAGCTAACAGTTGAAACCTGATTCTGCCTTCAAGAATCCAGCTTTCGCGCCAGCTGTTGATTATTCAAAGTCAATGCCTGATGTGCGTTCGCAGGAAAATCAATATTTTTAAAATCAAGATCCCGAAAATATGATACTTGCAAAGTCGTAAACTTTTTGCCAGAGACAAGATAGAGCCATCAACTTCCCGAATGCTCTATTGGTGTTTTATTCCCCAGACACTGTAGCCACGCTTATTAAACGCCCGTCTTACCGTGTATTGACTTCACTGACTCGCAAGACGAGTCTGGTTTCATCTGAACAGTTGTTTTGCTGTGGTAGAAAAGCAAAATTCCTATAAACAGAAGACCGATACGGCGGCGTAATAGTTGCCACTTCGTCTCGAAGACTAGCTAGCCCTGAAAATATCAAGCCAAGTATCATATGGTTGCAGAATAAAAACTAACAAACTCAGTTTCTGAGCCGGAAATCCAAATGTATTTTGCATTCAAAAGCCATAGTAGCTAAATAAATTACGGGCCTAGCATCAAAACTAACGTTAATCAAACGCCTTATTGATAAGCTTGTTATGAGACGCACGTGACTTATCTTCTTGATTGAAATATGATCGTCGAAGTCCAAGAAGTTTTGTAAACAGATGTCCGCGGTTTATTGTCTTTAGTAGCTTTAAACACAATCCCTTGAGTCTTTCTTTATTCAACGCGGAGAATAAACGACTACTCTGTCATAGGTGTCGTAGTTTTATCCTTCTTAGGGACTGTCAGTAAGCCTACGAGTCCCATACATTTAAATATGCTCCTGTCCCGACAACAAAAATGCACCATCTCTGTCGGATTCAAACCTGGCTCAAATAAAGCAGGTGAGTAGACCCATTAATGAAAAAAATAATCGAGGTAGACATTAGAACATGCCTCAACAGGGCCTACAGGCTGGTCCGGGATCCTGGTTGGAGCCTCAACAGAGGCAGTAACAGGCATTTGGGGTCGTTGAGGCAGTTTGGGGGAAGACTTTGTAGGGACGGAGAGGGTGGACTGCGTCGCAGGCGATTCTGTCGGGACGAGTGTTGGACCACAGACGATGGGTTGCACCTGGGTCTGCTGCGGTGATGGCATTGGGGAGACGGAGGAGAGGGAGGAACAATTGGTCGAAGTCTTCGACACATCGGGGATTGCTGCATCGCCGTCCCCAGTGCGCCACCAATGCCGTCGAAATTTGCCACCACCAAAACCACCGGCGAAATGAAACAGACGGCTGGTCACAGTGGCAAGTTCAGCCACTCTGGTGACGGATCCTTGAAGAGGAGGAAAGAGGTATCGAGAAATAGGCTTTTGAGTCTCTATGTTGACCACGACTATCCCGACAGTAGTGACTACGTGCACGTTAGCGGGGTTATAGTGCGTAAATGTACGTTAAATGTCGTGTAGCACAAGCAAGATATCGACGGCGGGATCTGCGCCGCGATTTTAAAACTGCCTGATTTTTAAATAGATCTTCAAAGATGTCACGCAAATCAGTCCAGCCCTTTGCACAGGAAAGTAAGACGTAACAATTTTTTAACTCAACCCGTGGTTTACCACGAATGGTTCAATGTTACAATAGGAAATAAGAACGATTAATTGTCGGTCGTCTAACAATTTTTAAGCCACTCGGGTTTTGGAGTCACTGTTTAGACATGTGGCATCTATTTCTTGTCAGGGTTACGACTCAACATCCATATATGTTGTTAATTAGGTTTTCAAGTCCTGGTTCACTCGGTGCACTCTTCGCTCGCTTAACAATCTCTTTCACTCGATTCATCGATGGGTATGTTTAGCTGTTGCAAAACGCAAGCCTATGTAGTAATACGTAGAATACCGGTTGATCTTAAGTCGGGGCTCAAAGACAGCCAGGGCATTAGCCATTTGCTGTCATCATAGCTACTGTCTCGTCCTCTGGGCCGTATGTATATCACAGTTGTCATCCTGAAACACCGCATGTCAACCACCGCATTGATTCAAAAGGGGCATCAGTTAAGCAGGATTTGTCTGAATGTGTGGCTGAGCGTTCTACTTTTCCTGTAAAGGTGAGGATTCCAGCTTTTTGCGCGGAATAAAATCTCCGCAGGCCATCCCAACGCCTCCGGACGATTGTCTACCGCCGTCATGGACCTGTATACTAAGGTCATTTCGGTAATTATTTTAACTGGTTGAATCAATCAGGCTATACTTCTATTTGCTGGATAAGATCACATTGTGCCGTCGGTTTGTTCGGGATGTTCGATCGCCAACCAAACGTATTCGCTGTTCCTCGTAATTCATCGACACCGGTATTCGCCGAAGCTTCCCATAAGCGAATGGCAAGAGACTCTCGATGACAATGCGAGTTGTTGTCTTTAAGATCTCTAGTGCTACTGCTTCCTGCAGATATTTCACGTAGCACTACACTTTTTCAGCTGTTATGTATAGGTCGCCCTCCTCCCGGCTCGTTCCTCCTTTTTGTACTTTGCACGAGATGCTATTTATTTATTCACGACAGTCTGTTCATTTTATTGCAAAGACCCATTGCACGCAACATCGAAATATCGTCTCGTTGAAATCATATAAGCCGTACACCTGTGAGGATTCGTGCAAGGTAAAAATGACTTCAGTTCACTGGTTATAGAAACAAATAGGTTTGTAAGTACTAATCGTCAGGCCGCTGTCACTTTGTCGGACGGTAGTGAGAATTACTTTCACCAGAACACCGTCGGCTACACCAGACCACCACACCTTCCCCCACCAACACAATACCATCACCCACCACCAGTATCTAACTGCCACCTCCCACGCAAGTGGGAAGTGTGCGTCTCGGCCCCTTCTCCATATTGGTTCTTTGCTGCCTGTGTAATCCGAGTCTGAGGTTATCACGGCGCGTCAAGCGCTGTGGCTTGGAAGGCTGCCAACTGACGCCCCAACTCAGTCCATGCAGTCTGCCCAGATGGGTGTGTATGTGTGGAGTTTTGGACTGATCGGCTGAGAGCCAGTCTAAGGCGGTTCCTTCTTAACGTGGCCGGCGGCACTCTCACGCATGTGAGATGTACGCGGCTGTGAAGTCTTGGTGCTTGTGTTTGGGGGGCTATGTCTTGCGTGTGGCGGGCGCAGACAAGGTCAGTCGACCATGTCAGCCACCGCGCCCATTGCCCGCCCAAGTCGACTGACGGGCTTGAACAGTGACTGAGGCGTGGGAATGGAAAGGGGGAGTAAGGTCGACGACTGAGCGCATTTTGCTCCGCACTATAAACAATCTGACGCGCTCGAAGCTATCACGGTGCGCTAAAAGCCGTGGCTTGTAAGGTTGCCAACTGACGGGATAACTTGGAGCTCGCAGTCTGCCCAGTGTTGTGTGGAGTGGTCGGCTGGTGGTCTAAGAGCCAGACTGCAATGGCTCCTTCATAATGTGGCCTTTATGGCACTCCCGCTCCGTGGGATCCGAGTTGGATGTGACGGCAAGCCTAGGTGTGGCTTCGGCAGTACCATCCCCCACCCCCATTGTGGTTGTTGGCTATAAAAAGACCTAGTCATTTGCTGTTTTGACCATAGAATATGGAGTGGAGCGCCAAGGTGCGGGCTTGACCGTGCTATCCACCTGCGCCCTCCCTCGCCTCCGGTCTTTTTGACTATGCCTTGACACCGGGCCCAGGTGGGGCGAGGAGGGGAGAGCGCGGTAGGTGCAGTGTAGGTCTACCATCACTATAAACTGGATCATGCGGAACTCGCCGTGCCTTCTTCACCCTGCTGTGAGGCACGCGGTGGACATCGCCGCAAACGATGGTCGAACCGTCGCAGTGCGGAAAACTCCAGCAACGTAGGGTTTAATCTATTCCCAATTCCGAATGCTCAAATGACAAGAGTTGTGGCAAGGGTCGAGTACGCTGTCCTGGTCCCAAGTCTAAGCGCAGTATGGGCATGGAAAGAAAGGTAAGCAGAAGGGGAATGTTGACATCGTTAGTGGGAAAGTAGCCGAGGCTGAAACGAAAAAGGGAACCGGATGTGTGAAAAATCTACCGAGAGATTGAAGAAAGCCCACAGTCGCCGCAAAAGCCCTGGTTGTCAGGAATAGCCGGGCAGTAATACCCCAAACACAATGGTAAACCTAATCATAACCTTTAAAGTAGACCTAATCCTTGACGTAATTACAAGCCTAACGCTAACCCTAACCTTAACGTCAAACATAACCCTAAACCTACCACAAACCCTAGATCTAACCCTAAGCCCAACCTTTACCCTGATGAAACCCTAACTCTAACTGTAACCCAAGCCCCAACCCTAACCTTAACCGTAGCCCTACCCTAATCGTAACGTTAACCCTAACCCCAACCTTAAGATTAGACGTAAACCTAAACCGCAATTCAAACCCTAACTCTAACCGGAACCCTTAAACTTAACACAAACCCTAACCCTAAACTTAATTCTCAGCCTGACACTAACCCAAACCCGAAAAATAACCCTACCTCTAAACCGAAGCACCAGGTTGTCCTTTACTGTTTTAGCTTTGGCTGCATTCCCACTAACGATTTCAGCATCCTCCTGCGGCCTAATTTACTTGCAAAGCCCACATTGAGCTTACAGTTAGAACCAGGACAGCGGTACCGACCCCTACCAGAGCTGTTATAGTCAACTTGACGTAGGTTTGAGCATACCTTGTCACAACGGAGTTCGTTCTTCTCTAATGACCGAATCAGACTCCACGCACATACACAGAGAAGTAAAAGCATTAAAGAAACCCCCCAACCTTCACTTAAGTATGTATACTATTCAAAGTGATAACACGAAATTCTCCACAATATTCAACACAGTTGGGTGGAGCAGTTTACGATGAAGGTCTCTTACAGCAAATATTTTGTCATCTGTGAATCTATAAAATTGGCAACCCTCTTATTTTTGATTAATGATTATTCGTCCGTCGCTCACGCGAAAAACATCGCTTCAAAGAGGGTATAGCGGTGAAATGTACGTGAATTTCAAAAGGGGAAAAGGTGTACAGGGGGAGAGATTTTGGCGGTCTGACATTCCTAGACAGATAGATGAAATCATTAGTCGGAGCGTTAGACCTACAATAAACCTCTTTCGGTGAATTCCCCTTCTTTTTGTTTGTAGTGAGGGATATCTACACTCATTTTGCTCACTTTTAGTCTTCTCAATGACACGACACGATCAATAAGACTGCGACTTGATCGGGTTCAGTAGCTGACGTAGTAAAAGGCAGGGTTCACGCCAGCTATGCATATCTGCTGGTTCTTAAACGTACTAATAGCCCAATTCGACTTGGGTTTCAGACCATTTATTGAAGAGGCGTGCTTTGATGAGAACATCAATGAGGACCCATTGTAGCCTGAATTTCAGTCTGTAGGGTGATTGGGTTACTTCGTCGATTGACTCTTATCACTGAATCCAAGCTAGATTGGCCTCAAGCTTTCGCCCTATACCCATATGGTAATGGTCAGTCGAGGTGAGGTTGGTTGGGTATGAGATTGGGCGCAATAACTTACGAACGTAAGGCCGTTATCCAGCGCACGCCACGCAGGAGTTCGATGCTCGAACACGTGATACGTGCTGTAAAGACCACATTAGGGATCGAGTCATCGCCGTCTGACCCTTGTTCAAAAAAATTGCCGAGCAATCCTGCCAGCTGGTCCCCTTACGAGGCAGGCCTTTCTGTGCGTTATGGCAATTTTAATAATAATAATAATAATTTTTTATTAAAGACCCATCGGTATCCCATCAAAGCAAGTAGAAATAAATTTACATGCGAATTTTAGACGAGGTAGGCAGAATGTGTACAAAATGCAATTCATGGTTTCTGAATTTGTAGTCCGTTAAGAAAAATGGTTAGCGAGCGGTGAGAAAAAATCTCCACTTAAAAATTTAAAAATGATTGGATTAATTTTACAGGAGAAGAAAACCCTCACTAATAATAATAATAACAAAAAAATGCGGGCAGGACTGGCCTGCATGTGGCGGTATATAACGGATTCTCATCGGACATCGTCAGGGCAGAAATAAATGTCAGCCTTGAGCGTCATTTTATTTGAAGTGAGGAAAGAATGCACTGGAGCCGGGTTTGGTCGGTTTTGATCACTACATCACTTATAGGCGGCAAAACCGAATCGGAACGATTGAAGATGAAGTCGGGATAGTGACTCATGTAGTACAAAACTCCGATAACGCAACGCTGAAAAGAGCAACACCGGCTGCTCTGCTTCTGATTCTTTGGGGCAGTCAGACAAGGGTTATGAACAGCCAACGACCGGAAATGCAACATGTCGTTTGACCCGCTTACGTCTACCTCTAGGTTGCACAATTCATTCAAATGGTCAAAAAACGCAAAGTTATCAAAGAGACGAAGGCACTATGCTCTTTCTTTTCCCGCCGATTTCTGTGTCACTTCAGCATGACCAAAAGCGAGTCTCTTTTCAGTCCATAGAAGGTTCCTTATGAATTCGCAAACTCTACTCAGAAATTAAGTAACCTGAAAATACTTAAGCATTTTTGTGCACTGAGACAAACCAGTGAGATTCTGTTGACTTAAATGCTTGTTCAGAGCTCCTTGCGTATGGAAGATCAGAGAATTTTATTCAATATCAGCAACATTTTAAAGTTAAAACCGCTTTATTAACGACCTACTGCTGTGAATATACTTTGAAGTGTACTGTAAGTGGTAGTGAAAATGGGCCCCCAGTTCAGCACTCCGTGCTTTTCCCAACCACCAAGCAATTCAGACAAATCAAAATGCATTATTACTTGTTTTAGGAACCATTAAAGCCACTAGTACAATCGCATGCGTGAAAGGAGTAAAACCGGTGACTCAGAATCGCCGTTCAAGATAGATAAGCCCGTTATTTTTAGAAATAGGAACGAATGTCTTCGATGAAAAACCCCAAGAACTAGCCTGGCCACAGGACGGAGTTTGGGTGTTATTTTGGCCTTGCGTCTGCGGTATTCATCTGTCATGTCGACGACCAATCGATAAGGTTAAAAGTATAGAAGACTAAAAGGAACAGTTATGTCTGATTTTCCACTGGACTAGCAGTGGGTAGGCCTTCCCGAGTTCGACTAGGGAACGATGACAAATAGACCAGAAATTCTCATTTTAATTTCAAATGGGTTTTTCGGTAAAATATCTTCAGACTTTCCTGATTAGGGTGATTTGCAATTATTCCGTCCATCAAGTGCTAAATAACTGAACAACTAAGAAGTGTACCAGAAGGCTGGAGGACCCACTGATTGGTCGGATACCTCATATTTGCGTCAGTCGGCAGCAGAAAGTAGGCTAAACTCGTGTCTCGAGCGTTCCCCGAGAGGTGTTCATGTCCGTGTCTTGGAAGGCTCCCAACCGAGGGGGTAATTCAGTCCTCTTAGGAAGAAAAATCAAACCGCGAAGACACCTTTCTGATATGACTTCTGTGGCATTGCCACTCAGTTCGTATCCAAGACAGCCACCGCCGCGTTTCTGTGATAACCTAGTCCATTGTGCGCGAATAAGGTGTGTGTGCCACAGGTAGACATGCTGCGTCCGAAGTCGCCTCCAGCCCGTTTAAATTTGTTTTGATACCGGGTCCAGGTGGGTGCAGAGGGAGAGTATGCGGTATAGGATTCCCAAGTTCATGATTATTATATATTAATACGCGCCCATGATGCTGTGGGGCACACGGTGAACATCGTCTTTTGCGAGCGTTGAGCTGTCGAGACAGCATGTATACTCGGATTGCGACAAAGTCACGACAGGTGGCGAAACTGATCAAAATCGACGATCAAAATTCAAATGCTCATTGGGCAATATCTCGGATGTTGTGAGTCTTTTTTATTGGTTCGATATGTTGGTTAAAACACTTTTTTCGCAGACAGAATAGTCTCCAAGTCCGTTAATTTGTGAAAAATACGATGTTTGCGTGAATACTGACATTGTTATATACAAACTATTTTAATGGTAATAAATATTAAACATTGTCCACTTAGTTCAGACCTTTTTCTGTTAACGAGGTTATTTGTTAAAGAGGTATTTGTTCAAACTGTCCTGTCTGCTACGGAATCGACGTCCCGTTCATGTAGACCAGGTTAGGCAAGGGGTTGACATCTACGCGCATTTCGGTAAACGGAGGAATCTTCAATCATAAAAAAATTGTAGGCCTACGAAATGTTGACTTGGAACAATGACACAAAACGAATATTTCAGAAGTTAATACAAATACTCAGATATGTTTCTGTCAATTTAAATCCCCCCACATGTAAAGCAGTTACTTTTCCAGGAACTTATTGTTGACAATTACGAAATTTACCAACGGCCCGTGTAAAAAGCGAGTCGTTTTACAACAATTTTAATACTGATTAAGGTAATCGAAGGCCCGCTTAGAATAAAAGAATTAGGATCTGGAGTGAGAAACGACGACGAGAGGGGCTGCAAAATCAATCAGGATGACAAGTACTTTTGTTCGAAAAAATTATAGTGGAAAAGCTGCAATTAAATTGCACATAGTAGCACCCAAATGTAATTTAGAAACACAGGCCCCAGAACAACTAGACGTATGTTACATTATCAAGACAAATTAACGTCAGGATGCTGAAGCAAACAAGTTACGCCAAATGGAGCTAATCAAAAAATAGACGGAAAAGACCGTTCGGTATCCCACCGCTCTTCTTGGGGTTTTCCCGCACAGTCGTAGTCGAACTGCTGAGCTGGAGGCAAGAGCAAGGATGACGGAAGAGAGCGGAGAGATGAGGCAGTCGTGACCGACGTTGTCCACCGTGTGCTCCACAGCAGGCTAAGAGCAGTAATGGTGACTTACACGTGAGTTAGTTTAAAACGATAGTAGACTTGAGCTGCATCCACCGCACTCCCTCCTCCTCCGTGTGGCCCCAGTTTCAAGACAGTGAAGAAGATCGCAGGCGGGAGAGAGTGTATGTGGCTGGCACAACGAAAATCCGAACCTAGACCTACCACCACGTCCCTTGGTCCACAACACACACTAACCAGGATTTTGTGCACCAAGAAAAAAAGGAAGCAGGTCGGATCCCAACTGGCTCGAGAAATTGGGCGTGCACCACATCCCATATGTTGGCGTTTGTTATGGATGCGCATTCCCGAAAACGCCTGTCGGGCTGACGCATCTGTCGCGTGGCCTCTTTTGGGGGCATTCGCACACACGGCACCTCGCCCGTCATTACCAACTACATCCACAGCAGACTAAGTCGGGGCGGTGGCTTGCATGCGATTTGTTTCATAGTGATAGCAGACTTGTGCTGCATCTAACGCACTCTCTCCTCTTCCTTCCACGACTGAACCCGGTGTTAAGAGAGAGACAAGAAGGCCTCAAATGGTAGAAGGCGAAGGTGGCTGGTTCGACAAAAATCCACACTTGGGTGTGCTACCACGTCCCCTAGTCCAGAACACACACAACAAAGATCATAGTGGTTGTTGCTTGGTAGCGTCGGAAACCGCACTGGCTTTCCGAAAGAAGGCTCTGTTCGAGATGAAGTTAAGACGGTTGAGGAGGATGCGTGCGTGATGTTTAGCATCAGGATTCCTTCATGGCTATCACAGAGTTGTCAGTTCCCTTTTCGCTTTTAGAAATGGACGGTCGACGCATCCCTGAAATAATAAGGAACTTGTCCTCGATGCCACATCTCCAGGATTAGCGTTGCAAGTTGATCCATTAGCCAGGGGCTGCCGTGCTTGTAAACTTCGCCGCAGTCGCGTCGGATCCCGATGCTTTCCCGCTGGAGATTTGGTGCACGCCGGTGATTGTTTCTGAGAGAGAAGGCAGGAGGTCAGGTCGTTTCCACTTCAGAAAGTAGGTCCATGGCGACTTTGGAGATTGTAAGCAGGCGGTTGAGGACATTTCTGAAGTGTTCGGCCCAGTAGTTCCGCATCTGCGAGTCCTCCGTCAGAAGTGCTGTTCCACCGGAGCTGAAAGACGGCGTGGGCCGCAGGGTGCCTTTTTTGATGAGAAGCAGTTCTTTGTTTCTTTGCGGTCAGTATATTCCTGGATTTCCTCGGCCTTGTGAGTCATCCCGGTATCCTGCATCTCCCGCAGTCGTGGTTGTGCGAGACGGTAACATCGGAAGAAGGCGACTTTGTTTTCATCTGTCCGGCGACCAATGTAGGCTGTAGGCATATACGTCCAGCAGGTTGCCGACGCCTGCCTTTTTGTCGTCGAACCAGTCCTGATGTTGGCGACGTGCGCGTTCGAGGACATCGAAGGCAGTGGAGTGGATAGTATTCCGCATCTGACACCACCGAGTCTCCCCGGTGGCGTTGTCATCCGGGGTCGGCAGTTTTTCCAAATGCTAGGCTAGTTGGCTGCCGGAATGTAATCGATGAGCAGACAAATCGGACAAAACAGTTTTAACTTACCTGTTGGTCGCTTACTTTGTGGTCTCCTGAGGCATTGTAGTCGGAGCCTCATCTTAAAGATATCAAAGCCGAGATCCATTCGGTCACCCGTGTCAAGGATAGCTTTAATCGTCAGCACGTCCTGTCGATCTCGCGTCCGGACGAGAATGTAGTCTAGCAGCTGCCAGCGCCGCGATCGGGGGTGCATCCAGGTCGCCTTCTTCAGCATCGGAAGGCCGCAGAAGGTGTTGGTCAGGAAGAGCCGGTGTTCTGGATGGGTTCACAAGAGGGAGGCCGTTGTCGTTGCAGTTATCGATTTCGTGGGGATCCAGAATCCCGCTCCCCCCAGGCAGCTTAATCTGTCCAGACGCAAACGTTGAAGTCCCCAAAGACAACCAAGTAGTCCACTATCGACGCAGCTGCCAAGAAGGCATGCAGGTTTTCGCATAACTTGGCCTTGGTCTCATAGAAGTTCATTGTTTAGGCAGGGGAGGGGCATACATATTGACGATGGTGCCAAATTGGGCTCCCGAAGAAGCAGGACAAGTGTCACTAGGAGGTCGTCGACGCCCTGTGTCAGACAGTATAGTCGTCCCACGACGTCGTTCTGGATAGCAAAGGTATTCCTAAACCGCGTTGCTCTGCCTCTAGGCAGCCGCTCCAAAAGAAGGTGTGGCCGGCACCCACCTCATCATACTGAACTTGTTTGGAGAAGCGGGTTTCGTCGACAGCAGCGATGAACACCTTATAGCGCGCCAGTTCTCGAGCGACTAGCGCCGTTCCCCGTACCGGTCAGTTGCTTCTCAGATTGTCTAGAAGGGAAGCCACATTCCAGACTGTCAAGGTGAGCGGACTCACCTTAGCAGCTTGTAGGGTGTGGCGGAGCAGAGGGCGACCATGGTTGTTGCTGTTCGTTGTTATTTTGGACCGCGAGTTTTGCATCTACGAGTTGCGGTATACTAACAGATGGCGTGATTTCCCGGCATTTGTTCGGAGCAACTTTTCAAGCTCCGTTCCCACCAGGGGATAAGAAGGGATGTCCCTTAATAGGGCTGCTTCGACATCCTAGATGACTGTCGAGCTCCACTATAGGTCACGGCTTTGTTTAGTTAAGAGCGACCCGAGTTGGCCTGGGCCGCCTGCGGGGTTGTAGGACTTTTGGAGTGAAGGGGGGAGACGAAGAGAGAGGGGGGAAGGGATGAATGAGAGAACAGAATTACCGAGTGTGATGACACACAGCACCGGACACCCTCATAAGGTTTAACCCGCCGGTAGAGCCTGGATTAGGGAAGCCACAGTTGAGAGTTCGGCGACAGTTGAGAACCGTGTGGAGCAGTCACCATTTGCATGGTACGAACAACCGCTCATGAACGGGTGTCCCTAACCGGACACATCTTTTGGCGGAACAACACAGCCACCATCCACTCAACGGACAGCAGACACACCTGCACTCAGTCACCAGCGCCCTGCCACCTGTGATACGTGTAAATGCAATTAGAACGACAAAGACGTACGCAGCATAACTGCAGGTCGTACGAAGATCACACTGTGCTCGATTGGTCAGACATGGGGAAAAAGAGCAGAGAGATTTTGGTGTGTTGGCCTGCCCAACGATAGTCGTCGATGAGGCTGGAAACAGTAACGGCAAACAACCAAACTGAGGTATAGCAAGAAAAACTTGTGCCATATCAAGATTCCTTCCTCTTCCCACTCCAAATGCATTAGGGCAGTATGATAAGATCAAGCCTACTGGAGATTTGCACGAAGAGATTAGCTGATTGGGTGCTTGTCCCTGTCCATCAAACGTCACACAAATGTTAATCCTCCCAAGCCAAGACGAAAAAGTAGCCAGAATTTAAAACTTGCCTACAGAAACTAGGTTGAGTGAAGAACATATGGGATACTCTTCACCCTCTCACCACTTCCAGGGGAAAATGAGCCAAGAACTAGAGAACAGGCGGCAACATTAACCTACGTCTCTCGAGGGTCGGTCCCCTGAACGAAACGATAGTAGAGCGTTAGCCGAACACAAATTATTCTCGCACCTACGAGTAGCACCATGGTATTTGGAAATATCCCGGATACTGGCCTATCGCTTATATGTCTAAGAGTCCGTTTAAATTAACTGTCATCGTTTCTCTGGTAATAAATTTTAAAAATGTTGCGAAAATCTGGTCGCTGTGGGCAAGTAACTCTAGGAAACGGAGCATTATTTTGTTCGTGTTGACATGAACCGTAGCGATAATGGATGTAGCACAAACTAAAAGTCAACGAGAAAAAGTTCGACAGCGTCCCATCGTTCTTACATAATTTTGGCGGAAAACGGAGAAAATATTTTTCACGATGCCAGCTTTTTCTTAAAACGCCATATCGGACGCTATCAGTGATCATTTTGTTCGTATCAATCATCGCAATGAAGAGTCAGTGCAACTTACAGAAAGGGTTCTTAACCCACGGAACTACGTCAAATTCCATAAAAATACGAGGGGCCAGAGGGCACCTATGTTCAACCGCCTACTTTCGTTCAACTTATGCTCTTGCATCTGACTGGAAGAGTGACGTGTACCGAGTTGTCCTGATAGCTGGCGGTGCAATCAAGATAAGTTGATGCGCGTCACCTCTCTGTCGATTAAGCTGGTTTATGTCCAGTATGGTGGAGTCCATAGTGTAGTGATGATGAATCTGCATGATGATTAAAAGGTTCATGCTCGACCCGCAGGTGTTCAGATTTCTGTCTTTTTCGATACTATTTTTTAAGAAAAACTATCAGTTTGGTGGAATAGATGTCGACAAAGGGTCAATGAAAAGCATACCTGCCTTTTTTCAAAAGCCCCCCGCTTTAAACTCGGAAAATGCTAATTCAGCATACATGGCGATCAACATCAAAAAATATTGTAGGCCTTAGGTTTTCAACAAGACAAAAATTGGTTAAGGCAGAGTATGGGAAATCGGAAGTCACATGACCAGAAAGGTCACAGCATCAACCCCACGACCCCTCGGAAGTGCGCTTCTGGCCTATCATAATAACACATACCAACTGTGCCAACTAATTGCGACTTTCTTCCTCCTATCTCGCACGGTGAGCCTCTGGTGGCCTGACAGATACTTTTTCAAAACAAACAAACTGCAAACAAAATATTTATGATTTTACGGGCTGTTGGCTTTGAGTAAGAGTTCATTAAATATAACATTTATGGGACAGTCTACTAAAGATGGAGACTGACGCAGCCAGAGAGCACATACAACGAAGGGCATCTACTGCAAATTTTCCCCGTTCTGTCTTCCGAAATTTGCCATTTTTGAACTTAAACATGTATTTTGCCTGATAGCTTTATTGGTCACTTGAAATCGTCTTGTAATTTCTGGTGTACCTGAGTCCAACGGTTAAATTTCGTAGGTTGCGTTCGTGCGTATCACGCAGACCCACACTCAGATGGGTTTCTTTATTGGCTGCAAGCTCCCTGCAATGCATGTCCTCGGTTGCAGTGAATACTTCGGCCTGAGAAACTGGCCGGGCAAACCGTCCGAAATAGCATTATTAACAGTACCACGGTCCCGTGTTAACAAACCTTCACGGATTACGACGGGCATTCAACCGCAGTCAAAAGAAACTCCTAGGTTATCCCTGGAAAAGGGCGATCAGGACTGGGGGCAATGGCTGATCAGGATATTGCGCCTTACCTAATTTTGCGAATGCAAACAATCATGTGCGTTAGCTCTCATTTGCCTGTTCGACGCTCTAATGCCATTCATTCTCAGGGCTGATGATGCGTACGCACGTAGAGAAACGACATTTTATTTCGGCTTACTAGTAAGATTTGCTCCTAAGACTGGTGTTGACTACCGTAAGACAGCCTGCGGCGGAATATATTTTTAGACACGAACAGTTGAACTATCATATGTCTAAAGAGCGGCCGCCTTGATTTGCGCATGCAGTCTGCACCATAACTTCGACCTATCACACGTAACATAATCTCTCACGGCATCCTTTCCGGACAAACCTTTAGAACATCTCGTCACTTTCTGCCGTGTGCGCCGTCGCGCCTCATTTTGTCTAGTCCACGCGATGTAGGAGTTAACATCGCTTTACAACTGTGGACGTGAACCAACTCCCGTCCCCGTCAGCGTTTTCCGTTAGCCATTTTTTTCGAAATACACTGTTTCCTGTTAGACTTTCAGGCGCGCAGTACGCAGCTAATTAACTTCAGTTTGAAGTGTTTAATTCAAATATAGAAAAACAAATTGTATCCAAATCGAACTAATTTACATCGGGGTTTATTCAACAATTTCTGGAGGAATCCCTGTCGAATTTTGTCGATAAAAATAACATTAGCCAGACTCTTTCTTATACGTGTTTGCGATGGAATAGAATGATCCATCAGACTCCACTTTTCGATGAGTGGATACAAACAAACCAGGCGAAGAGTGCGTTCCACAATTCTGTCTTCTCTGCTCAAATTGTAACACGCTTTGGATTTAATAAAGCCAATAAACTAATCAGCAAGGTTTGATACTTGTTTAATACACCCTCCTCGCGAAAATAAAATTAAATTGCAGTTTAATGAGCGTTTCGTGTATTATTGTCCAAATCCCTTTACGATAAATCAGTAGCACAGGTATCACGACGGCATGAGGATCATTTTTGCATCTCGATCGTTCTAAGTGACTGTCGGCATCCAGCGGTTTCTAGCCAGGTGTAGCAACCACTTCCATGTGAGTGTTGCGGTGGGATAGTTAAGCGAGTGGTTACTTACTGGTCAAGCGTTACAGGCTACGAAAAAGTTTAGAACGGATGATGTTTTGAAAAGGAAAACAAGAGTATATCTCGAACACTTGTAGCAAATATCCGATCTTTCCTTTGTCCAAATCTGAAGTATAAAAGAACAAAACAGAAACACGCATGCATTTTTGAGTTGTTCTATCGTTGCGTTGATAAGGGCTTCGATGTCCCCGTCATTAGTTGCTTAGACCTGGCTGATCGGCGTAATACCGGCAGCAGATGCTTGACTGTGTGATCATGCATCACGAAGGACCCTAAAATTTACGAAAATTTAACCCTGTGTCTCGAACTTCCGTCTAACTTTGAATCTGGTTGATCTTTATTGGCCAATTAAATGCGGATACATAGCTTTCGTCTTCCTAGTCCTTACGGACTAAATGCATGTGGCGGGCTTAATTCAGAGATTTGGAGCATTTTGGCAGGATTACCGTCCTGCAGAACGTTTACGAATACCAGTCGAAAATATATTTTGATACCTTCAACTTTTCAAAGCATACGAAGGACTTGCCTTGAAAATCTTCTAAAACCAGTTAGAGCTTTGGTACCAAAGTGACAAGACCCTTGAAGGAAAAAGAAAAGTCCAAACACCACCAGCCCAATTGTCAAACGACCAAAACTTGTTCAGGAATGCGACAAGGTTCCCAAAGACATATGCTGAAGGGTGCATTCTCATACTTTGCAGTTGGGCCACAATGAATTTTTTTCATACTCTCAGTTCTTTATAGACGCAAGGCCCTATGGTGTAGAGCTAACAAAAACTGCGGGACGGCTCAAAATTACGTAAGAGAAGATGCAATCAAAAGATCAGAAAAGACTTGTAAAACCTCTTAGAATGTTTGAAACACCTTTGAATCAATACACTCACAGTTTTACTGCTACGAAAACGTAGCACTTACAAGTTCACAACAGGTATAGCTGTTCCGACTACTGCCTCCTCTAAAATATCTGCGAAAATAGTCTCCGACACCAGATGCGATGTCATCCATCCATTTGTGCCCTCAAGTGACCTGTTGTCCAAATCCATTTGTCTCTAACGGCAAAAGTCACTTCAATCAGTGGCAGAAACGTGCCAAGAACGGTGAAAAATTAGGTGAGGCGGCTGCAGTAATGAACCATTGAAGCTTCAATCAACGAACAGCTCATCAGTCCGAGATAACAGAGCGGCGAGGTCAGGGCACAGTGGGAAAGCGTTTACCTTAATGGCCCATGATCTAACGGTCCAGATCTGGGTGAAGGGTCTTGTCGATCTAGGGTTTTAGGGTGGATATGACTGAAGAATAAATAAATAAATAAGTTTAAAAAGTCCACCACGGCCTGAGCTGTTTTGTCAGCAAAACGCCTTCTTTCCGTTCCAACTTCCCCCAATTCAAGGTCATGCATTAGGTTCGAACAGTCGAAATAGCTATTTGTGTCCGCTTTTTATGTACAGTTGTCTTCGAGAAAACGTCGCACACTGGAATATTTCGTGACTAAATATTTTAAAATTCTTTCAGGCAATCAATGGAGAATATGAACGAACACAGCCAGATAATGTGCTCGACGAGGTAGGCTCGAGCGTACCGTGTTCCACACTGGTGCCGTGTCTCTACCTCTCATCCATCGTTGTCGGGAACACCAACTTTGTATGAGTTCTACCAGTGTCACTTGACTGTGTCCACTTATTGGAGATAAAAAGTGAGTGAGACTTGAATAGCAGTGATCAGATCCTAGCGTAGAGGTGCCTCGCTGAACACCGGAATCATCGAGGCAACTAGGGCGACCACCCTCATTGACTTTAAACTTGTGATCTCTCATTCCGACACACGTCCCTTTCCAAAAGAAATGACACGTACATGGTGGAGTTTCGATTATATTACAAAATCAAGTCCTTAAGAAGAGGGTATCAAAGAAGTGGGGCGATGAGACATTTTCCATCATATTAACTTTCATTTTCAAGTTATTTGAGGGAAACATAGGTGTTGAAACTTTGAATGCCCTGGTTGTTACAAGGAAGTGAATTATATCAAAAATTTAAAGATGGAAACATCAAGCAGCTACAGAAGTTTTTTTACAGACTGGCTAAGTTTTCGAAATTATTGCTTTCACCTCCCGCAGGCTATCGGTCTGACGAATCTCCCTTATTAACCAGTGAAATATGCACTAAGATGCGAATGGTTATTCAGCAGACTGGTATAAATGCCTTAATGATTTATTAATATTGACACTAAAATCCCTTTTACAGACAATAATTATAATGCTACGCAATATGAAAAACTAATGGACATTTTCGCTTTATAATCAGACACATGGAGTTTGAACTGGCAAACTCAAAAGGAACACTAGGCGGCCACTTGGGGCCTTCAAAGACAGACGATGCAATTCTATAAAACAAATGCAAGTAAGAAATAAAAAGTGATTTTGGGGCTAGATCGCAGTTGGTAGCCAGGCCTCGTATTACAGGTGTCTGGGGGATTTGCTTACTGTGATCATTTTGTGGGGCCCCATAACAACATCTGAACCGTTTGGCTTCCGTTTTACGTCTGAGGTTAGCATTAGGGCACCGGTTAATTGTTCCCGATTTTTGGGTTAGAGTTATGTTTTGGGGCTTAGGTTTTTGGGTTACAGTTAGGGTTTGAACGTACGAGTAGGTTTCAGTATTACGATTAGGTTTTTCAGTTACGGATATGTCTAAGGGCTACGGTTCCGTTTACGAGTTCGGTTAGGGTTGGCGTTAGGGTTAACGGTTAACGTTCAAGGTCGAGGCTAGGGTTAGCGTTAAGGTTAGGATTAGAGCTAAGGTCACCGTCCCCTTCCCCATTCCTGGCTACCAACTGCGATTTAGCCGATTTTGATCCCAAAAGTAAACCGCAAGGATGACATCTAGTGAGCTTTATAAAATAACGCTTCAGAGATACCATCATCATGGATGAGCACAGATCGAAAATGCTATACTACGGTCTTTTGGTTGCGGCAGAACTAGACGACGCAAATTCAATACATTCCTTGAACGCGACCCACGCGTCCACGACCAGCAAGAACCAACGGGAACAGAAATGTCTGAAGGGCTAGTCTCGAATAGTCCTACGACGGCCTGCCCAGAGTATTAGAATTTGGGTAGTCGCTTTATGAAAGAAACTAAAATTTCGACGGAATTGACTTTTCATAAAATATGACTAGAAAGACAATAGTTACGAGAATCATATGGACGTTATTAATATATTGTTACTTAGCTTACTCACTGCTTCTCTCCCTCAGGACTACCGTTCTAGTCAGAAGCTGTAGATATTATTCCTTATTTTTAATGGTGAAATGAAGAGTATTCACAGGAAATATTAGCGAAAGAATTCGCTTGGGTCTCTTTAGTAGAGATCTGGAATGCAAATTTGTCACTAGCCCATAATTACTCGTGATTGTCGATGGGCAGATCCCCACATGGCGGAAGTGCGAACCCTCGCCCCGTGCATCGACACCGCTGGTTCATACTTTCAGGTCGCCTGTACATAACTTCCAGGACTTCTTCGTCGACCAACTGTACCACCACTTTTGACAACTCTCCAGTCTCCAACGAATAAGTCAGTCCGGCTGCCAAGCCTTGCGGGAGGTGGCTCTGACATTCGACACAGACCCCGAAATCCGAGTCTAAGCATTCTACACCTAAGAACTACGGAAGTCGCTCCGCCATCTAACGCAACGCCATTCTTGACATATCTTACTTGTCCGACGTCTATCCAGGTGTGAAGCAGTCATACTGTCTGCTGCTTTACAACAACAACAACAAAAACCGCGCCAAAAGACACAACAGAACAGCGATCTCTTTAAACCATTAACGCACTTATATGGTCAAGGTTAGTCTCGTTAGGCATGTTCGCATATACCGTTTCGCAGACAACCAAAACACTTTATCGGTCGACTGATCAACAAGCAACCCAATTAAGACGGTGGTCGTTTGTTGAGGCGAAAGACTCTACTTGTAGTTACTGGTTTATAATTTGTGTTTAAAATCAGATTTTTGAACTCCATTTTTACTGTTTAATCCTATCGCGTAAGGGCGAAAGGTGAAAATGACATGAAACGAATTCAAGCCAGTAGCAGTTTACATGTAACTGTCGGACAACACGTGAAAATAGGTAAACAGAAGGAAAGACAATGACGGAATGAACCGTTTGTGTGTTTTGGCGTTTTAAGCTAACGATCTCGGCCACACAACTTAGGAACTTCGAAAGTCCTGTGCACAGTTCTCATTGCATGGCGATGGGTTGCATGCCCAACGTGCCTGCCACGCGGATTGCCAAAGCTGAGTACGGGTGAGAAACCGGTCACCGTTTGGTTTTGTTGTGTTCGCCGCCACTTTCTTGGTGCAAGACAATTACTGCACTTTCAAGTCGTTAATCGTGAAGGTAAATAGAAACCCGACCCAATTGGAGAAAACCAACGTCTATAACACCACAAACTGACATAACAAAGTCCAGAAAAGTAAGTATGACGCAATTATATAGCCTTCCAAAAAAGCCTAAGTCAGATGCAATTTCTAGCAGCTTGCCTCATCCCGAGGGACGCCCACATACGAGTTTGAAAACTGGTTGTTCGCGAAGCCAAGGTTTTCAACGATGGGCTCGCAAACAACAGTTCGTTCAGTGAGGCCATTGGTAAACGAACCAAGTAAGGAGTGATATCATTTGATGCCAGTCCACAATTCCCTTTCATAACACAGGCATCCACAGTCGAAAACACAATGAGAACGGCGACCACGTAACTTACAGTTAGTGATCTAACTCATGAAATGTGTCGAAATTTACGAATGATTGCCAATAACTCGCAAACTGACACCATTTAATGAGTCAAATGTCTATGTTAATTAAGTACAAGCTTAAAAGAATTTAAAAAAATAAAATACTATAGGCAGTGTTGCGCTGTTTAGAAATTTCGATTTACTTTAAAAAGCGCAATATCCCGAAAACGACAGAAATGGCTCTGATTAAGTAAAGTTCTTTTTTAGATGTATAGAATGTATTCTCATACCAAACACGTAGTAAATATGAGATTAGAAATAAAAATAACGTCTAAAAACAGTGTTTTGGTGAAGTTTACATCTAAATATCGTTTAATAAGTAGTGCGGCTTCATATATGACGGTTTGTCAACTGCCTACATGCTGAGTGTAGATTTCAAAACAGTTTTCCTGTGTTTCATAATTTCCTTGAGTATTTGGAGTTAAATGAAATGCGGTTCAACAAGAGAAGCTGGCTTTTGCTTGATTTCCCCGATGGGGACGTCGTAGGATCAAAAGTTTTCATAAGGCGACATGCCATGAAGCCGGCCGATTACTAATAAATTTAAATAGAACTGACAGGCGTGATCGTAAACATACCATTTTGTGTTTATAAAGAAAACATTTCTTCCGTTAAATTACTTTATACTTTTCTTTCGTTTTCGATTAAGATGAGCTTCAGATCGGCCTCGAAATATTGCTGAATACTTCATGATTTTCAGTGTTTCCGTCCGATTGCCCATAAAGACAGATTCTGAATTACCTGTCTGTTGAGAACTTTAAAATAAGAATGTTCTTGAAGGCATTTACCGAATTAGTGAGCGATCAGACTCTCAGATGGCCCGTGGGACACTGCATCAGAACGTTATTAGCTTTCGATGAAATCTTGCATGTATCACGTCGGATCCGCCAACTTCCGAACATATCGTTGGGATATCCCTCCAGTAATTTCAAAAGAGGAGTGTTCGAGCCATACATAAACTCACTTCTCGGCGCACCCGCAGACTGCACTCATCAAAATTGTCTAGGTCAGGATTTGAAAATAAACCAAATAAACAGGGTCAATCATTCTGAATCTGATGAAGAAGGGAGTGGAGGACAGACTGCCATCCCTAGATGTTCTCGCATGCCGTCAATCTGACGGCAATCTGTCGACAACAGTACTATAGGGGACCCCCATAGATGCTGAAGACATTGACTAAGCACAATAATCTAGCACTGCAAGGGAGTGAAAATTCACTGGAATATGTCAGTTCCCACGGTTAGATTTACAGAAACAACGGATGACCACAGGTATTAGTTGAGAAGGGTGTAATGTTCCAAAGGAACGCGATAATGAAATCCAACCAACTAAGATAATGGCGAACCACCCTGCCCGAAAGGCATCTCCGAGACCGTGGCTTGCTCTTCAATACCACTTGGACTAAAAATTGCTCTCAGACCCGACTTAAAGCCGCGCCTACAGATTATGACCAGAGAACGCCGTCCCAATGTAGAATGTAGTCGTTATCTGCCGCATTTTGTGCACGTTTGGTTAGAGAAAGCTGTGTACAGCTGTGAAGACGTAGGCGTTCAAAATCCGAGGTGTTGGAACCTGCTACGCTAAGAGGACATATTTTCACCTGTGAAGCAGCTGAGGTCGGGGGACTGAGGTGATGATTACACGCCAAGCTGGAGGCAAAAGACTGAGTGTCCTCAGACTGCTCGTACGACCGCTCCATAAAATAGCTTGCGCCCCTACCTGGCTTTGGTAAGCAACAGAATAGAAGATCTTGAAGGCCGGCAATTGTCGCCACGGTCAACGAGGGAAAAGTCGACACGGACCACGGCTATGTAGGAATTCAGTCCACGTCCGCAAATGGCACTGGCGAAACACTCGTTAGGTACACTACATATGCATCCCACGTATCATGTACTGGTAGCTGTGTATGTGACCCTCAAACCTCTGAAAATCTGTTGGCGGAATCGCTACCTGAAAAGTCAGATTAAAAATGAAGCCCTCCCGGTGAACGTTTCTTTTAATTTACTATGAAAACTATTGCTTGTACTGATCTCTTGACTTTTTTTCTCAACGACTGGCTGGAATCAACAATATCCATATCCCTTCGAAGACAAATAATTCGTTAGTGTGTAATGCTCCCAAGCGAAATGAACTTCTAGGAATGACATCTCCATAACCTGAGTGGGCAGTACTTAACACGCCAGAAACTCGAGGCCCAAGCGTGAAATACGCAAGGTGGATAACACGCTCAATAGTAGAGATTTTTGTCGCGGACTCCTGTAGATTCCTGTAACAGCTGTCAAGTATCATAACATGCGTGCTATACAATGAGGCTTTCTGTCTGAGGAGAGGTCAATAGCATCACTTTCAGCAGCAACGGCTAAAAAGCTTACCCTTTTTTCGGTCTCGCAGTTTGCGTGTGGGAGCCCTCGGTATAATGAATTGAGAGACGATACTGGCCATTGGAAGCGGTCGATCAGTGGAGGCCGAATTCGGCTGGACACGACCCAGCATGAAATCAGTATAAAAGGAGGTAGCAGAGTCTCCCAACAGGGAGTATCGGAGAAGCAGGGTTTGAAGAACCTAAGGTAACAAAAAAATCAAGACTTTTTTAAATAGGTCTGCCAGAAACACAGACAACCTTTCCCTGAAGGTTTTAAAAGGGACTGCTTTTCAAACATGCAGGCGTCAAAACAGTAAACCTTTACGAACTCGCGTTGGAAATTCACTTACCGTTCTGATTACGATACCGAACACGATTGCCTGTTGTCCGTTAAAGCCCAAACTAGAGCTAGTGCAGGCAGTCGCGTTGAAACCAGACTAAGTAAGGAATAAGTACCAACAGAAGCATAGAAAAGTCAGATTATCATTTTTACCTTTTTAGGCGTTTTCAGTCAGGCATAAATAACCTCAAATTAGGATAACCTAAGATTCGAATCCGGATTATTCAGTCATTGAGCGTGAAATCCAATGACCTGTCATCGTGCCACAGACCAAGTGCCTTTCGATTGCAGCGGGTACAATTGGCAGAAAACGACGAAAAGCCAAAAATTGACATCACAGACTCCCCGGTCTTTGTCAGTATTCATTCTGCATTATTATTGGGCGCAACGTGAGCGCCCGAGATGGTTTTAGACTGACCTCCAAGGCACAACGGGATGGACGTGCTCAGACTTTTAACTAGGGCGATGAATGACCATCAGTCGTCAGTTAATGTACCTGATCGTCTTCAGAAATACCTCTGACCTTTCGGCGCACTAGACGGTTAAGAAAACGTAGCCGCTACCTGTTGCCCATCTCCATTGCGAAGAGAGCGTCAGGGCGAATAACATTAGAAGGGTTGTGAAAGGCATAGACGACGGAATCATGCAAACACCGTAACCCAAATGTTTATCCCTGTCATAAATATAAATGTTAATGATGTTTCGTAGACACCGTAATATCGCCGCGTCAAGCACACCTTGCACAACCGAAAACGCTTCCATTCCAAGCACTGACTACTTCCCATCCGACAAACCGGCCGCCACTAGCAACAACATGACTTCAACCGGTTCAGAATCTCTGAACAGACCCTGCCCACATTACCACTGCTCATGCACATCGCATATCGTTACGGACGGTCATTTGCGAATCCATCGCACATAGAAAGGCGAACCAGTGCCTGGAGCACCTATCTACATCCGACGCCGGTCAAACATGTTTATGTAGCTGCACCTGAGGTAAAAAAAATCCTAGCCACCTGTAGTACGAGACTTGTAGAAATAGGGGTTTCTACAATTGGGGATCGGGAAAGCATAAGCGTCGAAGTCAAGTAATTGTATGCGAAAGAAAAGCTATTGGTTTGAGTGGTTGAGGAATAGTTGCCCTAACCTAAGCCCTAGCCCTCACCCCTAACTCCAACCCTAACCTTAACCATGAAACATCCAACGCGAAAGCTAAAAGGAGACGACAGGTCGAAGGTCCAGAAGGACCACCAGCATTGAACCGAAAAATGTAGACACGGCAACCAAGAAACAAGGCCGCCAACAGAACACACACCGCAACGCACAGCAACACCATGCCAACGTAGTCACACCAACTCAAAATAATTAAGTCGGTCGACAGTATTGTGTCCATCGGGTGCGGCTACATAACCACATCTTACCCCGACGCCTTCGTCTCAACCTCCCGCACTGCCGACCCATGCTCAGTCACTACATGAGTCTACTCGGCCCTATGTATATCCATGAAAACCTGCGATAAAACTCTACCGGCTAGACCACGTCACAACCCCTCTATTCACCAGCAGATACGCCACACACGAGCACGTCCAGCATCACCAACTCTGAGCATGGAGTCGGCGCATCTAGCGTAAACGGAAAGCGTATTCTTTGACTCCTCCATGTGGTCTCCATGGCACTCTAGCATATGTGAGATCTGGCAGGGAGGCCAGGTTGCGTGTGACAAACGCTGACATACCTTACTTAACTATGCCAGTCACTTTTCACAATCTCAACATCAGTTGGGTGACCGGATAGGACAATCGAGCGGTGAAACGTAAAGGGAAGAGAGAATGAGGTCGGCTCTCAGTGCATATTCCTCAGTGTAAACAGTTTGACGCGCTTGTCACTATCACAGTGCGCTTAAAGCTGTTCTTGTTGTGTCAAAACATGGTTGCTTTTGAGTATACCAGGGGGTTTGGTGGCATGTCTAGATGTTGATTTCCACTGCGCGACGCACCTCCATCCTCAGCCCCTCCGGTCTTCTTGACGCTTTTTGACATCGGGTCCAGGGACGTCAGAAAGAGAAAATGTGGTAGATGCAACACAAGTCTTCTATCAACAGGAACTATTTTACGACCAAGTTACCTCCCTGCTCACACCCTACTGTGGTACACACGATGGACATAGTCGGAATTGAAGATCAAACTGCCCTGTGCCTCTAGACTATGAACTACACATATGAATACTAAACTAATAAGTGAGCGCATCATATTTGTGTGACGAAAGGGATTTGTGTCCGGTCCCGTTGACCTACATTGGAATAAAGGCCGTGTTTACCTATATTAACACAGTTCGCAGAGGTTCTGCAGCCACTACCTGTCATTGACATTTAAAAAGTTTAAAATCTGCTATTCTTTCATTACGAGGGATTCCAAGCTGACATATCCTATTGCGAAACTCAAAGTTATCAGGATGGGAATGGAGAAATTTAAGATCACAAAAATTATAAGAGACCAAAAAACGTAGTCAGTCAATGTTGGGTGAGCGGTCTGCTAGTGACGTATTTGCTGACGTCAATAATGAAAGTAATGGCAATGACCATCTCTCCACAATAAGTAAGTGGCGTAAATAATCGATTTCACAACGGGAGCGGAGAAAGACAAACACTTAACGTTACTGAAGTTCTTTATGTTTCGAGAGAAGAATGGGTAGATCAAATGATAGTCAGTAAATTAGACTCCTAAGTTTAATCCCGGTACAAAGAAAAACAAGTCAAAACTTTGCTAGTTCAAAACGGTCCCATAAAATGTCGCTATGGCGACAACGTTATTAAAAAGTACAGTAGTCCTCTAAGACAAAAACTGGTGGAATGATCACTTTTAAGCAGGCTCGTCGTAAAACCGCTGCGTTTAAGGAGCAACAATATTTACAAAACCATTAATTGTAGACAATTTTATGCAATGGAAAAAGACAATACAGTCTGTCATCTATATTCCAGCCGCACGGAGGTCACGCAAGGGTGTTATGTCCGTACAGGTCACTGTAACGCATGTGTATGAATTCACGTTCAATTTTAGATACATGTGCATTGGACGAGGCCGAATGCAATATGCCACCGAATCCTCTGTGGACTTCCAAAATGGCTTCTCTGGTCAGAAAATAAAGCTATGCTTCTCGTAACTACTCCTCCGCTGGCCTAAAATTATTCTTTCAAGACTTCGGTCACGTCCTAACAGATTGGACTCTGTGTGAATCGGTGGCGGTTTTTATTCCGCGGAATAAGTAGGATTTGGGCACACAGCATAAACCAGGTCGACAGACTGGTCTTGTCCCAGTCATTTCGCATACCTTTTATATTCCTCACTTTTTACCTTGTTGACTCGTGTGAACTGCGAAACAAGTTCTGTATGTTTCGCTTACCCGTCCAGAAGTTTACTTACCCTTCAAGCATTATGAATTGAATCCCGACACCTAATCTTGCCTGAGATGATCATAATCTGACAATTTTTCACCCTCGGTATTTGAATTATGGAGTGCCAAGTGATAGCTAAAGAAACGTTGCAAATTTGTCTCATTCCAGTAAATTCTGCCTTCATTCTTATTCATGCTTTATGTTTGCCATCATTAATTGCCTAAAATTTTATAAACAAAGCTTGAAGATTATGCGACCATGACATGATTCTTAAGGTCAGCTCTGAGAACGTAATAAACATGAGTCAAAGACAGGCAATTTCTGCGGAATGATCACCTAATATTCAGGTTACAAGTGAGTGTTACCACAACCGCTAGAGTTCCGTTTGACATTCACTGCATCCTACTTTCGAATTCGGTATTTACTACAAATTCGGGCACGTATTTTTCTGATGTACAGTAGGTGAACGAGCGATTGAAAAATAAGCTGGTGTCTAACCAGGATTTCGTTTGAAAAGGAATATTTATTGAAACAGCAATATTGATTGCCATACAGCATAATCGCATGATACTGCAGTCACGCGAGGACTCCAGCCCCTGGAAGCGAACCTTTCAGTCATCTGCAAACACCACGCTCGCTGAAAAATAGTTACTGAGAGTAGCAGTAACCTTCTCGCCGATTTTGGATTCTTTTAGAAATAAAAATATGCTTTATAAAAAACTTGTACTTAGGCATCATATCCTATACTCGTTTCGTGACCTATTACGTTTTATTCAAATGATCTAATCTAAGAGAGGACATCAGTTGTGAGCGTTTTCAACATTTTTGCCCGTAATGAGAGACAGTTGAACATCCTAGGGTAGATCTTATGGCAGGTTTCACTCTGAGAGATTTGAACATCTGCGCAAAAAGGATAAGTGCTATCGCGTTTGGATCTTCGTAAACAGCGTATTTTCCCATCGGCCGGCTAAAGCAAAACTTTACGTCCGTACTTCACGGATATGCATTGCAGGAACTATAAACTGAGGCTACATAATGGCCTTGGAAAGATAAAAATAGCTCATTTGCCTAAGCGATCGTTCTACCAAAACCACCCACTTACAAGCAATTGCGGAAATTAAAATGAAAAAGCAATAAAGTTTCAGGACAAATTACGAAGAATCACAATCGCAGCCGATGAAATGACGCCGCTCGAGGTCACCTCTTTGTTTGCGTCCACATCTCCAAGTTTGGAAAAACGATGAACAGACGAACTCTTCTAGTTTTATGACACGTACGCTCCTTCAACAAATCTGGTTGTTCATAAACAAATTTTTAATTCGTTCAAGAATGTAATCATCAACCGAAGAGAGCGCCTACAAGGCGACCTAGCTCTGGCATTTTGCCGCGGTCATAATGAAAAATAAGAAGTTACAGGTATTTCATAAGTTTACTGTAAGTTGTGACTGTGCTAAGTATATGATATTCTTGTTGTCCCAAGCAAGGGTCGACTGGAAAACATCACAATATCATCAATTCAATATTTGCATCAAATGAGGATGATAAATAAATATTCATATGTGGACATCTTCGTACATTAAAAGACTGATGGAACATTACCCCCCTTAGTTCGCCAAGGAGGATCTAGTGCGAAACTCATGCTGCATTATGAGATAAACCACCCTACCTGTCGAACACGCAGAACTATCAACAACTTCCTTAAACAGACAAAAACATAAGACTTCGACAAGAGAATCTGTTGAATTAGGCTGTTACTTGTTCAGATTATCTCACAGAATGGATACCCCAAAGATTTTGCACTTCTGCGCATGAAGCAACAAGACTCAACGGAGGAGGAATTACATTACCTCAATCAGCGATATGGCTAACCCCTTTTTAAAACAAAAATGCATATGAACTCATTGAAAGATACCCGAGGAAGCAGCAAATACAAGTGGCGAACAAACCAATGACTGCTGTACAGCACACTTAGTAACGTTAATGTTTTTAACTCTTGGAACAATTCGTTTATCTGTCTGGCTCGAACACTTTACCAATCTGAAGACACTCTGTAGCTGTTTGATGTTTCCATTTCAACTTTTTGATATAGTTCGCTTCCTTGTAACAAATAGGGAGTTCAAAGGTTCAACACCTATATTTCCCTCAAATAAACTGAACTGAACTGGACTGAACCCAGCATGAGTATCCTAAGCATAGGGATGACTACTTCGTCAAGAACGTGACCTCCTACGATTGGGTACATTGTGCTCAAACTAAAAAAATATGCTTCTACACACGGGCAAACTGGAAGTAAATGGACGAGAGCATCTGTTCCAAGCACCACTGAACACCTGGATAGGAGGGCAAAACTCGCCTTGTTGGCGCCTGCCCAGTCAAGAAAAATTGGGAATGCATCGCGACCATACACTTTGATGAGTCATGCACTCGGCATACCGAGTTTCATGGCACATACAAAGGTTGCAACGGAAAAGGAAGAGAGATTGGTCAATTCAAAGGATGTGCTGCCTTGGCTCAAACCCCAGACAAGTATTATTCTTTAAGCACGCTTAAACAGTTAGCACTTCTGTAGGTTTGCATGAGGAACCGGCGTAGTAGATTTGCAGGATAAGGCTTGACATTGTCTTAACGACTTTTTTAGGTGTGCATGTGTGAGTATGTGTGTAGAGAGGACAATCTCCGAACTTTATTCTCTACGGCACTTCAAAATACCACTTGTACGCATCGTCAATGCTAACTGAAAGCGTACAGGTAATCGGGAATTTGGAAATTCCTCCCCCGGCGTAAGTTTCAATCCAGACATTTACTGCCTTCGCGGCACTGTAAGTTGGTGATAGAGAAAAATGCATCTTTGCCAAGTGTTTGTGTAAATGCCACGATTTCTGCAGCTGACGAAAAATCAGATAATTTCTGGAGAGAAGTACAACAGTTGGCCTGGCCGAGTTATATTTTCAACGCCTGAAGATTCTAGCACAACGTTCTGAAACATCTGTCTACGTAGAGAGACCAGTCTTAGAAAAGTCCTGAGACGTTTAACTTTAACTTTGCGAGGTCAGAGTATCCTTCACCGTAAGGCCAACTGACGCTACGACAAGAAGAACAATCCCCTGAAGTCCGAACATCTGACCGAGCTCTTACGGCATTGCCTAAAAACACACTTCACCTTTGGTGGACAAATGTATGAACAAATTGAAGGCACACCCATTGGCCCTCCTATATGGGGCTGATTGCTGAAGTGGTCCTTTAACGAAAAGAACACTTGGTGTTCACCAAGTATCAACCAAAGTTCGGGGCTCGTTACGTCGATGACACTTTTGCCATCGTCAAATTATCTGACGTGGAGTACCTTTAGGACTTATTGTACCCGGTCAACTCGAATATCCAATTTACAATGGAAGCCGAACCTGACGGCCAACTGCCCTTCCTGAATGTCCTTGTGCGCCGATGTGCAAATGAGCAACTGCAAACTGCTGTTTACAGGAAAGCTACCAACACAAGACAAATACCACACGTCGACAGCAATTATCCACTCTATCACAAACGCAGCTGTGTCCGTACCCCATTTCAAAGATTTGAAACACATTGCAGCACACCAGCCGACAAAAGAGTTGAACGACAATACTTTCATGACCTCTTTTGAGCCAATGGATACCCCGGCTACTTCATCAAGCAAACCAAGCGCCGAGTGAACGGACGACGGCCACAAGAAGAAAAACCCGAGGTCTGGAGGGCTATTCCTTACATTAAAGGAGTCTTCGAGGCGGTTTCACGACTGTTACAACCCATTAGGGTAGGCATTGTCCATCGTCCCCAGGCAGCAATTCGTCACCGCTTTAAGCAACCCAAAGGCATGCTGCCACCCATTGAAACTTCAGTAGTTGTCTATCATATACGTTGTAACGATGGAGACTGCAATTACGCTGGGGAAACCGAACGGAAATTGCAGACCCGCTTGCATGAGCACAAACTGACAACTCGGAGACTAGGCCCGAGCTCACAGCTTGCAACTCACATCGGAGAAAATGATCACAGTTTTGACTTTCGAGGAGCAAACGTCTTAAGCCGGAGCACCTCAAAAACAGAACGTCTCACACTGGAGGCTTAGTACTCAGATGCTAACTCCGTCAACAAGCATCCAGACCTCCCTGCGGCCTATAAAGTCCTACGTCATTACGTACGCCACAACCAGAACGACACGGTCGCAGGAAGCTTAAAACTACCGAGCAAACACGTCCCGCCGACCAATCCACCCGAATGGGGAGCACAGTGGCAACCGGCCCCCATTGGGATGACGAAACGCCACCCAGGAAACCGCCTACATTCACAGACAACTGCCAGAGGGCCAAGGCTGTGAAAGAAGAAAAAATCGATTGGTCCAAGGCCAATTAATTCGGCCGCTTGTTCAAAATTCTGGTCGATTTTTGCATAAAATGTTCCGATAATGGAGAGCCGGCCAAGTCCTCTGAAACGACAGTAACTTAATTCCACTGATCCGGCGAGCTCTTCATATTTCTCATGAAAGGGTCTTCCCCTTCTTCGATTAAATAAAAAGCGTCTTCCAGTTCGCAGGTTTCCTTATCATTGGTTCTAGTTCCCTGATAAGTCACAATGATAGCTTATGCGGAGTAGAATTAACCACTGACGTAAATGTCATGAAGGCAGGACCATCCTAAGATATCTTGGTAATCCATATGGCCTAGGAGTATGTGTGTTGTGGTTCTAACGATAATGTGATTCCATCACCAATCATTTTTGCAAGAAGTGTAATTGTCATTTCTCAGACTAAACCTTCAAACGCTTTAGTTCTATTTCTTTCCATTGTTTATCCGGGTGCCTTATCCGCGTACGTCCCTTCAAATTGTATTTACGAATTCACAGTCTTATGTGGATGCAAGCACCCCGAAGGAACGTACTGGCAGTCAAATCAGGTGGCCATTTGCCTAATAGGGTTCTCGATGTTAGAAAAGAAGGTATTCCGCTCTTTTACTAAGCAGCACCTGGTGGTCAGTGGACACTCGCCTGACTCGAAAGTAACTGCCCGAGTCCTTGATTGTTTATGGACAGCTTGGACACTGTGGTATTTGCAGGCAGCCAATGTTCGAACGTAAAACCGGACTCATGTTAATAGCTAGATCATGTTGTAAACTTGGTTTTAACTTGGAAATCCCTAGTCCTTTAATTTTTATGCCCATTTGTACCCTATCGCCATTTTCTTTCTTCATTGCATGTTTACTCATTTTTTCTCGGTTACACTGTGCGTTCTGAACTACACTCTCGATACTTTCTTACATATCTTCTTTGACAATTTTATGGAGACAGAAACCATGCGAAAGAAAGTCTCAAAACTTACTGGTGCTAGTGAATCCTGTTTTCTAGATAGGGATTTCGGGGTTGCAATCGCGCATTCCTTGTTTTAAGGAATGTGGACGACATACTATTAGTCTTAAGTGTTATGAATGGCAGCAAAATTAGGAATATAACCTACTAAACAAATTAGTTTGTCCACCAAATAGGCATTTGCTTTCCGTCTGTGCCTGACGACGACTCGGGGAACCGGCGTCGAAAATTTGCACAATAAACTTCCTTTCCCAAAGCACACATTCGACTTCGACTTATATTTCTTGGGATGCCTACCTTCCAATAAAAATAACAATACAATGAATAAACGGTTCATGTGATGGCGATGTTGCGTTTAACAGAAAACTTTCTCAAATTATTTCCTAAGAAATGATGATCTGCATTCTCTTATGAGGAAGTGGGCCTAATCTCTGTTGACTTTTCTCTGATTCTCAGAACACTTGCTTTGTTTCTTATCATTTTTCGCCTTCGGTCGTTCAATTATTGCCTCTGAGATTATTCATCAGAAAGAACATTCAAAACAGGCATAGCCAAATCTTCTGGTGAGAATTTGAAACAGAAACGAGTGGCATGTTTGGATACTCGATGAAACCGGCCAAAATGAGGCCCGAACTAGAATACCGGTGAGTACAAAACTTAATCCAAGAAATTAAAATATAGGCGAATTTTTTCTCTTGCTCTTTGAACGAGTGACTTTTTTACTGCAGGTGGAATACCAATCTGAAGATAAAACATGATCGCAACTATTTGATATTTTGAATTTCAGCAACCACAAAGTCGTTTCAAGACTTCTCATCGTCACGTAATCGCTGCGACCAGATCATGTATTTCTCTTTTAATTATCAGTATTCAATGCGACTAAGCGTTTTTGTAATGAGATATTCTTGAGGTAGTAAGCCAAAATGTGTTTCTAAATTTTGGCAAGATGCAGCTGACGTCACTTGTCAAAATTAAGTTATTATATTTTGCAAACCCATAAGTATTCAAAGACCTTGTAATATGGAAGAGCGTACATAAAAACTGTTTAAAGTGTATTTAATTTCACATGTAAAAGCACGCAATGCAATACTTGGGCTATATATGAGCTCGTCCCAGTCAACTGTCAAGGTTTGCAAACGTCCCCATCAGACTTTTGATAATTTTCGAGATGCGTAATCAGTAAACGAAGAATCGAACAGTTTCGAAGTACACTAAATCGTAATGTATTAAAACATATCATGCAGGTTCGGCCTTTTTTAAGAAAGCTTTATGAGGCGAGCAGACAAATAAACACTGGGTCAACTATCTGTAAACAAGAAATAACCCTTCCGTGCTTACGTTAATTTCCATGCTTCGAAACTGTAGTTTTTCGACGATCAAAGTAAAATTTGCCGGCTTCAAGTTTGAATAATACGGCTGACTGTCAAGTCTTGAAGAAAGGGCATTGACAAGCAAACAGCTGCTCCGATTATTCAACAAAATAGGTCCTGGCAATAGTCTTCCTCAGGCCCGCCAGTAGGAAGGCGGGATAAAGATTAATATTCCTAAATCTGCGGTGGATGTAAACATATGAAGAATGTAGACTATTTGTGAATATTTGATCCGTCGCAACTTTGGAGACAAAAAAATACAGTCCAAGATTTAGCATGGGAGGCATCATATATGAACGATGCCGTTCCAGTTTGAAAATAAATTTGGGAGCTTTGGAATACGAGGTTTGTCAGTTAGCCTATTTGTGAGGAGCCAAGAGTATGAATCGGTGATTGTTATCCCACAATTAATAATTTTACCAAGGATGGCTGGTACACCAAATAGTGCCGGTAAGCAAAGTCGTGAAGGAGGTCTACGAAAAAATGAGCCTCACCTCTTTGTGTCGATATATGAAAGAGGGTCTTCGTAGGACTACGGATCCCAACTGCAATATATTCTTTCAGGGTCAGGCATAGTAAACTAGATGTCCTGGTTACCGACAAGAAATTTAAGGTACGCTCACAAACGGTTATCCTTCTACACGATTGATAGCGCATGTTGTTTGCAGAAATTTTGTTCACTCACCGATACTCGCAGTTTATCTGCCGGCCGGACTGATACTGTGCGTTGAGGAGAGGCTGACCGGGTCTTACACCTTGGTGCTCAATGTGCATCAAAATCTGGCATTGGCCTTCCAGTGATGCATTGGTGTGTAAGATAATTCCAGTGCACGCGGTGTTGAATTAGCGCCAAACTGGATGATTAGGTAGGGGAACTCGTGTTTCGTTCCACGTTTGCGAACTTCTAATGGCGACTACCGTTTCTTTATATGATCAAACGCTCAACTCAAAAAACCATGCAGCTGCAGCGCTATGAGGCGCTTAAGGGTTTTGCAATTGATGTCTTCATCGCGACATCAAGACCTCGTGGTCTGAATTTAGAACTTAATTAGCTATGAGAACGACCCTAAGATATCCGAACTCTCCATGTATTCTGCTCGGAAATTTGAATATCGGTCATTTATCCCAAATTTAATAGACTTTTAGGGAAGCAAAACATCCGACATCTAGAAATTCATGCACCGAATCAACAGAAAGTGGCTGTATTGAAGCAAAGCAGATAGCCGCAATGGCAAAAGGCAGTTACCGTAACGTGTCCCCTACTCTTTGTCAGCCGAAGGTCTTATTCACAGTGATTTGTGTTTGGGTTGAGGCACTCCACGACTTGTAGAAATGATAATAAAGTTTCAGCATAATTAGTTCGAAGGCAAAGGAAGGAATACCGCCCACAAATTGTTATTTTGATCAACCAAGAGCGGAATTTTGGTTTTCTAGGAAATTTCAATTACTTTGGGGTGTGCTGTCTGCATTCTGGAAACTCAGACGTTATACCTTATGTGTTCGTATTTTTCGAGAATGAAACATTAATTAATTAGAAGTTGAACACGCAAAGCGAGTATGCCTATTACCTCGGTGAGTGGTGGATTAAGGTTCTAGTAAGTGTCCTTAGCTGATCTGTCAAGTCCGCCGTTTGTAGCCGCCCCTAGTGAAACCTATACAAAAAGTGTTCTTTTTGCCTGATGCAAATGAAGTAATTTGTGGCTTTTAAAATGGGCCGATTCAGAAGCCATTTAGAAACGGCCCCAGCAGTGCGTTCTAAGTCGCACAGCAAGTCTGACGTAAGACTGAAATAATGAAGTCGTAATCCCTTTCTTCAGAATGGGAGTCAAATCTAAATGCTGAAACTACCCTATCATTCCCTTCGCCCGTATGCGTAATATCCATTTGAAACCCTCCAAAGCCTCCAGTAACGCAAAGAAAAAACGATGCGGTTTTTCGCTGCTAAGGTTTGTGTTAATCAAGTATTTACTATGCAAAGCAAGTTCCAGTAACATCCGCGTTCTCAGCTGGAAGAAAATTAGCAACACATCTAACGTCACCAAAAATATCTGCTCAGTTTGTAAAAGTATTCCTTGGAAATATTTGGAGTCTACGAGCATTACGCACAAAGTTTTGAATCTTATAAAGTTGCGATTTAAATCAACCGAAAGAAATTCCCGACCACACGTTTGAATGAGTGCGGTGAACGCCCCAGCATTTTTTAATATGTCACTTGGGAATCGCATTTTTACTACTATTGCGGTTAAAGTCTAGCTGAGGGTGGGAGAACACCTTCCTCGATCGTACCTTATGTCGACTTGCCAAACGAGTGATTGAGTGATACACTGTGTCCCTGAAGAATATAAAGTTCGTTACAAACAGGTGTTGCCTCAAATGCATAACGTATCATCGACTATGGATGCCCCATGCCAGGTACGACAGTGCAATTAGTTATATCACGCCTCACCCCGCTCAACAGTGAACTCATACACGATTTCGTTCTCCAAAACCTAATTGTTATAAGCAACGTTCTCGTAGTCGCCTCAGAGGTTGGAGTTTCTGATTAAAATGGGGGCACACTCAGTGCAGACAGGCGTAAATGCCGATTCCTGTAATATTCAACCGAACAGGGCCGTCTTTCTGAGAGTCCAAACTTGCTCACTGAAAGTTAGCCCCAATATTTTGTAATGCCTGTAGGAGTTAGGCTGTTTAAGCCTGCATGATATCTATGCATTTGGCTATTTTATCTCTCCAAAGAGCTAAAAATACCGAACTTTTCCGTGGATGATACGAAAGACTATAGCCGAAAAACGGGCGAAATAAACATTTTGACGGGAAGAAATAAGTCTCCCTCGGCATAGCAATCAGAAAAGGAGGAACGAAAAACGGGCAGTGATAGCACCACGTAGGCTGTTATACTTTTTACCCAACATTACAATCCTTCAGAGGGCGGACTATAACGCTGAATTCTGACAAATGCACGTGTCCCTTACTCTTTGTCAGCTGAAGGCCTTATTCAATGTGATTGGTCTTTGGGTTGAAGCATTTGACGACTTGGAGAAATTATAATAAAGTTTCAGCATGATTAGCTCGAAGGCGAAGGAAGGAATACCACCCACAAACTGTTATTTTGATCGACCAAGTGCAGAATTTTGGCCTTTTAGAAAATTTCACTTACTTTGGCGTGTGCAATCTGCATTCGGGAAACTCAAACAAATTTTTTTTTAGTTAAATCGACAGCCTGACAATGGTTGCATATTCGGCAAGATCCCATTTCGTAGCCGTACCTGTTAGGGTTTAGGGTTGGGGGTTAGGAGTTAGGGTTAGGGGTTGGGGTTGGGGTTAAGGGTCAAAATTACGGGTTAAGGTTGGAGATTAAGATAAGGGTTAGGGGATCTGGTTAGGGGTAGGGATTATGATTAGGGGTTGGGGTAAGGGGCTAGGGGTCAGGCTGGGGCTTGTCTATTACAGGTGCGGCTACAAAATGAGATCCGACCGAATTGTCGATCGTGATGAACCTATTACTTCAAAAATCGAAAGCTTTTTAGTGCCAGTAAGCGATAAATTCTATGATAAATTAGCCCAAATAAAATGCTAACGTTTTTTGACTATTTTCTTAGTAGACCAGAACAATGCTAATATCCATTTGAACATCGAGCAACCCTGCTACAAAGACACGCCAGAAATTTCTAAATAATGATATCATACCAGTATAAATAAATTAGTTAGTAGACAAGGCAAAAAATCCAGCATGTTGGGCACCTAGTTATGAAACCTACAAGTTTATGAAATTCAGTCGGACGAGGCGGATGGGAATCAATCCCAGCAGCACAACTACTTTCTACAGTAGATGTGTAATCTCCTGAAATCTTACCTTCGATTATGAAGGATTACTCACGAAGGGTCGAAAGACTAACTAACTCGCAGCATAATCGCAAGATGTTTCAATCACTCCAGGATACCGGCTTTTGAACGAGTCTCTTTCTGAGTTTCTTTTCTGCGGAACTCCTTGCATATTATGAATTAATCTTATTGATTTTTGACGCCCTTCGATACTAAATTTTATTATATAGATAACAGAAAAGATATTTTCTTCTTTTTCTCAGTCGGTAGTACCTTACATCTCTTTGAACTCTTATACTTGGCTAAGGCACATTCATTGCTTATAGATCGTTAAATGTCTATCCTTAAAGCATTACAACCGTCCATTCTTTAATGTTGCTTATGAAATGTGCAACGTAGTCCACCTTATCTGCCAAATTAATTGCACGAGCCCTATATGAGTTCTTCTTAATAGTATATACAAAATATGTGATTTTACTCGGAGGGAAAGATCTGGCTTGTAGCTTGAGAACCCTGAATACCAGTTCAACGGCAGGTCAGGTCAGAAATTATCTAATAAGTTGGGTTTTTTAAACTTAAAGATACGCTTTCAAGCGTAAACTTTAAGGAGACATAGATTGCTGTCAACTGAAAACAAGAAAAAATTTCTCTTTGTTTTCTATAAAATATATTCGTATTTTTAAGAACGTCAGAAGTCAATCAGAGCAAATTTATTGTATATAGGTAGTCGTTTTTCCTCGAGTAGTCTTTTGAAGCGGCCTGAACGAAAATCGCCCAAAAGCCGGCATCCTGATCTGACCGAAATATCTTGTGATTATACTGCGTGACGGTTAGTCTTCCGCCTTTATTTAGGGAATCTTTTCTAATCGAAGACACATTTTAGAATTTCGGTCGACATTTCATGAGATAGAACATCCTTTGTAAATAAAATTGCAAAAACGTTTATAAAATAGTCCCCCAATACTAAGTCAACCTAAAGTTGTGTCTGCATTGTCATGTTCTCAACCAAAGATAAATATATGTAAAGAGCTTTTAAAAAGACATAACTAAGTAAACTAGATAACGGACTGAGAATAGCCGTCGAGTATATTGTCGAACCACTGTTAAACATGTTTCTAGATACTAGCAATTCACTGATAATTAGAAATTTTCAAGACACTACTGCTTCATAATGTGTAAGTGAAAAAATGCTTTAGACACGAGCAAACAAACAGAGAATTGTAAATATAATCGACTGGATGTGCTCGCGATCTTCGCCTCAGTGCACACTGACTTTGTCGTCTGTCCGTACTGAGGGGAAGAGCGAACGTTCATGAGATCGCAAAGCAAGCAAATTAGCGCTGTCAGAAAAAAAAGCAAGCTACGTATGACTGGGGTGTGACTAATTGAAGAGGATGTTAACGCCCCAAAGCAGCCGCTGTCCCGGCTTCGCTTGTCATTGTCGGTCTGTCTGTCTGTGACACTTAGAAATTATAACAGTACTTTACCTGAGATGCTCGGTCAACCATTTCGACCGAGAGGGGACAGGTGTGGACAAGCGCACCCACAATGGACTTCGAAACAGCCTCGGCAAGAGTGCAGACGGGGGGGTTAGAGGCGCCGGAGGCAGGAGCTCTCGTCACGGTGTCAAGGCCTCCCAAATCCCCCGTGGAGCCGCCGTGTAAATCGAGGGAGGAGGAGCAAGAGTGACATCCAGTACTGAACAGGGCGCTAGCGTGCCGCACCATGCTGTGAAGGATGCCAAATATGAAGACGACCAGCTCACGCGACGCTTTGGGTAGACTATCCAGGATTCTGTTGAAAAAGTATAAAGACGGAAATAACATTAAAGCGCTAATCACCCTGGCAGTGCGAAGGAGTATTGAGTTGGTCTAACAAAGGGTCGATTCCAGTTTTCGATGCATTTTTCCCAGAGCATACTATATTTTATAAAGTCAGCGCAAAGTGTGAAATTGTTGGTATGAGTATTCTTTGTGAAGGTAAATCATTTTAACCTCGGGTTTGTGTGGCGCATTTGTTCTCTAAATAGTTACACTGTGTAAGTTCTGTAATATGAAAACAGTTTTCTAGAACGCTTTCTCTCACTCCATATTGAACTCCTCAAGTTTGCTAACCTATATATATATATATATCTTGTCTAGGACGAACCCAGTAGATAAGACGTCAAATAAATTCAACCATATAATATAAGAGGTGGACAAAACGTTTAAATAAAATGCTGCTAATTCCTGTTACACATTGGGCGTCTCCACACAGAAAATCCGAAAGGGGCTAAAAGACGGTAAAAATGATTCTCGAGAATCGAGGGTCAGCGGACGAGGTGCATGGGTGGTCTGACGTTTCATGTAGAGGATTCAACTGCCCATGTTCGGTACTGAGGGTTTTATGCTCAGATCACATCATAAGTTCGGCGGGTGACGCACAATCTCATGCACGTCGGACGGTATGAAAATGGCGTCTTCAAATAGGCTCTCTAACCCCTTCGGATTTTAATCGTTGTTATCCTCATTTCCGGTGCCTGTGACGATAGTGGAAGGTCCAGGCAGTCTTATGCCTCGCCCGTGAGTTAACGTTCGTCAGGAATTACGAGTTGGCAGTGCATTTATGGTTGAAGTAACCGACCTGAACGCTAATTCACATGTATACTTTTCATGATGAACGTTTTTTTTCTTGGAGCGAAAAGAGCACCAGCCATGCCCAAAAGTGTCCAAGAACGTCAAAAAATTTCTGTGGTCTTCCGCAGTCTGAATAGTCCAAATGAAATGAGTCGAGTATCTGTAAAGTGATGCGGTCGGCGACGGTAATAACCGTCAAGAGGAGAATCACTGTCTGTACAATCTCACGGCTTTGCAACCACCTATTCATAGTATCTTAGAGGAATATGGCGACAAAGAAGTGTCCTATCCGGAAAATGTACTGCTCAGAAGCAGAAATCAAGGTGGGCAAATAAGACATGAACTATCAAAATCAAGATGCACTGGGAGGGACAGTCATAAGTAACATGGAAGTGGCATCCACTGATCTAGCTTTAATGAAGGACGCAATAAAGGTCGATCCAGTTTTTGAGCTTTGCTCGAAAGCTCTTGCAAATTGTCCACTAATCCTGAGTATGCGGCAACCTAAATGCCTTATCAACGAAAAACGGCAGTCCGAAAATATTTTTATTTGTAAGACAAGGTGTCGTCAGAAAATAGATCCTCGAAGTAAATAGGTGTTTATCACAAAATTTTAGCTGGGAGTCAGGGTGGACTTCGATAACAACCGAATTCACAAATACACTATATCTAGTTGGGTGGGCGTGAAATAACTTTGAAATATGCAGTTCCTAACCCCTTAGAATTATGGACTGGAGACAAGTGGTCAAAAATAGGATTTCGGGCCTTTGTGTGGGAGCACTCACAAAGAAAATAATTTTTCACGGCATATTTTCTGACTGAAAGTCAGACTGCAACATTTTTTGGATTTCCTGAAATCTACAGAAATAATCTTCGGTGGAAAATCCAAAGCACTTGCTTGGAAACTATTTTCAGCTAGATCGCAGTTGGTAGCCAAGAATGGGGAAGTGGACGGCGACCCTAACCATAATCCTAACCTTAACCCTAACCTTAACCATTAACCCTAACGGCAACCCTAACCCTAACCGAAATGGTGAACGTAACCGCAGCCCTTAGACATAACCGTAACTAAAAAATCTAACCGTCATACTGAACCCTAATCGTACATTCAAACCCTAACCGTAACCCGAAAAACTAAGCCTAAAGGCAAACCCCTAACCCGAAAATCAGAAACCACTAACCGGAACCCTTATCCTAACCTCAAACGTGAAACGGAAGCCAAGTGGGGCGGATGTAATTATGGAGCCCCACTTAATAGCCCCAGTAAACAAACCCCACAGCCACTTGTAATACGGATCCTGGCTACCAACTGCGATCTAGCCCTTCAGATTTCAAGATCAGCCAGTTTATGGACACATTACTTAGCTCTGCCAGACCTCTTGCCCACCTCGGTTGTTTTGGTCGTCTTGTCTTAAAAACGAGGCGGGTATGGGAGGAGTGGGGTGGATGTGAAGGGGAGGAATTCTCTCCAATATAAACAAGTCCACACGCAAATCCCCATTGTCCCTTCTCCCGGACCATGATGATCCTCTGTGCTTGCGACGGATGAACTATCAGTGGGACTCCATTCAAACAAAATCGCAGGAACGGTGGTAGAACGAAAGATGAAAGGTCGGTACAAAACGCCACATGCTTCTGCGCCCATGGAAATTATCTTCGGAACTTTAAAGTATCTTCACTGCCATCAAAGTCAGGCGACCTGAAAACGCTGGCCAGATTTTCCTACACAGGAAACACAACATTCCGGCTGCAAACGTTGGGTTAATTTTTAATGCTTGCAACAAAGGAAAAAGAAAATTGCAGGTACCCGTTATGGGTTTGACTTCAAGGGGGATGGTGAAGCCTGAGAGTTCGTAACTCCAGATGAAACGGGAATGATTAATTTCCTTGAAGGTAACAACCGCGCAGATGGCTTGGTTCCTTTCGTTATAGCCTGAAGCTGCATACTGTACTTCCGAATCTTTTCCCACTTACGGAAGTGACTTCTTATTTTAGCAATCCCAAGACAGTGCATGGGCTGTATTGTATTTTGTAGGAAAAGTGAACCATGAAGGTCTTTCTCTAGTCATATGATAACCTCAGTGATAATAGCTTAAAGAGCTTCAATTTATTGTTATCACCTCTAATAGAAGCAGCTATAAGTTAGAGATGCCAAAGGAGCATCTACAGTGACTTACGCATGCAACCAAATTATTGCTCAAAGTGTAGAACAACGTAAAAAACCATTTAGCCAAATATTAAAATTGAAAATGGCAGATAAACAATAAAAAACAAAATCCGATAAGGTACTAAATAAAACACAGGGTGTGTTGATTGGAATCCGAATTGTCCTATGGCAATGGGGAAGAGAATACCCATTTAATAAGTAAACATGTTCGCACACCACCGACCAAAATTACATAAAACCGGTGTGGTAATCGTTGCTTCAATAATGTTACAATACTAGGGAATATAAGATAAAATATTGAGCTAATTCACTCGCCATTTTGTTTTAAGGACGGTTGAATCGACCTCATTTGTGGCAAACTTGCTATTGTAGTAGGATACATTTGACTTCATTTGTTATATCTAGTAAAATGATAGCAGTTTTTAGTGGCGGAGTTAATTTCATATGAAGTTTATGTCATTTTACTTGTTCCTCCTAAATTTACTTAATAAAAACATTATTACGCAGTATCACTTTAAAGTTCCAAATCTGCTTGATACGCGTGTATTCTATTTAGAATTCATTTTATCCTTGACTGGGAAGACTTGAAAACCCGGTGGAATTAAAATCTGCAATACATTTTTAGGACTTTAATCCAAGTAACGATCTAGTCACCTGCACTACGATGTCCCACAGAGAGACCCGAATTTAACACATCTAAGGGGATACCTTGGCACAAAAGGCTGAGTTCTCAGCCAGAGCCATGTGGTTTAGGCAATTAGAACATTTTTTTACTAAAACTCTGCCGTTTTGTTGCGGATTCGAGTCACCAAGGTCGCTGAGCCTTTTCCAACCTGGTCGATTAAGTTACACATTTATAGTGTAGTACATCTGCTTTGCCACCCGATCTAAGAAACGTTGGACTGTCAGATTTGACAGATATCAAGTGGAGAAACTCGGTGTTTACGATACACACCGAAAGGCGAGTCCGATATAACAAACGTTGGAAAACGTACTCAATACCTCAGACGAGAGCTGTGTCAGTCTGAAGTTTAACATTCATGCTGGAACCTGCAGTTACAGACATAATCATAGAAAGATAAGGCGGCAGAAGGGGTTACCGTAATGATTGGGTGAAATCGCCATGAAAGTAGATGCGCGTGATTTTTAATCAAAATCTTTACGACAATAAATTTCTTGTTCCGATGACTGTGTATACGTTTTGCCAGTCTCTAAGAATCCCTGAATAAATTGCATGTTTCAAATAACCTATTCTGTTCAATACGAGGTTTACAATTTCAAAAATATCTGCTTTTATATCAAGCGGGAATCTATATTTTCTGTGTGATGACTCTGAAGAAGACCGAAATCACAACTCCAAAAACAGTGGTGTAACCTAGCTTAAGAGTTGTTTTCCATTCAGATGTAAATTTGCGTACCTCAGAATCTTGTGAAATTTACTACTAGATGAGTTTGTTGAGTTAAGAAGACAATAGCCGGAAATAATACTGGCAAATGGCCTCACTAGCACGACTCTTCCTCAAGGTACTACGTTTAAAATCTTAGAGTACCAATCACCAATTTCGATTTCGCAGTTATCATGGTCCTTTAAGGTTGCCTAGTGTTTCTAACTAAGTATGGTCGGCCAAAAATAACGGAAAACTCTAAAGAATATTTGAGGTTTGAGTTGACAAGAAGCAGCACCTTTCTTCTAGAAACATGAGTTGTCGCTTTGAATCGCAAGTAACGAATAGCATTGAACAGCACCACCTAACTTGGGAAAAACATATTTTGCTAGAAGAATGTTTCATCACGAAAACGCAGCAGCTCACTCAAGCATGCAGTGGAGCCATCATTTATAACATATGTTCCTTCCAACTCAATTCTCTGTTTAATTTACGTCGGATATGTTAACTATAAGCAAAGAAAAACCACAGAATCTAAAAAAAGACTATTTTTGAATTCATATAGCTAGACAAGCTAGAACAGTGGAGAACGGTAGAAGATTGTGACAAAAAAGTATGAATAGGTGTTGTGGTAGATTTTGAATAGTTTATTCTGACCCACTTGTAAAAATCTCGGTGAGCTGGGTGGGACTCGAATCCACGACAACGAAAGGAAGCTTTGGCTGTACTCAAGCCTTCTCCTTGGTGTCGCGGGTTTGAATCCCACCGAGATCTCCGCGCTTTTCACAGTTGGATCGAAACAAACAAATAAACACTTACACGTTCGTTGTAAAATGTGCAGAAAGTTTAAGAATCCTTGCAAAAGACGGTCTGACAAACAAATATTTTTAATAACCATCACCATTAGAATTGCACAGTTCGACACCTGATATCCGGGTGGGAGTCCCAAAGGGATGGCGAATGTTTCGTTGGAAATAGGCATCTAGGGTAATTATCATGACGAGAGTGTGTGAAACTACATGACGTGACTATCACAGAGGTTAACTTGCCTTTGGGAATCCGTCTGGTTAGCTCAGGACTCTGCAATGGATTTGCATGGTCTTATGTTCAATAGGTTATGTGATAACATATCTGGGTAAGTTTCATATTTCGCAGTACGTGTTAACGAGGGTTAGGCTCCTTACCAAAACGTCGTCATTAACAGATCCGCAAAATTCTCGATAGATTTAGACAAAACAAAGCTAAGCAATCGGCGTGTTTTGTCCGAAAAATGACCAATAGTTTCTACGATAATTCGGACATTAGGTGACATCGAGCAAGTTTTCGAAAAATAAATACATTAACAGGATTTGAGACAACTTGTCGTTTTTTGCTCAGACAAACAGTCTGGTGATTGTGAGTCCAAAGGTAGCATTTATTAAGTGCAGTGTCTGGGCTCAGACATATTTTGGCGCAGACTACAATAACTGTACGAACACTGACAAAATATCACACTGGATGGTAACTAACAAAAGCAATGAAATGGGGCTGGAATGCACTGGTAAGTCCAGCGTGCCTCGGACGATGTGCACGTTACGTAGCGGCTCAACTCATTGAAAGGAAGGTCCTCTTGCACCAATCATATTTTTGGATTGTTTTATCAGCAAAAATCTCACATTGATGGGCGGAAACCAGCCATTCCGTATATCCTGGAAATTTCCAAAACAAATTACCGTGGTGGGATAGAATCCTTCGTTTGCATATGTTTCTCCAGTTGAAGGCTTTGAATTAAATGACAAAAGTTTACAAAGTCCACTTTTATTAACTTGAAACCTGACTCTCATTCCACTTGTATCATGTGAGGCAAAATGTGAAAAACAGTTTTCGCTTAAGAGAAACAGACGCCTTTTTCCATCAAACAGTTTCCTTCACTAATCTGTGCAGATTTTGTATTATTTAACTTTGTAGTAGTATTTGCAGACGAAGCGTTATCTAACGCACCCCTAATTTCAAGGACTGCATAAATATTCTGCATGCAATTACGAGGTGATTAAACACGTCTCGGACAATTTGACTTCCGGTCTTTTTCATAAAATATACAACGCAGAAAGATAAGGGGTACTTCATTTCCCTCTTGAAAATTATTTTAATAGTTAAAAGATCAATTTTTATGACCATAAGATGGGACATAGAAGTAATCAAATATAACACTAACGGCCCTAAAATACAGCAAAAAGGGCACTTTTCGTTTGCGAAAAACCACCAGTAGCAAAAAGAGAAATAACGTTATGTGTAAAATACATCAGGGTTTTTTCCTGGTGACCTAGAAAGAAGCTAACAAATGGTTCTGAAAGGTCCCTTATGTTGCCAAAGGTACATTTGTTGTGAACACATCTTACCTTCAGCGAACGAGTTTATTGTCTAGGTTAGGGTGAGAAATAGGACGCAAACCGCAACCGGTAAAAAAACAAACGTTTAAGAACAAGTTATGTACTCAACGGCTTTCAAAAACGCATCAGAAAAGTCTTAACAAACATGGACTACAGAAACAACCTACTTGGCATTCAACTCACGAAGGCAAAGGCCGCAATTCTCATGGAAATTTCATCAGGTGCGCTCTGGGACACATTCTGCTGCATCATTAGAAAGAACACTGTAAGTTTACGGAAAAATTCCCCCATCACATCAGAAGTGTGTTTTGTCACGTATCACGTAGCTGCCTGTTCATTGTGCTACATGTCAATTCTTTGGGGTATTTGTTTTGTGCATTATCCAAAAGGGTGTTTCAAAATTGCTGTGCTTTCGCTGTTTTATTTGTTCAGTTTGTCGCATAAATATGCACTGAGTACCTCTACAACTTATATTTACCAATTTTACGAAACTTTCACTTTCCGCGCACTGTGGTTTTTTCCTAAACTAATTGTTATTTATAACCATTGTTAATTACTTCCACTGAGTAGATTGTATTTTTATTAACTGAAGACCGTTTGCTTTAGAGACAGTCACTGTCAGTATACTTGAGCGATTACCGAGTCAGCAGAAAAACGTTCTGAGTTACGCGTATTTTATGAGTTAATTCACCAGCTGTACACAAGAACTGGCAAAGGACAGGCCAGGTAGAGACATAATCACAATCCGTTCAGAAAGAGAAAATATGAAAAACGCGCTCAATTAGTGCGGGAACTGCCTGAAAAACCGTCATATTCAAGTAACTTTGTCCAACAGTATTTGTCCGTTTTTAAGTTTTCTTACAGTATTTGTAAGCAGGCTATTTTCTCTCAAACCCGAGCAGATTTAGGCTACAAAAAGTCGACTTGAGGAGTCGTTGCTTATGCTTCCACTGACATGCGGTTTCAACAGAATAAGTCAGACGATCCCTATTCAACAGATAAAGCTTTCGGGCAAATTCTGTAAAAAGACGTTAGTTCAATGAATTAAACGAGGATTTTGACAAAACGAAGGCACTCTAGGGTTTGCGAGAAAACGACTATACCATTATGCTTCAGAGGACAGGGCTATTCTTCACGACATTTAGAAGTGCCGAAGGGGTGGAAGGGGGAACAAACTCCTAATTTGTCGCTCAGTGAAACTTCTTAGCCGACGGCTGATGAGTTGATTTGCTTGCAGATGCAAGCAATCTCAAATATACTTGCAGTTTTTTACTAGGTATTGCAAGTAGCTTAATTCTGAAGAAATCAGCGACCTCGGCTATTCGTTACTGATTATCTAATTATTTTTGGCTTGCAACATAAATGAGTGTGCTTAACGAGTTCTTAACTCTGGCATTAAGGAAATCCTCCAGTAGACCAAGCCCTAGCTGTTTGCTTCTCAGAATATAACTATAACATTCATATTAACTCCCAGGACAAGGCAACGTGAGAAGTTTCTCGTCGTCACAGTCACATAGAAATTTCAGACATATATTTAGTCCTAGGAGAAAACTAATTCTTATTTGGCCTTTTCATTTGAGTAGTTTTCAACTTCATTTATACACGTTTAGCATGAGACGTTAAGGGGAAATTGAGAGGCTTTAAAGGACACCATCATACGCGCCATAATAGGAGTCAAAGGTGGTTGGATTTGGCACAAACAGTGATATAGGTAAATTATAACGCGTTTTCTTCATTACTGGGGCAATGATATTTCAATTATCGATTAACATCCGCTCAGAGGGTGTAGTATAAGGTAAGTTATTCATAGTTGGCCTATCTTGGTAGCTGCCCCAAAAACAGTTCGTTTACGACAAGTGAAATTCAGTAAGAAGGAATTCTGACTTAAAAGCAGAGGTTGTTCACCGGTCGCGTTACGGGAAACAGCCGTCTGCCTTTGTGCTTTGGGGTTTAATCTCGAGACCCGCCAGCAGCTGCACAGCGACTGGCAGTATGGGCAAAATAACATTACCTACGAAGACAAAGGAGACTTGAATGTCGACTTCTGAATTACTAGCCGTCATCGGCCGGCCATACTCAAATCCAGGTTTCGCAGTCCCTGAGGTTCGATCCGGCGACCTAGTCGTTTGAATTCCAACACCCTAACCAATGAACCAGAAGCCCAGTGTCTAGACTACGGACCAATGTGCGGCTGCTGACTAAGCTCCACGACACGAAGTGGGAGGATTGTGTCCATAACGCGACCAGCGAGCAACCCTCTACCTCTACAGTTAATATCTCTCCATTTGAATTTTAATTGCCTTTACTTCTATCCAACAGGTCGCGGGATCGGGCCTTAGGGATTGCAAAACTTGAAGTTGAATGTGGCTAGTTGATGACGGCTAAGAGGTTGGAAATAGCCATTCCAGTCTTTCCTACCTTTTTCAGTAATTTTACACCGCCATTAACATTACTCTGTAAAAGCTTTTATCACTTATTATGAAAAATAGATTAACAATTCGAGTCATCGTACTTTGCTATCGATTTAGTAAAAAGTTGCTTAAGTTTAAGGGCTTAAATAACAAAAGTGAAGACAGGAATCAACCATATGTACTTGCCCTTTTTTTATCTGCAGGCTTACGACAGGGGGGGAGTTAGAAGAACAATATTCAAAATGGACTAGACAACAAAAGCATGATAAATCTCTTCCGCATTATACTCATGCCAGGAAATCTCAAACTGCTCAATAACAAAATTATTGACGGTCAATTAAAACTGAAACAACGGCACTGGTGTATAATAAGACTAGCACAATATATGCTTTGAGAGCTTCCTTTTTTATTGACGACGCTGTCGAAAATATGCCTTCATAGACAAAACAGACAGTTTAGATCTGCGTTCGATAGAAGGTTAGAAATGGCGTAATCGACCTCCTGTTTACTAAAACACTCTTTCAAACCTACGTCCAAGCCTACGCAATCCCGGGTGCGTACATTTCTCAAATCCTTGCGAAAAATGACCTCTAGATAAACCGCGGTAAGTACAGGGAGGAAGCGTTGGACTCGGCATGAATTTTATTGAAAACACACGGGGAAAGGCACCATAAAAGGACGTTAGTGAGATGGTACTTAAGTACGCTAGACAGTAAGGGCTGCATGTTCGACGACGCCACCATGTAAATTTAGAAAGTTGGTGGCTTCAACTGGGTTATTTCGCAGTTAACGTAGGACACTTTCCTTCTCTAGTACGCCCATCCCGACCTTCAAGTCCCAAACTGCGCGCAGCTGTGAAACAAACTTGCAAAATACTTGTAAAATCTGAGTTAAGTAGACCAAAATAAACTAGGTCGAATCATTTATCCATGGTTTTCACCACGTATTGAGCCAGATAAAACATAAACTGATATTCGTGTTTGTACCTTAAATTAACGACTGGTACTTAAACAGGAGAGCAATAGTGTTTAGAATGAAACGTAATAAAACAATTTCAACCTTGCAACAGACTAGCACTTGTTTGTGCGTCTAAAAAGCCATCTTCGAAAATACCTTAGAGCAAAAGCGCCACGTAATTCGTGTGGATGCTTTATGGTTTTTAACGTTTATCTAAAATTAGCAACATTGGTTAGAGATAGAGATGTGATCTCGAGCACAGCATTTCAAAAGCAGTGGTCCAAAACATTTGTTTAAAAGTGTGTTTTCGTATATTTCTGCTGGGAGGAATGGTTAAATGCTTTAAAAAACTCATTAGTGTGGAACTTTTGGGAAACCCCCGTGTGATACAATATTCTCCGATTTCTGGTGCTTTTTTAAGAACGCAGCACGATCCACATTAATTACAGCAGTTTATGAGCACTAGGAGACCTCTTCATGACGGGCATGAAGCAGTGTATGATTTCATTTCAGAGAAAGTATATGGCCAGTGTTTACAAACTTCACGAACAAGCGAAAGAACTTTTGTTGCTTAGAGGTATAGTGGATAAAACTTTTAAAACCGAAAAACCTTTATCCTTAAAATACCATAATTTGGTAAAGTGTAATTTCTTCAAACGTTTACATCGGAAAAAAGTTACTGTTTATCTGTTTTGAGGAGTATGGTGGATTGAAGAGAGTGTGCTGATTACGTGACGATCTTTATCTGGTGTGAATGGTAGTGACGGCTAAAGATAGGCTCGGTAAAGGTGCCAGAATTCCTCCAGTGTGTGCGTTATCTTCATACTATGTGTCAGGTTAATCAGCAAGTAAACCTCAAATACGTATCCTTTCCCATCAATGCCTCAAAAGGTTTCGCGTGTACTGCATTCGAGCAACAAAAAATAAATTTTCCAGCTCTGAGAATTCGAAGACACAGACAAGGGAAATTTTATATATGGAAAGTTAAAACGCGCTAATCTGAAAAAAGGAGGAGCCATACGGCAGTTTTAATCATCATTCAGTTAAACTAAAAATTGAATTTTGTCTTCTTTTAAAGTTTCCTTCCGAATACTAACACGCGGCCGAAAAACTTGAATTTAGAGCCCATTTAGAGTATCAAGGTAAACATTTGAAACGACAACAGATGGGCAGTACGGTATGTACGACGACGTTTGCCAAACTCGTGTAAATGTTTTGACGTTATTTACTATTACATGCCAGCTATACAGTCCTTATGAAAAATAAAGTGCCCTATAATATAAGTTCGAGTTTTCTGCACTATTTGTCTTGTTAGGATTAATTGGGTGCTGACTAAATTGCTAGTATTTCCTGTAGCGAAGGTTTTTGGCGTGCTATTATTTTGTCCAGTTTTCAGGCAAAAGAATGGCCTATTTTAGGGCATCAATGCCTTCAAAAGAAGCCATATACGTTTCTTATTTCAGTTAAAAGGTCAGAGAACATTCTTCAAGGCCCCTTGTCTTTCCGGCGCGGAGTTACGGTGAGAGTAACCAGGAATTTTGCTTCCTGCCACCGGCAACGGTATGGAAAAGGACTCTACTTAACTGACGGTAGACTTTGAATCTCGAATAAAGGCGAAATTTCGAGTTCCAGGTGTATACATATTTGAAGAAGAAGAAGAATCGAGCAGTCTTCCCGGATATAAAATTCACGAGAAAAGAAGAACAGGAGCAGCAGTTGCCCTTCCTGGATGTGCTCGTCAGACGAAACCTTAACGGTGAACTTGAAACGACGGTTTATAGGAAGGCAACGAACACCACACAGCTTCTCAGTTTTCACAGCAACCATCCGGTGGCTCACAAACGAAGCTGTGTGAAGACGCTCTTCAAACGGATCCAAACTCATTGCAGCAAACTGGAAGACAGAGCGCGTGAGGCCCGTTATCTCCGCGACCAGTTTGTGCAAAATGGCTATCCGAGGGCATTCGTAAGTCGCTGCCTACGCGGTCGCCACCAGAGAACTCAAACATCAACGCCACCGACGATATGGCATGCTCTGCCATACATCAAGGGTGTTTCAGAAGCGACCGAGCGCATTGCTGCGGAGCTAGGGGTTGGAATCGCACACCGCCCCAAAGCCACCATGCGCAACAGGGTCATGAAGATCAAAGACCGGTTAAAACCTGAAGAGCAATCTGGAGTAGTGTATCGCATTCCGTGTCAAAATTGTCCTTGTAATTACACAGGACAGACTGGACGCATGCTGGGATCGCGCATACATGAACATAAGCTGGCTGTGCGGCGAGGCGACGCATTGTCACAAGTGGCTGCCCACACCTACGAAATGGGTCACGAGTTTGACTTCGCAGCCACCAAAAATAGTCGCCCACGCCGGAAACAAAACAGGCCGAGAATTGATTGAAGCCTGGGCCTCGGATGAGAACTCGGTCAATCGATTTATCGATCTGGCGCCGGCGTACAGAGCCCTTCGTAGTCACCTCCAGTCGTGCGACGTCGGTCGATGATTGGGTCTACGTGCCTTATAACTGCCGCTTGTCCTGTTTCTGCCACTACCTCTGACGATGGACTCCTGTACGAGTCTGAAAGCTCAGGATAATAAACGAATTGTTCCGGTGCTCGATTCTTCTTCTTCTTCAAATACTTTGAATCTCGTCATAGGGGCTTTTAACTTGGCATCCATTCGCAGCCCTTTGCAGACATTACACTGCCAATAACAATCGCTTCCCATGACTTCAGGCCGTCACTCAAACTCCTTTATTTTTCGAAATTTACTTTCGTCTGTTTTTTAGTTACTTCCTGCATTCCTGTCGTCGTACGAAAGCGTACGATGAGTCTTTCAGGAGAAATCTAAACAATTTCTGTGTCATCATGCATTTTGCCAGCTTTCTGTCTAGTGTGCTGACCCACCCGTAGAACTATCCTTCACGCCAATCCCGTATGACATGATCCACAGTCTACCGAAAGTAAAGTGGGGTCCTTCTTCGTACCGTTGCCCTGTCCATCTTTGCCAATAACAACGACACTTATCGAGTCCCTTTGGCTCGTTACCAGGCGGCCGGTGTGTCGTGTGCTGTCATGTCGACGCATAATCTTTTCTACCACTGATGATAATGGCTATTTCTTACTGCTTTTCAACCCTAACGCATGCGCTGAGACTCACACGTCAATTACTTGGCCTGTAAAGGTCAAAAATAAGCCGTTTAACGCTCCACTTTAGGCCGTATACTTAGATAAATATCGCTCTAACCAATGAAACCTACCCAACGAAGATGTCCATTTGAGTCTGCTCAAAGGGCATTGGAGGGCCCAGACCAAAATCAGTCAGGAAGCCTGACGTGTCGGAGAAGGAGGGTGAGATCCACAGGTGTCCACCGGCGACGGAATCTATGGGTCGAAATCCGGGCGCATGCATCAGTTTCGAGGGCACTGACAATGCACCCTCACCCACACCAGCAGATGTCCTCAGATGATGGTGGTGATGGTGGTGGTGGTGGTTGCGATGGTGCGACTGCATATGACCCTGCTTCGGAGTCTCCTCCTCCTTTCGCTGTCCCTGTTCAGTCAGACAGTAAGAGACCGCAGTTGCCAGGAGCCTCCGCTCGTTGTGTTCACCCAGCAGACCACCAGGTACACTCAGGAGAAATCGCTTGGCCACGTTAGCAACAGTGTAAATATTATAGATGGACCAGTCCACGGGCTCACCCACGGCCAGCTGAGAGCTGATAGCCTGTAGGAGGTAGCAAAGATAGCCAGGTTCTAAGCGCTGACAGGGAGATGGTTTGCGTTAAATATCTGAAACCTTTACCGAAATCGCAAAATATGTTTGGAGCTATAAAACACTACCATCACTGATAGGTGCGCACATTATGGACAATAACTTTTTAATTCAGTCTCCCCGGTGTCCTGTGCAACCGCCGTTTTTGAAAAAAACAATGGCTCTAGTCACATCTACGTTTGTAAATCGTATCGGGTTTCCCAGAAAGGATTAAAAGAAATCCACTTCATTGAGAAAATCTTATCAAACTCCACCTTCTTTAAACTCAACATTAAAATCAAAGCACTTAGCCGGATATTTGCCTAACTATATCCGAATTCTTATGCTCTCAGTTTTCGGTGGCCTATTCCAAATCTATTCTAATGTTTTCTAAAAAGTTTATCAGGTAACGTAGAAGTTGTAAAAAGATGCAAATTCTCATATCGTTTCGAAGGTTATTGGTGCTGTTGAAACATTAAGGTGGCACGATGCTAATTAATATCGCGTAACCTTTTCATGATACGATATTGTCAAGTAATGTAAGGACGGGCTGCTTGTTATGTCTAAAAGAACTTTACTAGCTATAACTGCCTCTAAAGGAAAGAAATAATTCTGACAAAACAGTCACCACCATAAACAAATGCGTGTTCCTTAAAGTAACAAGCTTGGTCTCACTCCTATATTTCAGTCTCCTGAAAAAAACAGACGGTCAGAGAGAACTCTTAATAGTAGAGAAATGAGATTTTTGTGACCAGCATACAGCCGCGATCGAATTCATGAAATGTTGGACGGACTTCTGATTAGAAAGGATCACTAAGGTGGGGCTGTAATACTGATTATCTTGCGGAGTAACCCTATAATATTTCCGACTCGCCAGGATGTTTGTCGTCGAATACACTTCTTTTTGACCTCCTGTATAAACTGCACTTGGAAAAAACGACCACTAACGTAGCATGCACTTTTCACTAATCTTCAGTGGCCTTATAAATTCAAATAAATTTTATAGTAAACATATATAAAAATATGCTTTTGGTGGAAGCACGCACTGTCTTCACATTTTACACTTTAAGAAAGGGTATATTAAGATTCTGGAAAAGTCTTCCGATTCCCCAATAATGTCGAACAAGGTCAGCCTTTGCATTGGCGTTTATCGATTTCATTCTATAAGATACATGCTCTCCGCGAAAAAAAGTCGCATATTCTTATATGTCCTTCAGAAGATATCGTGTAGAGTTCATAAAATTTTGCAGTGGATGTGGATTACGTTGTATACTTACTCGGGAGCATTTATAAACGGACGGACACGAAGCTGTATGAATGGACATTTCACGGTCTTAAAACATCCCCTAATTAGAAACTTTTTTAAAACCAAAAGTACTATTTCTCCCAGTATACCGTGTATAATATACGTGATTTAGTACCAAGTAAGTAAAAGGACGCATATTTTGGGCATGTTTTACAAGATATATTTAAATTTACAAGGCCACCGAAAATCAGCGAAAAATGCATGCTGCCTAGTGGTCATTTTTACCAAGTGCAGTTTTTACAGGAGGTCAAAAAGAAGTGTATTCGAAGGCCAACATCCTGACGAGTCCGAAACATTATAGGATTACGCCGCAAGATAATCAGTATTACAATCTCAAGTTAGTAATGCTTCCTAATCGAAAAAAGATTTCAGAATAGCGGCCAACATTTCATGAGATCGGTTATTTACTGTACATATTCATGATTGTTACTCGAAACCCAGTATGTCATGGTGTCTTCACGCTTATCACGCATTGCATTCTAACTTGACTAAAACTGTAATTCAACATATATTTAGGAAGTTCGATTATTGGTTCACATTACCGATAAAGACAGAAAAGACTGAAAGACATTTCTGGCTTATTATTCGACCTCAGTCAGTCATACACAACGCCAGGTTTTGCCATTCCTGAAGCTTGAACACGCGTTCCGTTGGTTAGAACCCCAACGCCCTTATCATTGATCCACGGACTCCTTGTTCCAATAGCGTGTCGAGGCGGCTGAGAGCAGCCTGTTCGCCTGGAGGCTTGAGGGACGCAAAATAGTGTTGTGGGTTGGCCAAATACATTTTAGGATAAAATGGTGGTTAAAAAGTGCCAAATTCTTCATGGTTGCAACAACTGTATTCTCCGGATAAGTGAAGAAAACTCTACAAGAACTGTTACTGACTGCGTCAGGGAACGTCTTTTGCCCATGCGCTTAATGGATATTAACAAGTCGTCAAAAATATGAACTTAAGGATAAGAACAAAAAAATATTCAAATTGAACAACTTTTTAAACGATAATAACGACATTTCGTGGTCTGCCGTAACCGCCACCTCATACGTTAGAAAGAATTCGAACTACTTAGAACAGCAATGTGAGGAAATGCGTCCACCTTGTCCTAAAAGATTTTATGGCACTGACAACAGGGAATGATCATAGCTTTTGCCGTCTTTAGAGTCAGATAGTAGGTCAAATTTTCGGATTGTACACCTTTTCTTCTCTTAGTCGACACCGAAAACTTGACGACAACTTTTAATAAAAGTTAAAAGAGACCAGGCGGAAGTCGTACACTCTCTCGGGCCTCAATTACATTATTTACTGTGTGCATCATATCGTACAACTTTGGTGCCTGCTTCCATAGGAAAATACTACAGGCGACAAAACTATCCGTAATTCGTCATTTACAACTGCAAGTCGAGTTATTTATTTGTAAATCTCCACTAAAAAATGATTGCATGCAAAAGGTTATGCCTTCAGGGAAAGTATGGATAAGTATATAGGGCACTGAATCAACTTTGACAGCGGTAGTTGGGTGATGCTGAAAATGGTCGCCGACTCGTAGCAGCAGCAATGGTAGACATGAGCATGAGGACGTGTGCAGTGTTTAAAAAATTTCAGCCTTAAAGGAAAATCATCAAGTTAGTTAAGAACGGAAAGGAATACTGTTGTGTGCGCTTTGAAAGAAGCATACTCCACTAAAGTGAAGACCTGGAAAAGCTAAGTAAAATAGCATGAAAAACAGTCATCCAGTAATTTAAGAGGTCAATTACTCGTAGAAAATTGAATGGAACTTCACTTTCTGAGAGCTTGTTCTACATATTTTGCATGTTTAGGAGTTTCACAACTTTTTGAATTAAATCGCCCTCAATAACTTGTGACTGTTCCCTTCTATCAGTCTTTTTTACGATTTTCGTTCAACCCAAATACTCCTGTAAGGAATAAATATGAGCGGGCGTGCTGGTCACTCCAAAATCCCAAAATATTTCACTGCAAAACTGATTTTCCCTCGTAATTTCGTTACCCAACGCAAAGATTGCCTTCATCAGAGACTGATTACCGGCAGAGATGTTTATGTGCAAAAGACAGAGGACGCTAACTGACTACAAATTTTTTCCGCTTCTGAAAATAATGATTCGCTTTTAAACTTTCAAGATGCCTCTCGTATACACCACAGTCCACCCTCATGTGATTGTACATGCAGTCTAAGGCTTTTCGGTTTTTTCTGTGCAATCGTAAACTTCTGCATTAAACCTTTTAGCCAATAAGAGTTCAAATTCAACTACGATAGGTGGGGTAATGCTTTCGTCGAGGCACTAGACAGCATTGATTTTGGCCGTGAAAATGCAGCGACGTTTCTCCTATTAGTCATCTATCCCACAGTTACTGCTGAAATTTCTAATCTCTTGCGTTTTTAAAGTACCCTGTGTTATGAGGGTTGATGGTGCCGAGGAAAACAGGTAAAGGCTATCTAATTTAGACAAATGGAAAGAACAGAAAGTCCAGCAGCTGGAGCAAAAACTACCAAAGCAATTCAGTAGCTTGCAAAAAATAGTAGTAGGTTAGTAGTTCAACATTACCTGTTTCACGGCCGATAAGCCAGGCTTTATTTATATTTATTAGTTGCTGGTTATCAAGTGAAAACCATATCAAATAACTTACTAAGGAGGGTATCCGTTAACACATAATATTAATCGTAGAATGATTAGCCGTAGTCTTCTTCTTCTTCCTCAAGTGTATGAGCTGCACCACTTTAAGAACGGACAACGACAAGGATGTCCTCGTATCGCTAATGAGTCTAAGTTACAATGCTGATGGGGAGTTTACTTCTCATGGGGAGGCTTTGATGAGCATTTAACACATTGCGTGTCAGCCATTTTGATGACCTGGTATGCTTTTGCATTGTATATCTTTTAGCTGGCATCTAGAGTCTGTCTGGATTAATTGCACCTACTGAAGTCGTCCAACTCTCTCCTTGTTAGGCTTAAAGCCTGCCACTTTCGGCCTTTATTTCCTTAAAAGCTACTACGCCAACCTAACAGCCAGCGCTGTACTAAAGCTTTCCGTTGCCGCCCGAGGCCGCCAAGTTACATACAACTGGATCAAAAGAATGATCCAAATCAGCCACAACTCCTTTATAATTAAGTTTTGTCCTCCAGTCTAATCCGCCTTGGAAGTCAAAATTTAACTTCGATGAAAAACAACATCGATAAATGGGAAGGCGGTTCTCCTTCGAAAACTTTATCAAGGTCTTTAAAAAATTAAGGAAAAGTACAGAGATCTTTGTTAGTCAGGGCAAGCAATAGGTCCCTACGCCTTCCGATTACGCTTAAGCCAACATCGTCAGGATTGCTATACAACTATTGTTCGCAACATACACACCTTTTAAATCTGTGCGTAATTGTACAACGGCGCCAATAAATTTCCAAAGAGGCATCGTACGCGGTTGCAAATATGAAGGAGTATGTTGCTCAATCTTAAAAATCAAAATACGGCAATGTTCGCTTCTTCTTATCGACTTGCTTCCTCGAGTCGTGTTATAAAGTGGGGTTTGAGAATACACTGATGGTAAAAGATGCAATGCACAACCGATCCTGAGTGCCAGTGAGATGCCGAGGAAACTCGGAAAACTAAATGCGCAATGCTTTATGTCTGGACTGTGCTGTTACTCCCCTAGATTCATTAAGGCACCTAAACATTGAGAATATTGAAAAGGAGCAAGACTGCAATGGCCATCAATAAATCAGTCGTTGTCCTTATTTAACAACAGCCTATCCTCAGACCGGTAAAACCCGGGATTATGTTCCAGAATCAGTTTTCCATTGTGTATTTAAGCCAAAGGCTCAAACGTCTGGACCTCGTGATTACACTCTGCCGGTCACAATTATGAATATTCGAACCTAAGTGGAAATAATAATGCATCAGTGCATTCGAATCTCTCTCGTCTTTGCAAGCAAACCTTCCGCATCATTGATTGCTTGTGGCTAAGCGACTGTCTGTGATAGCTATAAATTGAAGTTTTGAGAAAAGACGGGACGGACACTTCAACTTACGCACTCAGGGCCGTGATGCACAAATTATAGGTGGTCTCAATCTTATTTCAAAAAGTGCTTATTAGAAGGTGTGGGTGGCCACCGCATCTTCACAAGTAAACCACAGTCTGCTGGCATTCAAAAGAACTCACTGAGGAAACGCTGCTTTGTGAGTATTATGCAGCCGCGCATCGTTTTATGTTTATTAAAAGTAAGCGATTTATTGAAAAAATACAGACTTATTTGAGCAGTTAATCGCCAAACCATCTTCCTCGATAAGAATTTTAATAAAGACGGAATAATCCGGCTTTAGACCTGTTTCACTTCAGATAATTAAGTTGACTACCGGCGTATAAATAAAGACCATGGGTTTCTTCAGACCCCTCACAAGGCGCATATGTTATCTCACACGCGCGAAAAAAACTCAAAGGCTAGGGAAAAACATGAACGAATAAAATACTTTCACATAAAATTCCTTTTCAAAAATCTCGGGACTTTAGGAATGTATAAGAAGGCGGATCTTTTTTACAATAACGTAAAACCGAAAGCATTTAGATCGACAGTAAACCGAGCTTGTGTACGGCCAACGCTCTAACCACACGGAAGTTCGACCTTCGCTGTCTACGATGTCCGCCGCGTGCTGCACAACAAGATAAGAGCAGGTACGGTGACTTGAGCGCAAGTCTATCGCACGCTCTCCTCCCCTGCATCTGGGCCCGGTGTCAAGACATAGTCAAGAAGACTGGGGGCGAGAGGGTGCGCAGGTGCCTGTCACGGCCGGAGCCGCACCTAGGCGTACCGCCACACCCCCAGGCCTATAACAAAGATTTGACCAGGATTTTAACCAACCACAAAAGTGGGTCAGAAAGAGGAAGGAGGTACGAGTCACTGGGCAACCATGCACACAGCTTGTGCACCTATCGGGAGTGCAGGCGCATTCACCGACAGGGAATCAGGTACCAGAGAATTGCCAGCGTATACCAGCCTGCGAGGGCAATAATTAACGCCCTAACCAATTGTGATAAGAAGCCCTGGCCGGGAGTAGTGAGTTTGATCACGGTTGCGGAAAGTTACCTGTCCGGCCTACTGTATGGCTTTATGCATTAGCCGTTGTCAGTATTAATAAAACCGAAGTTTGGTTTCATGTAAACTTTTGAAAAAGATTGCAAAGTATATAAACGAGTGAGACATTGAAGGTTTCCTGAAAAGATATCCAGCGTAAATAAGGCTCCCACGGCATACAAATCAGAACTTACGAACTTCAATTAACGTTTAGCAAGCTTCTGTCATATAACATGCGACAATACTGGCATACGAGGACTTCCCAATTTCCGAATGAACGCGACATTTTTTTGGTTTTGAGCTCCCTTAAGAGGAAATATCATCTTATTTAAGTTCATAAATCTTAATGAAGTCTGGTGTTGCACTATATGCACACCAACTGCTTCTATCCAGCGCAAAAAATATACGCAAATGACCCTGTATGACGAGGAACACTGGAAACTTTTTTGAAAAAAACAAAAGTTTTGTCTAAATTCCCTAGTTTCAGGGAAGAATCCGGATGAACGTTTTCCTACGTAAAGCAATTCCAGAGAGTTAAGTAGTTCGTTACCAAAAGCACATTAAATCATGAACAGTACAACTGACGGTGCTTGAAAGACGTATAATGGAAGATGACCACTTTTATCACAGTAATCCATGTGTTCTCCATAAAACCGACCAGCCGGTACCCGGTATTGCTCTCTTTCTTCAGTCTCACTTTAAATATCGTTTTTTATGGTTGTGTAAACCTACAGAGGCTTACGGAGTCACTTTCGACGGACGACTCAAACTATATGAATACAGCTATCAAATGGTGTAATCCAAACTTGCGGATGATAAGACCCGGTTTGAATATTAATATATAAAATTCAATATCAACGGCGACCTTTCAGGGCGCAATGTCTCCCATCATTGTGGAAATTTACGACACTTATTAACGACATATACTGGAAAGGTACGTACCGCAGGGAACAAAGTTAGGATCCGAAACAGAATATGTTCAAATAATATATGGGCTCTCTTGAGCACAGGAGTGCAGTTTGCAGCAGAACCAATCTAGAAGTCAGAAAACTTCTAGGATGAAAATCACTTCAGTTTCATCATTACACAGGCAGTTTGTGACTCGTGTGTGAAGAAGTAGACAAAGATTTTAGTATGATTACATTATCAAAACTTTGGTATGTATTGAAAATGACGATCGCGTTTTTCTATAAGCGACTTCATCTGTCAATGGAAAAAAGTGAAATCAACAATACTGTAGCCAAATAATGAAAGTCACGGCATGAAATTCGTCATTTGAGCTCAGCTTTCTTCCTAGTTCTAGACCAGATACAACATTTCAAAATAATAACAGGTTTGTACAGACCCATGGTATCTGATTATTTTAACTGCTTTGCGTTCCTGAGGCACCAAGGAAAGCCTTTCTTGAATGTCCCACTGTCATCAAACGCTATCGCAGTAATGAATACCCTAGCATGAGTTAGCGCAGATCGGGCCAGTTTTCTGAACATCAAATGTTAGCGAATAGCGAAACGTTCGCTGAATGTAAGACAATCGACGTTACGCAACCGATACCCGCTATCGGGATCGTGATGATCAAAATTTTCGGCTAATGGCAGACACTATATAACACGTTTCTGGCGCGAAGTTCATGGACATCGCCAGCCAAAACACCAAGCAGACAGAGCGTTTAGACGAAAGATGTTCACGCTTCGGGTAGGCATCAGCCCCCGAAATGTCTACCTGAGTTTTAAGCCAGAGTTATTCCCAACAGTAAAGATTAAGGAAATATCTGCCTTCTCGTATCCACTAACTTCCTCGTCATGCCTTGTTAGACAGGCGGAGAAGGGAAAGGCTAAAAGGTCACCTGTCCGCAGATGGCCTGAAAGACGTTACCTTGAGGCCGCGGAGGAAGAAAATCTGGCCAGAAAAATCGGCACGCTGCAATCCACTTAAAGGTTATATTTGCAAGTAAAAAATAAGTAATGATGTTTTGAGACTGACTAGCACGGGAAATAACTGCCAGTTAATTCCCAGATGATAGCAGACTGACTTGTGGCTGTGAAATATTTCTGGCCGCCTGAGTGCGCCCCACTCGCAAAAATAATGAAACAAGTAGTATATACTCTCTCGATATTATTTCCAGTATTGTGCGTTCAGTCTTCTCCTGTCCAGTATGAACAGGTAACTGGTTCCCTGTACTAGTTTGTATAATATGTATTCCTCAACTTTTGTTTTTAAAAAAACATCCCCTAGTGTTGCAAAATAACCAATTTTGCATATTTTAAACATAACCCGTGTATTCCTAGGATATTTCTGCATCCTTTCTGGATAGAAGGGTCGGATTAATACAGGCATCAAAAGTGAATAAGCAAATGCTGTTAATCAATCAGTTATTTTCCCAGTTTGTGATTTGTAAAGCGGCTGGACTCAAGCGAGGTAAGGCTGACGGATGCTGGCAAGTAAGTAACAAATGGTCTTCACGTTGTCCCCTGTTTTTGTCCGCTACACTATCTAAGGTTTGCTTTATTCAACAGTTAATTAGCTATTTGCTAAAAAACCAAAAAGATTGGCGAATCCCTAAACTGTAAATGATGAGATGGCTGTATCTCCGAAGTAAAACCACGCTATCATAATCCCTTTATACGCCTACCTGACTTTCAAACTCCCAGGGCTGGGAGGTTCTGTCCCACACGGTCACGCACTAGCATGACAGTTAGTGAATGCTCGTGTAAAGATGCTGACTACAAATCTGTAGCGTGCACACGCACCGAATGACCAGGGGTATAATCTCGCACGGCTGTAAGACATTCTGTAGGTGGGTAATCTGCCTTTGCCCTGAAAACATCTGACGCAAACACGCATGCAGCTGTTCAGGCCAGTATGGTCAGAATGGGAAGGTGAATAATCTGAAACCCAAAAGAGTGTAGAGTGCGAGAGGCGTATATGCACCGACCTTCCTCTTTCATCTGTGCGGGGCTCAAAATGCATGCTACGTAAATATGCTTTCAAACAAAAGGCACTGTCTAGGTAGGAGTTAAATAATGATCAGCATGTATCACACGCAGCAGTATGCCGCTTTTACTTGAGTATGGTTCCAGTCACTTGCGTATGTAACACGGGAAAATGACTATTTAGACAGCACAAATTTTGTCTACTTGCCATGTCTGAACCAATGCAGTAGCTCCCCGATGAAATTTGTATACCTTCTAATGGTTCTGCAGGCATCGTATGATGCTAAATGTTGGACATGAGATGCGGCTTATGAGACGTACATGGTCTCTACTTGCAGCCTAATTTCTAAGCCTCCGAAGACCTTTGCACACAGACCAAAGCATGCTAGTCAATTCGCTTTAGATAAAAAATGTGGCGTGTAATTCGGAAACCTAGAAAATATAGGAAGATACTGGCTGTGTCTACATAAATGTATACAGTAACTAGTTAATTTTTCAACTCTGAAAGGCGCCCTTAGTTCAAGTATAACTCTAGAGAAACCATATTTCTCACAAAACAAACTAATGAAAGTAGTGTTTCTGTACCAATTTTAAAAGTGGGCCCAAATTAGTTAAACCACAGAAAATTAGTAGAAAAGTATATGTTTAGACACGTTTTTCAAACGCTAGCATGTTGCCGTTATGAGCAGTATTGGCACGACATTTATCCAATTTTGAATGACATATTTTGGGACTGAGTCATCATCTTCCAGTTTGAGGCCTAAACAAGACGTCTAAATTATTCTAAGTCGACAATGTTCATCTTCATAGATGTTTTGGCAGATTTTGAATAATTCACATTGACCCAATTGTGAAAAACTCGGCGACTGGGTGGGATTCGAACCCACGCAGCAAGGGGAAGGCTTTGGTACAGCCAACGCTCTAACCACTTGAGCTACGAGGCCCCGTCGGATGACGCGAGTATAATCACATTTGGATCAAGTTACCCGCCCAACCTTCTGCAACGTCTGGAATCCACCAAATCTGTTACAGTAAGTTGACTGCCCAGGCAGGATTTCCTAAGTAATTCCCCTAGAATCCACCAGATGACTACTAGGCTTACGTAATTCGTAGATGTTTTGGCAGACTTCTCAAGTATTCTAAGTCGACAACGTTCATCTTGTCCAATGCGGTCGAAAATATTCAAAAGCACGTGGAGGTGAAGCCTTTCCGGTCTGATTGAAGGAAATAACGTGCTTGTTCTCCCTGACTGAGGGATTCCAACGCCCTCGCAGGCTGTAGCAAATAGTAAATCAGTGCTCAATAAACAACTAATTCGGTACTAACTCACGGGGCATTCATGCTCGGGACTAACGTATGACTGAATAATGAGGAAAATAAGCCAGAAGTGACCCTGCCACGCTCCCTTTTCTCTATGACATACAGTGATTGCATGCTGTCGTGGACGAGCTATGAAGTTTCTAGGGCAGAGCTTCAAGGCAAAAAGAAATAGCTCTTACTCTCTCCTGCAACCAGGATAAATCAGGAACGTTATTTTTACGCGATTTTTGATAGAGCCTTATACCCTCTGCAGAAGTTGTTACGAACGCTTTTACAAGCAAAAGACAGAATTAGCATGAAACTAATTTTGTTTGATCAATCCCTAAAAGCTTCCAAAATACGTGAATAAAAACAACAGCCAGCAATTAACAAAAAATCAAGATACCCTGTTCTTGAGCAGGGCTAAAAGATACCTTCATCTGGGTGATGTTGCCGGGACGGCGAAAGAGATCGGTCACATGAACACCCTGACGTGCAAGAAAGGCAAATAGCGTGAAGACTGGATCCGGAATGGCAGTCGTGGTGTGCTTTGAGCGACTTGATTTCGGGGTTCGCATGGGCTAAAAACAACCAAGTTCATTAGAGTGAGAGAACTTTTAGGGTAAAACACCAAGATTCTATTATCTGAAAATTGTCGTAACTTCATCAGCAGTTTCCGGTGCCTTTTCCTTCCTACAACAACTCCGAACGATTCGAGGTTTAATAACGCTACATGATTTAAATTAAGACAAACTATGGAAATAAGAAAGCCACAGAGTTGGACAACAGGCTCTTTAGGAAAAGTGTGAAGTTGTGGGCTTGATTACGTTTTACGATATATGCGTATTAGCTATGGGATTACTTATTTCATAGCTGTTGTAGTAAGAATGGGTTTGACCTGTACAAATTATAAACATTTAAGCTATTCAAAAGATTCTTAATATTTCCCTTAGCACTATTTTTGCTTTTATTACTCGACGGTTCTTTATCTACTCCCGTTGAGACTCGTTCTAAATGGCTGCCAAAGTCGAAAACTCAAAACTCGGCGAAATGTCCTTAAAACTCTATATTTTCTCCAGATAAAAGGATGAAATACAATGAATCGATGTTCGCCTACCTGGTGCTCTCTTTGTTGCTGATCTTCTTCGGCAATTAGTTATCAATGTACACAAATACTTTGAGGAACTGTGGGAGTTACCGGAACCAATCAGATTAACATCAAGGACAAGAACTCTTCCTGTTATAGCCCTACTTCAGAAGGATTACCTAATCGCTAGGAGGTGACATAGGCATTTGTGGGTGTTACAATCATCCCTTCATAGGAGTATCAAAAGTATGACTTTCTTTTCGGTCAGCACCTTGTATTTCGCTGTTAAACCTCAACATAGCTGCCTACATTGGTTTGTCGAGAGGTATAGAAGGTGAGCTGTATGGAATCAGTACATTTAATCTTTCCTATCGTATGCTGCACCGCGCGGTTGCATTCAATTACAACAGGCTGTTGACTGCCCGAAGGAATTTGCATAAATACAGTATGCACTAAAACTCGTGAAAAGTGTACGAAAACTCTTTTACGCATTTTCAAATGGAAGGGATTACTCAGGTGAAATTGCAGAATTTCTTACGGAAGACAGGAACTAAAAGTGAATCCCTAAACTGCAATATGTAAATCCAAATTATACGATTCTGCTGTCGCATGTATAAATTTCACTCTAAAAACGTATGAATAAAGGTAGTACACAGAATTTTCGAGGACCGTTTATGCCAGTACAGACAACGCCACATTTGACAGAAAGTAGGAACGAACAAATTACTTTACCATGCATACTTTTAGTTAAGTATATTTTTGTCCAACACCTCGTCCGAAGGAAGATGAACCTTAATTTTCAAACTGTTTACTAGATATTGCAAGCATGTTTTTAAGCCTTATCGGGACTTTAAAAATGCATGCTGCACATCTCAGCTGAGGCGAAATTGCATAATCTTCCAAAACGACGGCAGCAGAAATACACTTGAGAATAATAGGTTACATGAATAATCTTGCGATCATCTAGAAACTTCCATTAACCGCAAACACTGCAAGAACGGAAATAATGCAATCTTCCTATTACCAAGTCCGCAGGGATTGCAGCATCCTGCAAACGTAGAATAAAAAACTTTTGCGCCTTCTTTGCACAAACCATTATTCGAATTTTGCGGACGTCGTGAAACGGGTGAAAGCTTCCTTTCACCAGGGACGGATTTGTTAAACATAGAAATTACAGAATTTGCTCGGTTGAAAAGCAGCATGTTACTGTGAAGAATTGGCCTGGAACTTACATCCTTGCTAACCAGTTTCAAAAATTTATTTTATTACCTTTTCCTCGCAAAATCGTCCTGAAAGATATTAGTCAATGACTTCTAAGCTACAGTATACGCCGTCAGTTTGTTGATTTCCTTTCCCACCTTTTTTCAAAAGACACCGACTCCCTGGAGGTGCCGTTGCGTTTTCTTTTTCCGACTTGATTTTGAGGCGAGATTATTCATTTTAATGAGCAGGTCTCATTGTTCTTCCTTTAAAATGGACATTTTTATTTCACGTAACCACCGAGTACGTCAAGGTATGAAGTATGATGGAGCGTGCACTTTTCTAACACGAGGGTTGTTATTCCCTCTCTCATACTTTGGCTAAGGGCATAATCAGACGGACAATTCCCATTGCAGAAATTTATGCTGTAAATTAGGACGTTGTCTAGATTAAAAACTCTTTAATTCACGCATGCTGCCAAGCGTCAGAGCGAGACTCACTGGAGGATAGCATAGTTTGACTGTTTGATGAAATGGGAGCCCTGCGTTCCTGCTTAGCTTCGTAACACACTTTTTAAACGGTCCATTTTACAAAGATGCCATTTAAGGAAGCACATCATAATCAGTTAAAATCATTTACGATTCTTTTAAAAGACATGTCGGAATAACAAACAGCTGGGAACAAAATAATGTGACGACTGAAAACTCGGCAGTCATCAAGGATTTTGTCTTAAATATGATCATTCCTTGGTACGACTTTTCCTGAGCCCAGTGAAGTATGTAGGTATCGAAACCCTAGGCATCGATTAACACTCAATTACGCGCACAAACACACAACAGAGATCAGATCATCCAAACCGGAAATAAGTGACTACTTAATTATAATCTACTCTGCCTGCCATTTCTTGGGGCTTTCTTAAGGTCGGTTTGTCTGTCTGGAGGCGCATGACAGAAAACCAATTCTCGCATTTGATTTTTTATCCATCAAGTCTTTTTTAAGGCTTCACTAAGGAGTATGCCTGCTGGCACACCACATTAAAAGGTTTGCAGAGCACGGCAGACTCCATTCATGAAAAACTCCCTAAGCTGCAATTTCAGAAGTCCAAATATGTCCTTGTTGCATGATTTCTTATTTGCAAGAAATGTCGGCACCATATGGTCGAAAGTATCACCGGGTTTCAGTTTCATTCCGCCAACATAATCTAATTTTCGAATATCGCTGGGTTTCTAGGCCAAACAGGCTGTCTTAGGGGCAGTGGCCAGAACATGGTACCAATTGGGTGGAAAGTGAACAGCCCTAAAAACGATTGCTTGCTCCGGAATCTCGAAACCTGATGAAGTTTCTTTCTAGCCTACCTGATTTGTGTTGAGGAACCCGGGCATCTACTTCTGTGCGGCAGCCCTTTGGAACAGAGAAAAATAATGCAACTTTGCGAAATAAGCTCTAGTTATGTCGTCAATCTATTGCAGTACGCACAGGTTTTTGGTTATATTTTGAGTAATTATTACTACAAAGGCATTCCCTGTAGTTGGAGTACTGCTGGATCGGACATAGTTACTCCTTCGTTTTGAGGGAGGAAGCCAACCATAGACAGTTCCACAAAAAAACGAATCGTAAGTTTTTCAGTTAATGTTCTTTAAGATTTCTAATCAACTTTTTGCGTCGCAAAAACAGGCGGTGGTTAATTTGGTTATAAGTCATTTAAAATGTCCAAATGCCCCGCGAATGTCGCCCAATGATTATACAAAAATTGTGAAGATGGCTGCACATATTTGAAAAGACTAAGAGTAGGAACGATTCGATAACAGTTCTTATTAATTTCGCCGAATTCTTCGCATTTATGTCAGTCCATATATTTCGGTAAAATGTTGGAAATGCAATTATCGGGGGACGTAACCCTCGCACAACGAGTATTACAATATGACTACTCTTACTATGTATTGTTTAAATTTATTTCACTTCGGCAGGTATAGCTACGATTGAAAGCGAATCACGCTATTGTCTTCTTTTTACTGAAGTTAATGTCCGGGATTACCTACCCTACATAGTGTGAGTAGGAATATATCGTATCATTCGAGTCCTAGTTTTCAGTCGTAAACTGAAGTCTAGGGAATTGCTCTATCCGTTTCATGTTCTGCATTTAGATCAACCGCACTAAGTACGATGAATTACAACATTTGACCTAAATTTATGAGTATAATTAAATCACAATCCCACTAACCTGTACTCCATGCCGCTTTGATAATGACTTACCTAAACAACCTCGGCGGTGCAGAGTATAACGTTTCTTCACGGACAGTGAAGAGCGGCGTCAAACATGGATAGCTCGAAGCACTGCCATTGCCAAATACGAAGACGACTACCGAGGGAGAAACACCTCCATTGCCGGGTAAACATTTCTTACCTCGACTCCGTTTTAGCTCCGTTATCTAGGTCTAGAGGCCATATTTACAACGGCTGCACTGTACTCTTGGGGTGGACGACGATGAACCTGTTAACTACCATGAATTGCCCCAAATATCATCTCCTTGTTGTCGTAAGAGTGTTGGCGATCTCCTTCGAGATAATTTTTGGGAAAGACGTCTATTTTTTCGTTTTCCACGCACAAACCTCATCATCCCTAACCATTCGGTAATTTAGCTGGACGTATGCCCGGTATAGGCGGTTCCATGGTTTCGGACGGGTCCATATGTACATGCGAAGACTCACGAAAATCTTGAAAACAACATATGCTCATGGCGCCGCCCCTACACCTGTAGCAACACGGTCCCCCTTCCGATATATTAAACAATCCATTTTTTATATTGGTAGTCATTACTCGCAATAATTCTTGTGGTCTTCGCTAATTGACAAACCTGTATAAATTACATAAAGTAGTAACCGTTGTAAGATCTAGCTCAGACCGTCTACACAGACAACTGATGGGGGTTTTGCACCAATCTGATGCTGAAATGCCACTCAGCTATCCGGTGAACTGAGGACTTAATATTCTTCATGTGCTGATGCTTTCTATTTCGATCTGAACTGTAAAGCGAGACTAGAATTTTGTCCCCAGGGCCTCGGCCTCGTTAGACGGTCGTATCTTAACGACATCAAGGCACTTTGGAGGCGAATACGAGATGAGCATTCAGGCGCGCGTGGACGTGACTCGAAGTCATAGCTGACTTCAGCAGCACCCGTCGGCCAACCATCATGCCCCGTGGCGAAAGTTAGAGCTGACTAGAAAGTGTTTGATCTGGCTGATCGCGAGATCATCAATTCAGTACTAGATAAACGCATTTTGGGGGTAATTCTGAAGGCAGATGCTAGGAACAGGCAGCCAGTTCTCGTCAGCAAAGCTAAACAGCCCCTCACTGTCGTCCCATTGAGAGTCATGCCCATAAAGGCCGATTAGTTCGTTGTTCTCAGATTCTTTGGTATCCTCTGGTTTTTAGGTCTGATAGAGCGCAACCACAAGAGGGAGTGGCGACAAGGGCAAACACTTATTAGCACGTCAGGGTCACTTCGTCACAGTTGCGTCGTCGGGCTTTGTCACATTCTAGGGAGCAGTCAGTATGCAATGATCCAACACTTTTGTTGTTGCTCTGCAATTGTTTACTACCCGGACATGAACGTCAAATCACTCCGCGACTGGTCTTCACTGAAGGCCGTTTTCCTATCTGACATTAGTGAACATGCCGTTTGGCCAAGAACTAGGGCAACGAACGAACCTGTCATGCAAGGATTTCTTATCTTTCCTTAGATGTTTATGCAAAGGTGACATCCCAATCACCATTTGGTGAGAAAATGCAAGTCGCCAATGGATCTCCCAAAAAACCAACTTTTTACAGGAATCATCATGTGAAGTAACTCATGGTGCGCCGGTCGAAATCCCTAATATGCTTTAAGTCAGGTAAGATCGGTTAGAAGACTTGCTGATACGAATTGACGTGAAAGAGAGTCAAAATTCAATCCACGCAAAACAGCATGCTGCCTTCCACCCACTCGTCTTGTGGATACATTTCGTTTACATTTGAAAAATGCAAAAATTCATTTATATTCCCCTCCTTCGGTATTTTTATTACATTCCATTTTTAAAAATGACTTTCTTCAAATATTTCGTTTAAAAGAAGGGAGTATTTTGTTTGGTGAAAAGGTCGAATTTGTAGAAATATTCGATATTTTACACCAATAATATCCCATTCTAGTATCACAGATTTACTAATACAGCCCACGAAATACGCGATAGAGCCTATACTTATTCGAATAGTCCATTAGCTTTAGGAGGCTTAATTGCAAATGTATGCGAATAGGATAGCTTTTTCCAAAGAAAATGCCTACATCGCAGTTCAGATCTGGACTCGAAAGATATATGAACCAGTAAACCCCTGATGAAATAGTATTGTGTTCTGCCGTATGTCGGATGTTGAGATGCGAAACTTTGCAAAATACACATGAAAACTTGATGTTGTATGAGTTCTCTTTATTCGGAAACCAAAGTCAATGGATAACGTGTCCACTATCTTAGTGACCCTCTTCGGTCTCGGTTGATAGTTGTCGGGGAAATCCTCAGTTAAAGGTTGGACTATCTCATGTAGGAATTGCCTGGGAATATTGATTCATTTTAATGCGGATTTTAAACTCACTAAATAGATTTTTCTTCTTAGTGAGCTTGTATGTGTTTATAGCCAAGGTTTCAGGGCTTCCAATGCTTTTACTTTTACGCATTTTAAAATGCCTATAATTGTTTCCCAACACGTAACACTAGAGGTGTGATTGTCAAAATGACTTAACGGCACACAGAATTTGCCACATCCGCCAAAGGAATGCAGCACAAAGTTACTGGATGCCGCAACTTCGGCGCTGAACTCACGTTGAAAGTAATTACTCTCAAGATTTTGAGCACCGTTTTAGAAACAGATATGTGTTTAAAGTCAACTGCCAATTGTAATGGGAACCTGAAGCTACGATTTGGTCGTAGACTTTAGCATTTTTGGCGAGGATAATTACTACGATTTTTAAAATGTAGTATTTAGATGAGTTTGCCGATATTATTTCACATTTTTTTACCTTTAACAGCCTTAAGTCAAAGTTTTCATCAAAATTGTAATGCAACAGTAGCCCTGACCGCACATTTGCTCGCTGCGTAGTCTTTTATCTGTACTCTATGCTAGTTTCTATCTGGTAAAATATCTGCGATTCTATTGTCAGCGAACTGATAGGAATTCAGTGAGAAACTGTGCACTTATTAATATGCGCTCACTATCTCTTCGTCTGGCCAACTGCTACGGTCATGAGGTGATTAAGAACTTTAAAATGCACTTTTACGTTTAACATTTTAATGTTTGCATCAGAAGGAACATTGATGAAACAAATCATGGCACCAGAAAATACTGCATTTATCCACATTTGTCCACATTGGCTTAACGCTATTTATATTGGTGCCATTTATAAGGTTTAAAGCCTAAAAAACTGGGGTCATTGAGCTCAGTATAAGTCAATCGCTAAGGAGAGAATAATCATTTTTGTCCTCTCCTCTACTTAGAAACTTCTGTAAGACGCGTTACTCCATTAAAACTTCTTTAACCGTAAGCTTGAATATCTGCCACCTTTCATGGTCAGGAAAACATGCTTAAACCTGATACAAGACGTAGGCCATGTTAACAATGCCAGTATAATGTTATCAGACCTTGACTTAGGTGAGAGGTGAATCTTGAACAGATTAACTGACCTGACAAGCTCTCTTTGCAGTTGAAATCCGTAGAATGCCTGTTGTGGGTTTAGTGTCTAGACCAAGAGACTTGGAATGAGGAGAAGAAGAAGAGGAAGAGGAAGAAGAATAAGAAAGGCGCCTAGTTGAGCCGACGGAACGCGATGGCGCTAACTGCCCGCCACCTTCCAGACTGCTTGTTGTAGGTGCTGAAAGAGTCCCTTGATCACAAATGAGAGAAATTCCGAGTGTTCCCGCGGACCGAAAAGGGCTTCTTAAAAATTTGTTGCGGAAGTTCGAAAAGCAGGAGGGCACTCGGTCTGGAGAGCCACCCTCCAGTACACTGCTTGTTCCCATGCTATGCGTTGACTGGCCCCGTGGTTTCATTTTTAAGGCCAATAGCAGCCTTGCGCCACGTCCACACACTCGGTGGTTAGCCAGTCAACGGTTGAAAACTGGCATGCCTACAATAATATATGGTCATTTATTCACTGTGCAGTTTGGTTAGAAGCTGTGGGCTGGGAGATAGGCAAGGATTAGCGGAGTAGGTTTAAAGACGCGGACCCAGTAGGAAGCAAAAACTATAACTAGAGCCCAAAACTATGTGACTTTGGGTGGCAGAACTTTTTATTTTGAATTCGGAAAAACACTAGCACTGTCGCCTTCATCCAGAAGCTAAACATATTATAAAATGAAGGCAAGAGAGATCACTTAACCGACCAGACGAATTTGTGCTCGACAGAGTACGTGGATATGGATTACATATATAAGTGCCCAATAAAGAGCCAAAGCCCAAATCCCACGTTAGCTTATTGCACAACAGTTTTTCCTTGTTACCCCACAGTCAGAATAACAGAGCCATAGCGGAACTCCACTGGTTATTTTTTCTTTTGATCTTCATCGACTACATATGTAAAATTCAAAGTGAACCTAACTGACATCAGTCGCAAATGATTTCTACTTGAAAGCATCTTCTCGGCGTTTGCAGCAGAGACTGGAAATTTCGTTAAAGTTGGCTTTAAAAAATTATCTAAAGTTGAACTAACAAATGACTATTGGAAAGAAAGGAAACCAGAAAAGGGAAAGAATAAAAGGTATCCTCAAGCGACTGTCAATTTAATCTGGACATGACAAAATTTTGCGCCCCAGTATAGATACTATATCAAAGGAGAACATGCCGTGTTACGTGGTGGTTGAGGTTGTCGTCCAAATTTGAAAAACCGCTTAGGCTCGAAAGGAAAAATATGGTTTACCAGACAATCGAATAAAAATACTGAAAATAACATTAAAATTATAGTAAACAATTTTAACTTCGCGGTAATCGTATTAGAAAAACACATTCAGGTTCCGGTTGCATTTTAAACTGAAATATTATATTACATTAGAAATAAATTTGTATACATCAACATTTTCGAAAAATTGCTTTGACTAGAGTAATAAACTAAAATATACATAAGAGACCTCTGGAATTATTCCATATGTAAAAATATAGGCATCCTTATAAGAATAACCAGAAAACCTGTTAAATAAAATTACCAAATCATAATTCTTAGCATGCGGCACAAAAACCTTTCAACATTTTATACACACTCAGCTGATGCAGCCTTTTCCTTCACTTTCTCTTCATAAAAAACATAATTTCGGATGAATTTCCGATTAAACATGAAACCTGATGAAAAAGTCTTTATATATACGCAGAAGCGTTCATAAACAACAAAAAAATCACAAATAATTTCATCTTCAAAGTAAACTAAATTTGAGTACGAAGGCATCCAGAATATTTGCCAAGAAATAGAAAACAACATGGAGAAACCAAAAATTACCCTTATTTTATTGTCCTTATGTGCGTCAGCCGTGTACCTTTACACGTGTTTCGACTCACAATTTTGTGATATTTAACCCATGTACTGTAAATAAAGTAAATTCCGTCCTCAAACTAAAAAAGCCGTCGTGCGATTAAAAAAACCTGCAGTTAATCCTAACTTAACTGTTTGGTTAATGATAATTGTTCACTCACAAAATATGCCTAATTCATCACTAGAAGACCAAATCAATGACACACTTGAAACCCGTATTTGTGGGTAAATTTACGGTTTTAATTGGTTAGGTAAAACAAAAATGATTTTTCTAGGTTAACTTATATCTTACATGGCAGTAATATGCCATCGTCATCATGCTTGTTTCACGGGGCATAAAAATAAGGTTCGATAAAACAGAATTTGCATAAATTGCCAAATACAGTAAACAAAACATTGATCTCGTTAGTTAAAATCCAAATTTTTTACAGAGATAAAAATAACTATGATTTTCTATTCTATGTTAGATTTTTTTGAAAACACCTTTTACATCATGGGGCTAAAGGACACTTTATAATCCCCTGCGAACTGAAACCTCTTTTGTCTGCACTGTACTCGGTTTCACACTAGAATTCGGTCGTTGCTTTAATAGCTAGGATATCAGCCGGTTTCCCGGATATTTATTATAATCCGTCTCCTCCTCATCACATCTGCTTGGTTTTTCTGGCCTGACCGTCAGGCGCTTTACCTTTAGTGTTAATGTCTCCATGCGCTCAGTAACTGTGTGTTTACAATGATCAAGACGCTCTAATTGTGGAAAATATCTTAACTCGCCTTGATTTTCATGCAGTTATGTCTAAATTCGTAATACGCCGAATTCCGCAGAATGATATCCAGTTGACAATTTACTTTAAATAGGGGGGGCCGCCTGGCAAATCCACAACTGTGGATATGAAATTCCGTCGGCCTCTCTCTATTGCTTGCTAAATGACCTTGTTGAACAGCAGTTTGTCGTTTCGCATGACTTTATCTTGATATTTAATAAGCTGTATTTATTACATATGGAGAAGTTTAGTTTTAATATTTATTCGCGTTTCACAAGCATATGTCAAGGCCAAGTTAAACATTTTGTCACTGTCGGCGACCTTAAGGTGACGGTTGGAGCGCGGAAATCTCAGAATATGTATGAGGCTCTCCATTGCCTATCAGTGCTATCCTGACGGTAAAACAAGCTGACCTGCAGGCATGCCGCTAACGAGCGGCCACCTCTCAGGCCTGAACTAAGGTAGCCACGCCCGAGCCCACAATCAAATGTCATCTCACGCTGTCGACAGATATTTCCTTGTCTCCGATGGTGTCTTGTCATGTGTTCCCGACTCAGTTTGTAGACCAGCCAATAAAATAGGTTAAACTCACGTGTGATTCAGTAAATCACGTTTTTAGAATGACAAGAGCTAGCAGAGCACCACAAGGAAACTACTCACTCACAGTTCCGCTTACGTGCCTAATTAATTAATTATCATAGCTCTCCGAATTCTGTCCTTGTGCGGGACGAATTTACCATTGTGCTTACCGAGGATCTATAGCCTTATTGGCCAGGAGACAAAACGGTGTGATCAATTAAAAGAGTTAAAACAAGCCCCACGCAAAGGTCCACCGGTATATCTGGGTGATATGACAGCGAAAGCGATTTCCAATGAGTCAAAGGTATGTTGCAATTAAACGCAGTCGATAAAAATTCGTTCTCCAGTAGGTGTTGTTATGCGACGCACTTCTGACCCAGCGCGAACATAGGTCGTATTTTAAATTCTCTAATTATTCATGTCTTTGTCGATGCAGGAAGTCTGTTTGCTGCACTTCTTTATTTTGGCGTCAGTTAATTTTGTGCGCAATTTACAATTTCTTACTTGCGGTCTTGATTGGGTTTGCTTATGCTCATTGTGCAATACAAGCATAAGCACAAAATGAGTGATTATTCAGCGCCGTAATATGTCAGAATTTGTTGAAAAAGACGTATGCTTTATGAACTTACGTCTGAGTATTCGTCGTAGTATACCTAAATAAATAACTAAAACAAAATAAGTAATTTTTATTTAAGACCTTAGGGGTCCCGTCATAGGAAGTAAGAACAAATTTTCATATGAATTTTAGAAGGGGTAGACAGAATCTATGCAATACTTTACTTGTTATGGAGCGTGAAAGCGGCGTAGAGCCACGGTCTAAGGCGCTAAACAGGGGACCAAGTCGGCGACGTGAGTCACGCGTGAAGTTAGACGACCGACCGGCGCGCACTGCAGCGCCGAGCATGCGTGGTGGCTTTGCTCACGTGTGCGGCTCAATCAATGAATGGCCGAACATTCCAGACGTTTCCGCGTGGGGGGGGCTATCGCGCACGCGGTGGCCAATCAGCGACCGGCACGCTCGGGGCATGGACATTCTAGAACGCCCTCAACGGCCGGCACGTCATTTGACGGAATGTTCCAGAACGCACGGGAGCCAATATAAATAGCACACCTTTCTTACGAGTTGTAACCCCCTCCGGTCCACAAGTTCTAATAAATTGCTTGTCCTCCGAACCGGCTCTCTTCCTGTCCTACCTTCCTTCCGGGTCATAACTTTACTCATTGTTATTGAATAGCCAGTCCGTTACGAAGAATGATGAGCGGACAGTGAAAGAAACTCCATTATCAAATAAACAAAAGGAATGTAAGTGGATCAATATTACTGCAGGAAAAACCGTCGCTCCTGAGTAACGGTTGAACTACGCATTCTGATGGATCGATAAACTTCCTGGAGTTGTCCGAGCCGCGTTGTGCGCACTACTAATGATCTCACTTAGGTGTGTGGCGTAATCCCGTGGGGTAGTTGTATCTGAGTTGGGTAAGAGGTAGAGAAGCTCGATCGGAAGGCTCATTTCACGTCCGGCCTTGATTTAGTGGGGAGTGAGGCAGGTGGAGGAATGGACGGCTCCATGGTAGGCTAAGAGACAGAAGGGCAAGTTTACGTCCCAGTCATGTTTGTGGCTGTCCTTGGGAAAAGCGAGCAGGAGATTGTGCAATGCACGATTCATTCGCTCCGCAAGGCCGTTTCCTTCGAGGCGGTATGGTGTAGTCCGTATTTTGTGTATCTGAAGGGTTTTACAAACATCCTTGAACAATTGGGAGTCGAAGTTGCTGCTACAGCCTGAATGAAACGACAAGAGAGCACCCCGGTGGCTTATCCGTGTGCGGCCGTTGGCGTTCACGAAGGGCATGACGTCTTGGTGGGGGGAGGGGGCCGTGTAAGTCGGTTAACACAGCGTCGATCAAACAGCCTGGCACCAGTGGACGCAAGTGATGGGATGAGGGGTCGCATGGAGGAAGTCGTGCAGGACAACCAAGTAAGGCCATTGGTTCAACAGCAAGCACGCATTTTGCCTCGTACCTCGCACCTCTTGCTCGCCGGGTTTAGATAGCCCTTGAGTCAATTGCCAGCACATCACAGCGGCATCAGGATCCGGGCCCTGGGTTGAGGAACAAGCGTGTGGGGTGGATTCGGAAGCAATAAAAAGTGTTAATATCCACGTAGCCTGCTTCATCTTCCGAACTGATTGTCGGGGAAAGGCGTGAAAGTCCGTCTGCATTACCATGGTTGTGTCCAGCGCGGAACTGGCCTTCGAAATCGAAGTCCTGTGAAAATTTCTGTCAGAGGGCAAGCTGGTCTATAGGGTCATTGATGAAGCTCAACCACTGTAGGGCGCGGTGGTCCATGCGTAGGGCGAACCGTCGGCCGACGAGATGTTTATATTGACTCAGGAGCATCATAGTCGCCAACAATTCGCATCTGAAGGTGGAGTCCTAACGCTGTGTTTTAGTGAGTATGTTGCTGCGAAACAGACTGGGTGTTATACGTCCTCCGTACCGACTTGAGAGAGAACAGTCCTGATGGGAAACCCGCTTGCATCAGTATCTGGTATTGATGGGGGCGTCTCCGCCAACGTTTGCAAAAGCTAGGAATGGTGCTGAGCATAATGCCGCACGATGCAGAGGCGTAGATAGCCACGCTCCTTGGGGATTAATGCAATGGGCGAAACATATGGGGAGGACAGTCGGATAATCTTGGAACGTAGCAGTTCGTCGAGAAGCTATAATAATAATAATCATAATAATAATCATAATAATTATAATAATAATAATAATTTAGCGACCTCATCACGATGACAAACAGAAATACGCTGAGGGGGTTATCAAATAGGCCTGGCGTTCCTCGTGTCGATGGTACGCTGTACCAGTCCTTCATGACTTATAATATCCGCAGTCCACGCAAAGAGGTCAGGAAAAGATGTGAGAAGGCCACTGGACTGCTTATGGACGACGGGTCCGACTATTAAAGGGAAGGCAAAACGTCGTTCAGCTGGGCAGGCTCTGGAGCTACGGTCGAAAGTACGGCATTATATGTGAAATCGAGATCATCTATGAGGGCTGATACTGGGTAGAGGTACGGGGGAACCTAACACTAGGCGTTTACACCGGATATAGATATCACAGTCATGGTCTGTGAGGAAATCAAGCCCGAGCACGAAGGGCCAAGTGCTAACGGGGATTATTAAGGAGTCATAACTCGGAGTGGAATTGTTGATAAAGAACTGTAGGGTAATACTGCCAGAAATAGGGTGCCATTAGCAGCCGGTCAATGACGAGCTGTCGGTTATAGTTTATATGCCTAAGGAAATCTTGCAGTAAACTGAGGACATTGAGGAGGGAAACTTTGGCGCCGGTGTCGAATAAGGCTGGCAATGACTGGTCGTCAAGTGTAATGTTATGTGATTGTGGACAAAGTGGCAAGCCTGGGGGCCGAATGTCGTGCAGTATACACAGTGGAGGTTATGGCGAGGAAACCGCATGGGTAGAGGTGCCCTCCGGTAGAGCGGTCGGAATTTTGGATGCAGAGTAGCCGTACTGAAGGCCGGGGTCGTTCTAAGCCCTTGAAATATGAAGTATACAGTCGGCATTGCCGCATCGTAGTGGTCAACTTGGTAGGTGGGTAGAGAAGAAGAATATCGGTAGCGTTGGGTTCGCGGAGTTCAATTGTAAAATGATGAAACGTGGAGTTGTCGCGGTTCGGTGTGAGGAGGTTGAGGAATGCCAACAAGGCAAGGGGGACAGCCTATTGGCAAAATCGTCGACCGATTGATCACACGTCTGTCTTAACATGGGGAACCATTCGGCGGCCACTTCTATGGACAGTGGCATGTCAGAGAGCTGTAAAACTGCTATACGAGCTAAGTCGAACGAAGACGCGTGGTTGATTCCGCCGTTGGAAACAGGCTTACGCGAGGGGGGCGGAAAGAGATCGTAAAGGATATCATGTATGATGGGCGATGGGGCACTTACTAGAAGTATATCCAAACGGCTAGGCCAGTCATAGACATTACGATCTGCTTCGTATGATTCAGGGGCTAGCAAAGGGGTGGGACCGAAAGTGTAAGAGTTGTCAAGCGTAGGGTTAGGAATTGGGGTTATCCCCTGCCGCCATTGTAGCAGCCGAGAGAGGGAACGGCGTCAAAATACGAATGATGTTGGAAGGGGTAGACGGCAACTTAAACTTAGACGGTCAAGCCGTTTGGAACATCCTGTCTAGAAATCCTTGTATCTCACAACGGGCGTGATCGGGTGATACAGGCATGCGGGACAGCGTACAAGGCAGGACAGGTGATGAAAAGATATAAATTTATTGCCGACTATAAAAAATGAAGAAATATTACAAAGTGGATTGCAGTAATACGGAAAGAACGGCTGGACGACTTACCGGAGAGGGGTTGGGCGTTACTCGTCCACGCGTGACCTTGGAGGTATAGTCCCTACAAGAAAATGACGGAAGAATACCATCTAATGCGAATGTCAGTTAAAGCATCCCAGGTCAGGGTTCTTGTCAGATTTCCGGCTGGTGTACTGCAGCGAAGAAGTCTGGCTGATCTGACGAAACTGCCCTTGAAGACATCGAGGATAACGCAGGTATTACACCAAAGCAAAATATTTAGTGTAAAAAACGTAGCCAATCATTGCGCAGGTGAAGACGATCAATAGGAAACTCGTGGGCATTGGTAACCCTACAAGATTACTCCCACGGCTTGGCCAAGCTGTTCGTCCCTGGCTAGTCTGGGCTGGCGGACAGACTGTCTTCCTAGGTTATCTTTTGTCCGATATACTAAATAAATTATTATATTCATCTCCTCGTTTACGTAGTCCACTGTTGTTTTCTGGGTTACTTGTGAGGAATGGGTTTCATTTTTCCGTTACGGTGTTTCCCACCGTTTGCTGATAGCCACCTTTACCGACCAGTATTCGCCTTTTCGAGTAGATCACACTACGTGCACTCTACTTGTGTCAGAAGTATCCTGGCCCATATTTAGTTTGAATTGTCAGCAAATACTGTTGTAATTCGTCGCAGCATGCTCTAGAGCCGTGTCATGGCGAAGTTCTTTTACCTTGCTCACAAACGACCGCATTTCATTTGGTGGGGCTTTGACGCGATCCATTTTACGCGGCACATTGTCTCAACACTTATTACGCGGATGCCATGCAAAAGCTCGAACACTTCTTTCGCCGACTTTCTTTCCCTGCTCAATTGCCCATGCGAAAAATGTGAATTAATACCGCAAGTTCTACTCCGTTATTTCGACTTGAAATTCACTAGTAAATGTCTCAAGAAAGTATTCATAAAACCGTAGGAGCCTGTTGAGACCCACTTATATGGCGAATTCACACATTTATGTCATGCGATATAACAGACTTGGTGAAATCTTTGGTACTTTAGTTAATACCATTGTTGGTAGGCTGGTAAGGCAATTTTGTTCACAAACGCATCCGTATGTACTTGTTAGATTTTCAGCCGAGACCATTAAAGTACAGTTAAATGCTTCCATAAAACCGGGATCTGCCTGAAAAATCTGTTCGTTGTCTTCGCATGGAACCCAGAGATTTAGCGTCCCCACACTTTCATCTGTGCCCGTGAGAGTCCGGCCTGAATGTTTTGTCAATCTTATGCGCAATCTCATTTTTCAAAATAAACTTACAACTGTTTGCCTTATTCCGGGCTCCTGCCTTCACGGTGTTGCAAGAAGGCCATTATCCCAGATGAATGTAATTATTGCTGATTTTGTTCCCGAAAAACGGTTATTCGTTGTCTTATTGTCAACTGAGACCATTTGCTACTAACCAGTTATCATTCAACGTCCGTGATCGGTCATTTCCCACTTCGTTTGTATATCTGGGAAAATATTTGTTCTTGCATCCCATAGATGTTGCTCGGCAGTTCTTACGCTGTCACTCATGCCTCCTTTTCTGCAGCTTAATTCACTGCGTCCAACTAAGTTCTATTGCAAATTCCACCCATTCAGCTGCGTCTACTATTTATTATATAGCATTTTTTAACATTTCATCCATGTGCTGCTTTTTTATCATGCCCACAGTAATTCATTCGTTGCCCCCAGTCAACATGTTGCGAACTCTTGTCCATGGATCAGTCTTCTCCAAACCCTTCTTGTCACTTTGCTGTCTCGAAACTACGACAGCCGAGGCCATTGACCCGAAAACCGAGCTTAAGAAGACGACTTCCAAGTCATCCTCTGTCGTGGGACCATTCAAGCCTCTCATAATTCCCGGTCTCTGCACCACCGAGACCACGCGAACGGAGTTCTATAAACCGAAAGTACATGTTTTGGTTTTCTTCTTGTTAACCGTCGAAGTTTTCCAGCTTACACGAGCACAAAGTTGAGGAAGTGGAAAAATGGACCACTGTTTGGCCTGCCGAGAATTTCTTTAGCCCGAGTCTGTTCCCTGTGCCCATTCGTCAAGGTCATAGCAAGGTCAGTGTATACCCATGTTTTTCCTTCTTCCAAAATCTCCATTGTCTTCGTTATTGTGTCGACGTTTTCGTTTTATTGGTTATTGTCGGGGAAGTTGACACATTGAAGCGCTGTCGACGCAGATTGTGAAAACGTGCCCCTTCAACCCTGTTACTTGGCAATCTTACCTATAGCCTGCGTAATCGAGTTTGACTCATCGATAGGATAGCTGGGGCCGACAAAACGGCTATATGCTAGACGCTTCTTCACGGTCATTGTGGTCGAGTAGCAGATTTCTTCAAATCCAGTCGAGTTCAAATCGCATGCTCCGACGCTTTTTTCCGTCTTTCTTTCACACTATGTCGAATATTCGTCTTTCGAAAGCTTTCTACTCCATCTTAAGGCCACTCATGATAACAGGACGGTCATTTCATCCTGGCCCCACCTGGTGTCCAGTTCACATATTCTCCCGGTTCATTTGGTACAGCCGCCATGATGCCCGATATAGCCGACCTCAATGATGCCGCGGATTGCACGTCATAACGCGTGAAGATTCGTGATAACGGATCTGGACAGTTCGGCCCATTCTCTCTTGCAGCAACGGCGACCGACTAACGAAGGTCCAAGAACCGTTTTCATGTGTTAACTAACTGTGTCGGCCAGGTTTTGATTTGGTCTCCTTTTCGACGCCTACGGGTGGCCAGCGGGGCTGGATCGAGGGCAGCAACATTTAGCTCACGAGTCTGACTACGGACGTACCCAAACCACCTCAGTCGTTTCTCTTAGATGGCATAAGATGTCCTCGCGATGTTACCTGAGTGGGTACGAACTGTCTAATTTGAAACGAAGTCGGTATACTACACTCGAAGGATGGTTCTCAGGCGACGGCAGTCAAATAACTCCAGTTTTCGCCCATCTATCACACGCATAACCCAGCATTCCCAATCGTTTAGAAGGACTCATTGAGCTGATGCCAGGCACACGCGGATTCCCGCTGCAGTAGAGATACCGCTTCGGGTCCAAAGGCTCTTTTAATGGATTGTGAAAACCTTGAGAGCGGCGACGATTTGGGAAACAATGTCGTCTTTACTCTGTCCGCTCGGCAGTAGCCTCACACCGATGTTTTTGAAATTATCCACTTCTTTAACTTTACAGCCACTAATCCTGACGTGGGATTTCGTCCTGGTCAGGGCTACAACTCGAAAATAATTTGGTCTTCCCAGTGCATATGGATAAAGCGACCGAAGCTGCGACATCATTCAGCCCTGACCCCACAGGGTGAAGATCACCAAAGCTTGAGACCAGTAAAACGATATCGTCAGTCTAGTCGATATCAGTCAGCCCACGTCCGGTTACATACTCCGCACCGTCAAAACCCATAGGGACCTTCCGAGAATCCAGTCAATGTCATTTTTGAACCGAATGTGCGACAGAATATAACCTTGTCGAACATCAGATCGGATATCGAATGGTTGGAACAGATCATCATGGGCCAAAACTCGCGCATTGTTGCAGCGGTAGTAGGTCTTAATCATAGTGATGTTTTTTTGGCTGCACACAATCTAGTTCCTTTATCCGTCAATGGGGCCCACGATAGACCGAATTGGACGCAGAGGCAAAGTGAGTAAAGCAAGAGACCATCGGTTGCTGGTAGACATGAAGGACTTCCATAATGCGCCGCAGTGTGAATATTTCGTCCATAAATCCACACCCAGCTCAGCATCCGACTTGGCTGGGCCTCGTCCTAGAGTCGCGCACAGTCTAGAATCGCCGAGGACAACAGCAAAGACCGTCGCAGCAACGTCGATGAGACTTATGTTGCGGTATTTTTCACACTTTGTCTTATCTCCTTTCATGAAGACAGGCACGATGACACCCAAGCCCCGGTCATCAGGAACGACTTCATCTCCCCACACTTGCTCAGTTACCTTGTGGAACCAAGGCGCCAAAGGGTCGATACAAGACTTGTAGATTTTACCGGAACTACCATTCTCTTCGGGCGTCTGGTTGTTATGTTGTCATTTATATTGCGTCGACGATTTTCCTCACGGAGAGTGGTCGCATAACACCGCATAGTCTGGAGATGGGTGAAACTCCGCTGCGAAGGCTATGATGGGTTGTGACTTGTTGAAGCTGCGTCACGTTCAAGCAACCGTTTTGGCAGGTGGACAAAACCAGATGAGGATTGAAACTTTACTTCCAACGTCCTCGAGTTTGTGTGTAAGGCCTGGCTCAGTCATGGGAAATTGGCTTAATTCTTTGTAAGACGCGGAGGCAGTTTATTGCAGTTCGACTGTCGATTCCTACCATGCTCACCTTGCGCCCCACAGCAGGGTGGGTCTAGGGACGGAGATTTGCGCGTGAATCAGTTTATAGTGACATTTGACTTGCGCAGCATCTACCGCACTCTCTCCCCCATCGCCCACTCACCTGGCCCCGGTCTCAAGGCAGAGTCAAAAATGCCAGAGGCAGAATCGGGCACAGTGGCTGGCAAAGCTGCGTGTGCCAGACGCGCCTGGTCCGCGCGCAATAAACCACAGCACTTCAGAGTTTTCGATTTCTTCGTAAAAGACGTTGTCTGGTCGGCGCTGAGCAGTGATGCGGTTGCTTTGGTCTTAGAACCGTAGACCGTCCTGATTGACGCAGAGAAATCCCCTTTTTACTTACGGTCCGCGTGTCCTTGTATTTCCCGGCCTTGCTACCCATTCACGCATTTTGCATCTACCGCAACCGTTGCTGCACCAGGCGGCGACACCAAAGAAAGGCTGCACTGTTTGAGTCGGTCCCGCGGTTGGCATAGGCTTTGCGCAGCCTATTCTCAACAAGCCGTTCGGCGATTTCTGCGTCAATGTCATGGTGTTGGCGGCGTGCGCGACCCAGAACATCCATGGCGTCAAAGCGAACTGTGTTCCGCAGTTGACACTAGCGTGTCTCGACGGTGACGTTGTCATCAGAAGCCAGCGGGTGTTGGACCAGTTTATTGTTAAAATCGAAGCGGCGAGCGGACACATTCAACGCAGTGTATGTAACTTACCCTGTGGCAGGTTGTCTTGCACTTTCCTATGAGGCAATAACCGACGCCTCAGCTTGGAGATGACGAGGTGGCGATCCACCAGCCATCGGCGTCGCAAATCACCAGCACGTCCTCTCGGTGTCGTCACCGTCGAGAACGTAGTCCAGCATGTACCAACGCCGCGAGCCAGAGTGTATCCATGTTGCCTTCTCCCGCGTCCGAAAGCAAAAGGTGTTGGTCAGGGGAGTCGGTGTTCTGTACAGGTTGGCAGAATAAGGAGGCCGTTATCGTTGCAGCCCTCAATTGCGTAGGCATCTAGCACTCCCTCCCGGGCGGCGTGGTCTGTCCCGACGCGGACATTGCAGTCACAGAAGACAAGTGGCGCGATTTACCCTATCAACATGGTTTATTCCTAACTGGACACACCTACACGCTGGAGGTTTTACAGTAGGCTCACTGTTGGATGGCCCACCTGGACGTATCAACAGCAATAGAGGAAGCTTCGGTTTCGGTGGTTACGAGGCACGCATTCTTCCTTACCATTTGATCGGGTTTTGCAACTACATCTTGTCGGCACATGGTTTTGCTCAGCTTTACGTGATGATACCAGTTTGGGGTAGCGCCCTCTGGCAGCTGATTTCGTCGGTTCTTGTCGCCTATTTACATCCATGAGTGTGCCATGGTCTAGTTTACTCCATTCAATTTGGCTTGACCCTGTCTGTCCGACTTACCGAAGTAGGGTGCGGGCGACGGAAGCTGCTTCGCCGTCGGAAGGTGCATATGTGTATAAGCACCGCACGCCGGTCTGATAAGAGTAAAACGGGATAGGCGGTGCATAGACTCACGATATAGTTCTCCAAATTCTGCATATCATGTGTGCATTCCGATCTTCCGCATTTTAGAATCTTGTGGAAAACGAAGGCCTTTCGCCCGCCAAATATGCCAACACAGAACTCATGAAGATCCCTAACTTCCTCCATCTGTCCCCCGAACACATTCGAAAGCATTGTGAGGCTTTAAAGAGTAAGTTATCCCTCCACACTGACTCTTTCCCCCAGAATTCACCACAAAATGGCCCGAGGGACTCAAGACGGAGGATGATGTGGAGAAGCACTATCCACTCGAGGTGGTTTACCGCACATTCCTGAATAGCGCACCGTCTATACGTGATCGACGCGCTCGTTTTGTAACTCTGCGCATCCCCTTGTCTAATCTAAAGTTAGACAAGCGAAGCCATTTGAAACTCCTCCGCCTGGCCAAATCCTACGGTTTTGAGCGCGATATGGCACAGTACTATGCGAATTCAGACACATTGGAGTTGAAATCAGGCCGTTGTCCAGTGAGGCGACAGAACTACGACTATCTTACATATGTGCTCACCGTGCTTACGATGGAATCCAAGGTTAACTGACTTCTATAGCATGCCGAGCTTTTCATCCCCCACTTATATGATCATTATAGCTACATTTGCACGCGTCAGACGTAGGTTTCGCGTCACCCCATCTGCTATGCCTACTCTTATCGCCAGTCTGCTTTTCCCAGTCTTGTTGCCTGTGTAGGGGAGAATAATGAGCGTTACACCGTTCCAACTGCCACGACATGCGAACAGGCGAGCCTTATAGGGTCGCTAGCCGCCGGAATTGTCATAGTCATAACCATAGATAAGTGCTGACATTGACTCCTAGTCCCAGTGCCTTTACACTTTCTTTGTGTTTCAATGCGTACCTATTCGTGCTTAACTAGGAGAGGTTAGGACTTTGCATAAATTTGTTACGAGTTTCTCAAGTAGATCATAAGTTAGAGGGCATAATCAAGACAGCAACCCTTACGCTCCATCTGTATAGCGTCAGTCCCACTTCCCATTGAAATTGAAGGGGTGACAGGCTTTCAGAAGAATTACGTAACTGCGTACTTCTTACGCGATGAAATACTGAGGCCGTAGCTTCAAGTCGCAACTCTTGATATTATGATGCAGACAGTCTTATCTGTCTCGAAAACTCTAGTTTTTCAGAAGACAGAATACTGGTGAATGACGTATCTAAGTATGAAGCTGTTTACTATCTACAGAATTGCCACTTTGAGGCCAAGGTACTATTAGCTACAATATCATTCGTTCGCTTAGAAACACGAGGCGTGGGAAGACATGGACACGGGAAGTTATCTCGACTTCAATTGGTCATCGAGTCCCCAGCGGGAGCGCCTCCTCAAACTCCTCAGCTCTGGAAACAAGACTCCAACAAAGTCGCCGATAAGTTCCGAGGTAATTCTAGTCCATGTTTCTTGCCATAGAACTCCTTTTATTCATCCAACGGTTTACGTTTACGCTAGAATGATAAAGTCTCTCTGTGTGTATATACTGCTGGCAAATTAGCGGGACTTTCTTTAGTCCTGCTGTTTTGCTTATAAACCTCTTTAGATTTATGATTATACGTTGCAATACAGTGGATGTAAGCTTTATATCAATCCGTATGAGCGTTAACAAGACCACGGAACTTATCTTTTTAGAACAGCCGGGTAATTGCCCAAAACTGCATTTTCCGCGTACACGCGATGTCAAAATTACACAGGCTTTGACTACGCTAGCAATGTCCACTTATTAGCGTCACGTTTTCATCACGCGGGTTAGTGTCTCAAATGAGCAAATTAGTCAGCTCGCGCGGTTCTTTCATAACCACTATGACACCAAGGTATTCTTGATATGTACCTCGGACCAGGAGGAAGTACTCGTAACTGCTAGCGGTTCATTTGAAGAAGGGACCTTTTGTAATGCACCACGAAATGGGCAGGTTTATTTGAGTGAACCGAAGTCTCTTTTGGAAGGATCTAGAATGGGGATGTAGGTGAAGATTACCGGTGTCCCTTCCCCCACAACTGCTGACAATCCGTCCCATGACGCTGACAACAGCACTCTTATTTACGTCAGCATTCTTCATGGCTCTTCTCTGCAGTTGCTCGCAGCGCTGCACTCCCCATCGACTGTTAGGCAGGCAGGACAACATCACTACCCGTTCAGACGGATCGTTTCTATGCTGCAACAGTATCTAATATGTTGTATTGTCTCGGCTTTATTGTTTCCTAAGTGTTTTGCGTTCATCTGAACCCCTTTTCTGCCCCTTTCGTCTGAAGGCTCGTAATGGCCTGCTTTAACAACTCTGTTCAGTTCATTCCCCGTCGTGAGTATCCCAAGTGTTTTACATTAACCCGATCCTCGGTCGCTGCATTTAACTATAGGTGTTTAAGAAACTTTAACAAAGCATCTATTGTTGCGCCAGCAGAACTGAAGCACGTCAGCAGACAATTTTATTAACTACCTTTAGCCTATGAACGCGTATCTATGTCTATTAGTCCAGAACAAAGTACTGAAAACATATGCAAGGAGTTTGTTAAGCTACAAACTATACAAGCGGAACGAGCCCAAGGTTTCTGAGCTCACCAATTTGACTAACGGTACAGTTAGATCCAGATAGGCGAAGTGGCAATTGAAGGGAATTTTATCAAAATGAAGGAATGTGTAGAATTTTCGGTTAAATTGATCTGCCTAGTGTCATCGTCTATCTTAAGTGAATTTGAGTTTTCGTGGAATCAGGGGCGGTGGTTCCTTGTATCACAGGCTTTTTCCACACTTTATTCCGTCATTTGAAATGTGCTTGGCTTCGCCACACCTTGGCGTCCTTTTTTCGTTTTCGGCCTTCTTTCTAGTCTCTTATGCTCTTATTTTTAGACTTTCCACTGTCTGCTCCTCATATTATTTTTCCCACTGCTGGATGCAGCATATCCGCTTTTTTCTTCCCGGATGGGTCCCTGTCGATAAATTTTCCTCTTTTCTGATCTGCTCAAAACATGTTATGAGGTGCTTTTTCCAAAGAATCTCTCTAAGTCAAAGATCTCAAGTAACTCCAACCTACCATCCTATTTCAGTTGTGTTAAGAACGCAAGCCTTTTATACTCTTCAGGGAAGAGACTCCGACTTTCTGATCTTCGCGGCCCTGGATTTTAAAGTCCCAGACAAGGCATCTTTGGGCCTAGTTTCTGAACAGTGTTGTACTGCTCTGTAGGGACCTGTACTGGTTTACATCGCGTTGATTTCGTCAATTGAGCAGACGGCTTACACCCTACACTTTCCTTAGTTGTGACTAAATAGTATCGATTGGCATCCTTACCCGCTATACAAGCTACGTCTTAACTTAGCAAATAGTCAAACCCCCCTACCTACGGCTGTTGGCGGTGAGCAACGATTTGCAAGAGTAGATTATGACTTTACAACGGGTAATCTTATCGAGACCTATTTTCCTTCCAGTTTGATAAATCGCCTGCCGTACTGTCCTACCGACGAGCCCTGGAAGAAATGTTCAGCACGCCGACGGATGAGTTGTGCGGTCCCTGGAAGAAACCGCCCAAAGTGCCCAAACGGAGGCACTACCACTGGCCCCCAATCCGCGATATCCCTTTCGAGCCTGTGGTCGGCGCCGACCAATCCGTTCATCTCCAATCCTATGGCGAGGCCGTACGTAAGCTCTGGGGTTTATCGCCAACCTGATTGTGCGCGCGCTTACGAGACTTTTCTTCACTCAGCCCTCCGTCGCGGTCTCCGTCCCATGCCGCTAACTTTTATCGACATTTCTAATTAGACGAGCTTTTCTCGGAATAATCATCCTTTTGCAGACATGCAATGAATGTGAGACTGTTTCTTTCTTTTGGAAAACTGCCCACAATCTTAGTTTTTTCCGTCGCCACCATGATTGGTAGTTACCGTCTTCAGATAGGTGGTTTTGATACGCCAATCTAATACGACCAGGTAGACCTACGATTGTGAGCCTCGTAGGTCTTCTAGTTGAAGCGTACGCTAGTTGAATTAGGGTAGGTAAAAGTTGGGGAGCTTCTGTCTCCACTCCCTTAAAAGGGAACTAAGTTAGGCTGTGGTGGTTATGGAAATCAAATCAATGAGCTTTGTCCCAGACTTGTCCAGGGCATGCATTGCAGTTTGAGACAGGTAGTCTCTTCTGATGTTCGTGAATGCATGTATAGGCAGATTTTCCCTCTCGACCGCAGTAAACTACGTCACAGGCCTCGAATGGGATCTTGTACATGACTTCCTTCCTACCCAGCCGGCTAACCCTATCCTTGGGGTGTAAAAACTGGTTGGGTAATGTAGTTGTCGGTTTGTGGGTCACTTGAATTTGGTATTGACTTAGAGGTTTCCTTAGGAGGTTCACACGCATTCGTAGTGCAAGAGAGGGTTCGCCAGATATTTGGTTTAAGTGCGTGATTGGAAGAGACGAGAGGCAATCAGAACAGAATAGCACACACGGCTACCGCTCAATGGCGCAAACGCCAGACAATTATCAGTCTTCTAAATGCACTCGTCATGTTAACTGTTTGCTTTGTGCCTGACGCGACCTGGGAAACCGGCGTCGAAAATATTCACAATAAAGTTCCCTTTCCCGAAGAACGTATTTGACTTCAGCTTGTATTTCTTGGGAAGCCAAAATATTATGGGGGGCGAATTCATTAGATTCCAGGTACAGTTAGGGTTGAGGTTGATGGTTTCGGACAGCGTTGCGATCACTAAATCCCTATCCTAACGCTGGCCGTTGACTCATGTCGACAACCCTTATTACTGCAGGGTGTCAAATGCACTCTCGGGTGCGCCGCATCGTGTGACGAAAAATAAATATTCCAAACTACCCCACAAATTTAAGTAGCAAGTCGAGCGTTATTGAAAGTGTGGCGCGAATTTGGTCCAGTCGAAGTCGTTACGTGGGATGCTCGGTTTTTGGTATCGCCGCGGCGTCTCAATCATCCCGAAACTGACAACTAGGCCGCGCTAGGAACTGCCCCTATCTGCTGTTGTTTGTGGTGGTGGGTTCGAGCAGGAATATGAAATGTCAGGCGAATAAAGCACTTGTTCCAGCGATCGTGTCTCTTCAAAGCTGAGCAGCCCGTCCATGTGTGCCACACACAACCTGTTCCTGTCAACATGCACCAGACGATCATGCAACGGTTTGGGGTTCACATAATCGAAATGGCATAAAGGCAACTCTGAGAATGAACCATCTCAGATTGGATTTCAGTTCTCCAGTCTCTACAAAGTGCTCGCATGGAGACCGAGTTCTCTCGTCAGGTGGCAGCCTTCCAGACCTCGACTACTAGCGCGTCCTGGTAGATTAAAGTGCGTCTGATTTCTTTTCGTGGGGAGTGCACTGGTGTGCGGTTTTGGCCTTGCTATCTCTTCCCTCTTCTATGCCCTAGTCGACTATCTGAGCCTGCTAACCGATCAGAGATAGAGGTTGAGAGCAATCGCTGACAGAGCTAAGGGGTGGTAGAGGGGCGCTCACTAATCGTTTTTACAGAAATCATTCGTCCCATTGTATCTTAGGGCCCTCTCTCAAGCCCGACCAGCAGCCACACAGCGGCACATGATATAGGCAGAATAGCATTACCGGCAAAGACAAGAGAGACGGGAATGCCAATTTCTGGCTCACTAGCCGTCGTCAGTCAGTCATACCCAACCCCGAAGTGTGGAACGCCTGGGGCTCGATCCCGTGACCTGTCGGTTAGAAGTCCACCGTTTCTAGCCACTGAGCCACGGCCTCGTCCTGCTGGTCGCGATCGGGAATATACGATGGTAGAGGGGTGCTGATCAGGCGCTCCACTCTTCGGCGTTTGGCATGACTGGCTGACGACGACTCCTGAACCAGAAATGGATATTACAGTCTCTCTTGTCTTTGACGCTAATGCAATTCTGTCTATATCATTCGCCGCTGTGTGGTTGCTGGTTGGGCTCTAGTGATAGAGGGCTCTAAGGCACAACGGGACGAGTGAGTTCCGTTAAAACGATCGGTGAGCGCCCCTTTACCATCGCATATTCCCGACCGCAACCGACAGGACAACGGACCCGTGGCTCAGTGGTTAGAGGCGTTGGACTTCTAAACAACAGGTCGCAGGGTCGAGTCCCGGGTGTTCCACGCCTCGGCATTGGGTATGACTGACTAGCGACGGCTAATGAACCAGAAATGGCCATTCCCGTCTTCCTTGTCTTTGTCGGTACTGCTATGAACCTAAACTGCTCGTCTTTATGTGCCATGACCTGATTCTCACAATATTTACAAGACTACGTCGACGGACATGTCTTCCGTACAAGCTCAAGTGCGCGACGTCTAGCCTGCCATACCGACGCTGACAAAGTGGCTCGCATACTTGGTACAAGTGAGAGGCATGGAGTGTTAGGAGGGGCGGTGTGTATACGTTTGATGATGAGCAGGCTCATATGAAGCCTGGGGAGGTGTAGCAGGCAGGCCCAGGTGGTAGGTTTTTCATTCGAAGTTTTCATGCAGACGCATATATTCGAACGAGCCCATGTGAGGAACGAATGTCTTCGGGCAAGCGAGACGGGGACTCGCGACACTGCCCCGCCGATCTCGGTAAGACGGATTTGCAAATAGGCGACCGAACCGATGCGTGATTTAAATGTGCGGTGGCTGTGCAAATAGGATGGGACCGTTGATGATGGTGACGCTGTTAGTGGTGGTGGAGTCTGTAGTGCTGGAGGTAGAGGAGCTTTCAGGTTTTGTACTTGGGCGGGTGGGTTGCAGTGACGTGGTGGTTAACCATGGTGTCGTATATGCGCGTATGGCCGAATAGGACCATGCAGTGTCAGAATGCCCTTGGACTGTGGGCAACTAAGGAGTGCATGGCGGGTGTGTGTTGGGACCCCAGGCAGTGGTCCGCCGGTCCGAGTTCCATGGACTTGCAAGTGGTCGATGTGAGACTCAAGTTTTCGGTTGCAATGAATCACTGTTCGTACTCGCATTAGACATCGGATAGTTATGTCGGGCATTTATAGCCAAGCCTTAATCTTTGAAATTATGAACCGCAGAAACATATATAACGCCAGTGGGCACAGCCTTTACGGTCACATAGGGGCAGTATTCACATATCTAGCCTACAAGACGCAATGTCAGCCTCTGGGTTCGGTTTGGAGTTCCGGCCAACCGCACTAGCACGAGGTGAGGCATTGACGAGCAGACACTGAGTTCAGTGTAGCCTTGGAGAACTTTTGTTAAAGCGTAGGAACTTGGGAACCGGGACTTTCATTTGTGCCTCAAATGCCGAATCCTGGCATTCTCCGAATGGTTGCTCCGGACCCCTCTTCACTGACGTGACTATCTTCTAAGATAAAACTGTCACCCTTCCACTGGGGAATTACCAGCCGATATGCTCCTAATCAGGACTTACCTAGTTCTTATTCGTCTCACCTTTTGGATAGGCTGCACATACGCCGAAGCTGCGAGGGGTTCGGCTCGTCAGTACGGTATCACCTTATCCTAAAGTATACTACTAGCTGTCTGTCGACAGTTAATGAATGTTACGCGGTTACCCGCTGTGGCTGAGGGACTTTGGCCCAAATATTCATGCATAAAATTCTCAGACCTGAGCCTATAGATCTTGAATAAACTGATCCACTCCAACTTCGTAGATAATTTCTGAGGAAATTAAAAAGCGACAATGTCCAATATTATTTTTCAGCTGCGAGGCTGCAATGCAAACCATACTTGAGGGTGGGTCATCCTCTTGCCACTGGGCAGATGCTTTTTTATTTACAGTACTAGAGCTCCGCCCGAATACGCACATACGACACTCCACCTAGCCATCCCCACAGACGATCTCTGTGTCCAACCTAGGCGGAGGTGGAGACACGAAGTAACTGGCCGCCACTTGGTTTGCTAGTGGTCTACACATGGTGCGTGAAGCCTTTTTGAACGGCGGACCGCATTCGTCATTCGGTAACTCAACTGGGGCTTACGGCTCATTTACAGATAATTGGTTTGATATGTCTATCCCCGGCCATGCCTGAAGGTCTAACTACTGTATGGTCCACAACTGCTTACCCTTCAGACTAGGCAGCCTGTTCATTTTACAGCTACTCTTCACTGGTTGTTGCTGCGTCATCCACTATCGGTGGGAGTGTTGTGTAGGCTGCAACTGGGCTAGTCAGCAAGACTCGTCCTTCCGGGATTCATGTCGCCCACACTTTCATTGTATCATTGGACGTTTCCATCTACAAATTTCGAAACTCAGATATGTCCTACTTTGCTCTCACTTTTACATGCTTATTCGTCCAGGAGACTATTAAAGAAACATTGCAACTGTACCACAATGCCTGCAGTGACACTTGTTGGAAATTCTGATCAAATCAGGCAGAACATATTCTTCCTTAAAGTGCAATACGTGGTCGAATCTGCCCTTGCCCTAAGGATAAATGGTTGGGGCGTGTAACTAAGTACCCCCGTATTGCGGGCGAGCTTGCACTAAGTTTCAGGGTTCTGGTTAGGTTTAGGGTTAACGTTAGGACAAGGGGAATATATATCTCCTAGAATCTAACGCAGTGCCACCTGTAATACGGCGGTGTACATATTCTCGCGTCAAGCCGATAAATGCTGTAGCGAAGGAGTTGTAGTATCATTGTCGCTATGGCTAACCATAAGTCATAACTGTCTAGGGCGCGCCTTTCGAATTCGGTTTGAAATTTCGACCTCCGAGGGATTTGCTTTTTCCGGGATTTCTGCCTACTGGACGCTCTGCGGGCCCATTTGGATTAAGAAATTGAAGCGTAATCAGCAATTCCTCGAAAGATCCACTCAGAACTCCGACAGAACTTTCTTTGGGACGACCATACTCCTTCGTATCAATTCTCTGCCAACAGCACCGCGGGGTTCTCCAGATCCAGAAGCGGCTGAGTCGTTTGATATTTACTTCATATTTTTGGCTTGGTTAAAAAGCTTCTCCTACACCTTTAAATACTTCGCCCATACCTAGAATCCCTTGCGTATCGTTTGAATTAATAATGGGAGTCGACAAAACACCATCAGGACAATGTGCGAAAAACTCGCCGCAAGTGGGAGTCGAACCCATGTCCAGTCGTACGGTGACCAGCGACATGACCGCTAGACTATCGGCGCATGCCCAGCCGACTGAAATAAATAAGGGAGTAAACATTATTCGTAGTACAAACGACACTATGTATGAAGGAAAGTCAATTTAGAAGGCCTTGCCACCTAGGATTAGCGCTCGCTCTCTTTATAGTTGCAACCAGGGGCCCGCAAAGCGCGCTAAAAGCGTTATCACAGCAAAACCTGCTAGTTACGAGGACGAGCCATGCACTGGATGCTCATTTATTCCGCTGAAAGTCCAAAAACTCGAAAAAGAGTTGACTGCTTTAAGGGAACTCGTGCAAGCGAACGATAGTATGCAAAACGCGGTGAATAGCGCTAAAGTTAGCAAGAAAAAGGGAAAGAGCAAAACTCTAAAACAGCCAAAGAACAAAGCATGTGGAAAACCTCTGTGCAAGAGCGCCGATACCCAGGACGATTGGAAAATAGCAACGGAGTCTCTTGTTTCTATGGGAGACAACCCAAGCGAGCCATCAACTTCTCTCAGCCATTCCGCGTGTTCAATAGGACCCTCAGTTGGAAGTGAGGAAACAAGCTCATGGCAAGATGGAAAGGGTAAGCGCCACAACGGGAGTATAGAACCCCAGACGACTCCGGTGGATCTTCTGAGACCTTCAGCTGACAAGGCCACCGGAAACAGAAAAAATAAACCCCTTGATCGTCAGCACTGCGTAGTCGTCCAGGGTCTATCGGAGTCGGATGCTCCTACCCCGAAGGAGAGGATCTCCGCTGACCTTAATATGCTTCAACACCTACTGAACGAAATGCTTAATTCGAATGAAAAGATAACCATTCGCGCAGCCTTCAGGATCGGAAAGAAGGTGAGCGAACAATCAGAAACTGTGCGGCCACGACCTCTGAAAATTGTTTTGAACAGTAAAGAGGAAGCTAGCTTACTTCTGTCCAGGAAAAGCAGCCTCCGAACCTTTCACAAGAAAGTTTTTTTCAGCCGGACTATTCTCCAGCGGAACGTCTGAAACGCCGCGAATTGGTAACGGAGTTGAAGAGGAGACTTGCAGCGGGAGAGAGCAACTTGGCCATTTTCAGGGGACGAGTAATACAGAGGAACGCGATGTTGTTTTGGAACCAGCCAGTCATCATGATGGCGGCAGCAACATAATATTGGCCAACCCGAGACAAACCGAACGAAGCACTGTCGAATGTTGCAAACTAAAATTCTTTTACACCAATGCTCAGAGTCTGTTTTCCAAGCTTGACGAACTGAGAATACAGGTAGACGATACTCTTCCCGATGTTATAGCAATAACAGAAATGTGGCTGTCAGAGGACGTTGGCGATTGCGAGGTAGCATTAACAGGATACCATTTGTTTAGGAGAGACAGGAGAGGCCGCCGGGGTGGAGGAGTTGCCATGTATGTCAAGAGCAACTTAGCAGTGTGTGGGAGGACCGACAAGATTTCTAACGACACAGAGGCAATTTGGCTGACTATAAAGGCGCGGGGATCTCAGTCCCTCGAAGTCTTAACTATCTACCGGCCCCCGCAGGCGGATCCCGACCCAGATACTTGTCTACTGAAAAGCATAAAAGAGATCGCCAGCCGACCAGACGTTGTTATCATAGGGGATTTTAATGCACCATGCATTCAATGGAGCGATATGCATGCGAAATGCTCGATGAATACCTTCGATTACCATCTACTAAAGACAACTCTAGAAGCTCTACTCACGCAACATGTCCTATTTCCAACTAGAGCTCGTGGAGGGCAACAGGCCAGTTGTCTGGACCTCGTTTTTACCAAAGATCCTGACAGTATAGACGAGGTGTACTACCTACCCCCGCTCGGTCGAAGTGATCATGCAGTGCTTTTATGCGAGTACTTGCTGTATTCTGAACCGTGTACAAAAGACAATACGAGGCCAAATATATGGAAAGGGGACTTTCGCCAAATGAGAGCTGAGGCATCACAAATAGACTGGGATGTTCTCTTCTCCGGAAACGTTAACGAGGACTGGAATTTATTCAAGGATCGTTTACTGCATCTAATGAAGAACCACTGTCCCTTATCAAAGCCTAGGACATCCAACCGCCCTCAGTGGCTTACACGAGAACTCAAAAGGGAGATCAACAAGAAAGGTAGGTTATGGAAAAAATTTCGCGAGAACAACAATAATGCAGCGTTTACAGAATACAAAGTTCAAAGAAATAAGGTGAAAAGTCTGATTTTCAGGAGGCGACGGGATTTTGAGAGTAATTTGCTCCACCGAGCCGTTAAAAATCCGAAATTGCTCTACAGCTATTTGCGGAAAAGCACACGTAACAGGAATCCCATTCCTGTTATGAGGGGTGATGACGGCTTGGAGATATCGGACAGTACAAATAAGGCTGAGCACTTTTCTCAGTTTTTCCGATCCGTTTTCACAAGAGAAGCAGACTTTACCCCATCTAATTCTGAGAACATGAGAGATCCCATTATCGAAAATATTGTGTTTCGAGAAGAAGCGATTTTGGAAGAACTGAAAAGCTTGAAGGAATGTAAATCTCCCGGTCCGGACGAGATTCCAGCAAAGCTGCTCTTTGAGCTTGCCCAACAGCTGGCCAAGCCACTATCCTTTCTGTGCCAAAAATCGTTTGATGCTGGAATTCTTCCCACAGACTGGAAGACGGCCCACATTACACCCCTTTACAAAAGCGGTAGTCGTGCTCAGGCGACAAACTACAGACCCGTCAGTCTGACATTAATCTGCTGCAAAGTGATGGAGAAAACAATCAAAAAGGAGTTGATGGCTTACTTGGAAACCCACAACCTCTTGTCCAATACACAATATGGTTTCCGTAGGGGAAGATCATGTGTTACGAACTTGCAAAGTTGGACACGAGCACTGGACGCAAAACACACCGTGCATGTTGCCTATATTGATTTTCGGAAGGCGTTTGACAGTGTTCCGCACCAGCGTCTCCTACACAAGTTGAGAATTATGGGTATCGGTGGCAAACTTCTCAAATGGATCGAAAATTTCCTTGTCGGCCGCTCCCAAATTGTCTGCGTAGAACAACAGCAATCAAGGTGCACATTCATAGAGAGTGGGGTCCCACAAGGCTCGGTGCTCGGACCAACTCTCTTTCTCTTGTTCATCAATGATTGCGTAGATGGGTTGGACTGTGATTGTGCCATGTTTGCGGATGACATAAAAATCTGGAAAGTCATCCAGAATGCTGCCGATGAGACCAACTTCCAAGAAAATCTTTGTCGGTTGGACGAGTGGTCCCGCAGATGGCTCTTGTCCTTCAATTTGAACAAATGCACCATTCTGCGCCTCGGAAATCAGAGCCCTAGTACGCGACAATACCATCTGAACGGAATGCCACTCAGAGAAGCAGAAACTCAGAAAGATCTCGGAGTTTGGGTTGCAGACAGCCTAAAGCCTTCTACACAATGCTGTAAGGCGGCCAAGGCCGCAACGTCAATGCTATATGCCATCAAGCGGACATTCGTAGTTTTCGATAAAGACTGCTTCACCAAAGTCTTCGGCACGTTTATAAGGCCCCATCTCGAATATGCAATTCAGGCCTGGAGACCGTGGACGCACCAGGATTACGATCTGCTCGAAAGGGTGCAGAGGCGAGCCACAAAATTAGTAAGAGGTCAAAGTGCACTGCCATACGAGATTCGCTTAACTAACCTTAATCTCTATCCTCTGAGTTATAGGCAGTTGCGTGGAGACATGATACAAACTTTCAGTATCGTGCGCGGCTTGGATTGTGCCCTTCGGTGCGATGACTTTTTCCAACTCGCCACTACAACTCACCTCCGGGGACATCCCTTCAAGCTACGTGTGCCACAGGGTAGACTGAATGTGAGAAAATATTTCTTCTCCAACCGTGTCGTGGAACCGTGGAATAACCTGCCCGAGACGGTTGTTATGTCTCAATCTGTGGAGGCATTTAAATGTCGCCTTGACAGATATATGCTGCAGCAACAAGCGGACTATGTGACTTTTTAACCATGTGACTAGTGACATATGTGAGTCAATGTATGCATGCACTTACTGCTGTAATTTCTTCACATTTTTGCTTGTTTATCGATTTTTTATGTACAAATAGGGAGTTCAAAGGCGTAAGCATATTTCCCTCAAATAGACTGACTGACTGACTGACTGACCAACCCTCATTATCATCAGACAGAAAACCCATTTCGATCATCGATATTTCAATTCCTGCGTGCGTTTTTGTCGCTGAAACCACGTACGTACGTCTAGCCATCTCACTTGCAAATTATGTCATCTATGACTTCTGGACTGTTCAGTTGTGTCGGATAAAACTAGCGCTATTTGCGTAACCATGGCAAATATTTAACTCGGGTAGAGATGCGGTCAAGGATATTAGATCGGCTTCAGCCATACACACTGAGTTCGTCCCGTCCAATGTCAGAAGTCACCGAGTTGCGAGAGCTGATTCATTCTATACACGGAGCAGGTCTCCGTGAGTTGGCTGTTTGCTTGTCAGAACGAAGCGTATTTTCGGTGGTGCGTAAGGGACGCTGTGCTGTTTACACGAGTCTGATGTCTGTGCCAGAATGAGAAGGTGACTAACTGTTGGACGTGTGATTGGCTATTCCATGGGCTGAGGTAGGCTGCGCGTGATCCCGAAAGCGCACTGGTGACAGGCGACGCCGGCCGACCCGCGTGAGGTCGCGTCAGTTTGTGATTGTTGTTGTGAGTCAGCGCAGTTGGACAAGAGGTGCTTCAGATCAATCCTGAGGGTGACCGCGCGTTAGCGGTGTGCCTGTAGGTTAGCGCGGTTGCCGCTACCGTCAACTTACAAACAGGACACGGAAGAGGGGCACAATTGTTGACTTTCTTCTTGTATGTATGTGATGGTCGAACTGTTGTGTATATGTGTGGGTCCCAGCATGGCCTTAAGCGCTGTGTGTCTGCTATGCCATGATTCAGAGGACCGTAGTTCTCGCAGCCTGGCAGGCGCTGGCAGTTCCCTGGCACCTGGTTCCCTGCTGGCAGATGCGCCTGCGCTCCCGCTGCGTGTACAGGTCGTGCACATGGTTGTCCAATCATCCTCATCTGTCAGGCCCGTTTATTGTTAGTTAAAATCCCGGTCAAGTGTTTGTCGTGGATAAGGACATGTGCTGTCACGCCTGGGCGGGGGTACGTCCGTGCCAGCTATTTGCGTCCTCTCCTGCCTTCGGTCTTTTTGCTTTTGCCTCGACGCCGGGCCCTGGTGGGGGAGGGGAGGAGAGAGTGCGGTGGACGCTACCACTATGAACTAACTTACGCGGCAGTCACCGTGCTTGCTTCACTTTGCTGTGGAGCATCTGGTGGACATCATCCACAACGACGGTCAAACTTTCGGATCTCAGCATGTTTCCCAATCTGCAATGACGATTTCTCTGGAACAGATCCTATTCCGGCACGTTCTACATTTGCGACTGTATTCGAGCGAATACATGGCCTGCGCGCAATTCTTGTAGTCTTGGGTTTAACCACACCTTTCTCCGGTCGTACTGGCTTTATGTTCCAAATGGACTATGATGTACACTCACGACTCCGTTGCGCCCTTGGAACAACAGCTGTCTTCATCACATTGCCTGGGAAAGCCCTCGTGTGCGTGCGTGCCGAAACCCCACAACAGATTGTATTGTTGTGGTAGGTGTGATTTGGTGCCGAGCATGTGTGGCACCGTGCCCGCTCCTGTTCCCCTGATCACCAACGCAGGCACAACTTTATGACTTCGCGACTCCTCGTCGCCCCTCCATGCCCGTCTCGATGAGTGGAGTTGTTTTTCAATCCCTTCCTGGACTCTCCCGCACTAGGACTGAAGCCTCCAAAAAGCTCATTGCGAAAAGGTCCGTCTGGCCTAGTGTGAATAAAAACGTCAACGCTTGGACCCGATCGTGTCTGAGCTGCCAGTGGCACGAGGTGAGGCGTCACAACAAATCTCCAGCCCTGACGCGTGGTTCAACCATGTTCATCTGGATGTTTTAGACTCTCAATGGCTTCACTCACCTTACCTGCGTCGGTCGGCACACCCGTAGATCCGAATCCATTTCTCTGGTGAGCGTGGGGCTGGACACCATCATTAAGGCTTCCGCCGGTCGTTTGGTTGTCATTTCCAGTGCCCCATCAACGATTGGTACAGACCGAGGTGCCTAGTTCGAGTCTGCACTCTTCCAAACCTTATTCGCTTTTCGTGGCTATACGCGCATTCGGACGGCAGCAGTCAATGACATGACCGAGTGTTCCCACCGCCAACTAAGGACAGATCTGCACGCTGTAGTAGACCTAAAAATTGGTTGAACCTCCTGTCTCTTGCGCCTTTTGGCGTCCGTGCATCATTGAAGTCGGAGCTAGGGTCAGATCTTATTTCGTAGGCGTACCTGCAGTAGACAAGCCCCTGCCTAACCCCTAACAGGTACGGCTACGAAATAGGATCTTGCCGGAACTGGGCTTCAGCGCCGTCGAATTTATGTTCGGCACTACCCCCCGACTGCCAGGGGAGATATTTGCGCCAACCCTACTAGAGGCCTGACATCTTTGTGCGGAACTTCCGGCGTTTGCTGTCCCCTATCCCTCTGCGAACTCCACCGACCCAATACGATGCCTAAAAGTGCTTGGCCGACTGCACTCACGTGTTCGTTCGGTTTGACTATATGCACAAGCTGCTGGAACCGCCATATAAAGAACTGTTCCGGGTACTCTCAGGCAATGTCACGACCCGCCGGATCCGTCGCGGGGACAAGGACGGTCCGACCCAAGGCTGATGTGCCAGAGGCACCGCCGGACTAAAAGTGTGCTAACCTAAGTCCCCTGCTCCTCCCCTACCCTCTGTCCCTCCATCTTTCTACCTCCCGCCCCGCCATATCTGGTACTTCCAAATGTAACCCCATCATCCTCCAACCCTTCTACGGCGGCACGCGCTCACTCTTTTCCTGCCCCTCCGGTTTATGTCACACGTAGTGGATGCCATGTTCACTTTCCTGACCGATCGGTTACTCAGGTCTCGTGGACACGGACAACTGCTTTGGCGTCGTCACAAGCCTCCTTCGATCTAGCCCGGAGGTATTGTGGTGGCCGCCAGCGTGACCACCTCCTCATGCCGCCTTCAATCCACCCCCACGCTCCCTGTCAATCATAGCTTGAGCCGCGCGAGACTTGGCACCAGCATGGCGAGAGTCCGAGGCTGATTGTCATCGCGTATTTTGCCGATTACTTACAAGCGGGCAAAAGCCAGGTGCACGCAAGTGCTTCGAATCGGAGCTACAGCCCCAACCGCTTTTACCTGACTGAAGAGAATGCTTGCTACCTCGGCCTCCTGAGCTTCGTGTACGTTCACTCCCTTCAGTATAGCTTGTCGAACAACTCTGTCTTCCCTGGCCTGTGATTTGAGAAACCCGCAGTTGTCGCCCATCGTACCCCGAAAAGCCAACTATTCGTTGGGAAGAGAAAAGGAGGCGAGGTCAATCCAACTGGAATCCAACATTCATTTCGCCCTGTCTATTACTACGCATTAAGAGCCCTGGTGTGGGGGAGGGGCTTTCAATCGTCGCGATAACCACCTCTCTTCCCGGGCTGAGGGCCCGGCTATGGTGATTCCCTCTTAATCTGCGCCTCCCATCTTCGCCTGCGTGAGACCCGGGTCCACCCATTTGACCTTAGCACGCGTGGATTTAGAGACAAGGTCGTATGTGACACACATGACGTTCTGCTTAGCTTTACCACTGCATTACAGTACGAAGCCATAGCTTGTAGCGGGCGAGGATAATTAAAATTCCTATGGAAGAAACTTTTATTGCCTCACCGGACCTGCCATTCGTTCGTAAAACACGGTCTGGTAAAACTCAGTGGTTGAAACGGTGAGTTGAGAAGACAATGCTAAAGCGATGCGTCTGTTCAAGGAGGGTAGACGTCAACAACCTAACTCTTGCCTCCCAGGATTAGGCAGATTACAAGGTCTTTTTTCCAAATACAGTTAGACATTTCTGAAAAGCAGTAATAACGCTGTGATCAAATTTCCCAGAGCAAAAGGCATCTGACTGGATTCTGTTAATTCAACTCCTGCTGAAATTGATGTCGGTGGCAACTGAATTCAGAATTCCCGCGTCTCCGCTTATCTCATTCAAATGCTTATCTCATTCAAATGCTTATTATCCTAAAAAGAACTGAGTAGATCTGCACGCATGGAAATACAATATTATTGTTTGGGGGATCTTTGTCGCCTCGATCTTTGGCCCGAATTAGTCGCCTGTACCCTATCCATTAGTCGTTAATTTATTCCGTTTGCGGTGATGCGCCTGCAACTAGCGGTCTCTTACAATGATGGCATCGGTTTCCAACCGCACTATCCACTGATTAAAGTTGACCCTACCGGCGAAAATAAGTAGTATATGTATTCATCTTTTATTCACTAAATTTAACTTTAAGCGAATTTTCCAGGGTACAGTACCATCTCTGAGGGAAAATAGTTTTACTTCGCTTTACCTCCTCCACACTTAAGACACATTTTACAACAACCCTGTCGAGAAACCTCCTGATGAACGGCGATATTATACGACAGCTTGCTCGATCATGCCTGATCCATAGATTGCACTAGGAAGTCCTGGAGTAGCCTCATCTTAATTTTTCAGTGATCGTGTGAGTTCCTGCACTGTAAATTGCTTTCTACCTCATGCAAACGAACTGATTTCTGGCAATTGCTTTAACCCACTGAACAAAAGTAAGATAGAAAATTGCCTTTTGTACCCCCTTGGGGGGTTGACGGTTTTCTCCCATTGCTCCTAATAGCTCCCCATCGTTTCTTTACTATGGTATTCTGGGAAGCATCTACCATGGGTCAGGGGTCCCTCTGTGGGGTTTCCAGGGGTGGGCAGTCACTTTCGCAGAATGAGATCCGCACCAAATATCCGTTTTTTTTTAAGAAACGATCAATATCCTTTTGCCCCACCTGCTATGCAGCTTTCCTGCAGGAAACTGTGCTCAACTCAGTGCCACATACCGGTGACCTCTTTGCCTGGTGGGTCAAACTAGATAAACACAGTCACAGCGCCTCCCAACGCCAGTGGAGTTGTGCGTAACGCCTTGTTCGATTACGAGCCTAAACAAGGGAACTTTATACCAGGTCGACCACTGTACCTATGTAAATCGTCAATTGCGTTGACCCAGTCTTGGCAGTGCAACAGGTCTGGACTGTAAAGAAAGAACTGGAGAGGCTGGAGTCAGTGCTCGCCGAGTAATGACGACCATTGTCAAGCTAAAGGAATGACCTTCGGCCCATTCCATCTATCCCCTCTGAATGGAAGTCTTAAGTCCAGTTTATTTATTTCCCTTCAAATACTTTGCCTAACTCTGAGTCACACCTCCTCACTCTCAGAATCGTGGATCAATTGGAAAACATCTCATTATTATGCGCGCAGACTGGGATAGGAAGGTGGTAAGTAACAGTGGGACGTATAATGGTAGGGGACGCTCACCGATCGTTCTTACGGAACTCACTCTTTTCGTTCTGCCTTGCGGGCTCTCTCTCTCTCGAGCCTAAACAGCAGCTGCACTGTGGCGCATGATATATAGGCAGAATGGCATTACCGACAAAGGCAAGGGAGACTGGAATGGCCATTTCTGGCTTATTAGTCGTCGTCAGTCAGTCAGACGTATGTATAAGGTTTGCACTGGTCGACGTGTAGAAATGTTAGGGCTCTTCGATCGTCTTGTCCTACTGAGCGACTACACTAACAAGTTATCAACACAGCAGTTAATCTCCACCCATTCCATCGCCACGTGTTTGTGAGCATGGTGTTGCTAAACATGCTATCAGAGCTTTAAGTATTGGATTACTGAGCGACTCATTAAGTTGGTTCGTAGACTTATGAGTCCTTATCGTCATCGTTCCAGTAACCACTGCTACGATCATTACAATCAGACCATCTTCATCATTTGGTTTGTCATTTTACTCCACCGCTTTTCAGGAGGCGTTGCCAGGATTATCTCGGGCAGTGGTCTGGTCAATCTCGAGGGGATGTCCTGGTTCACCCAGTAAATACTAGTCGTCAGGCTGACGTGAAAAAAGCTTTGCAGACGCCGCCAAAGATCATACAATAATTGTACTGAAGATAAGTTCTCTTGATGCGCACAAAGTGGCATGTTTGCCTTCGCATCCACTAACTGCATTCATTTTTCTTAGTCATTGATCGGCATATTAGCGTGTGACCTTGTGAAGACTTTTATTTCCCTGACGTCATTATAAAAGAGGCCAAGCAAGATCGCTTTTTCCTAGGCAACCAAGCCCTAAACAATGGGAAAATGGCAGAATGTAGTAAATTATCATAAAATCGTTTTAAAATCTATGCTTATACCGAGGCTAATAGGTAGCCGTTGCACTTCCTGTTCAACTAATTCTTGAAGAACTTTTAAGTGACAATTGCAGGAATGGACTATTTTCAACGTTGTTCCATTTGTGATGTTTAATTTGCCGAGTTATTTGAATGAGCAGGCGTTAACACGACTTTTCGCGTTGGTTTCCAAGTGATTGGGAATTTCGCTTAAATTTACGTCACGTATTGTAAATTTATCTGATCTAGACGATCCAGGAAGAAGGGCATATTAATTACCAAGTACAGCTGGCCGATGTGAATGTAGTAATTCGGAATAGAACTCCTGAAACGAGGTCAGAGGGACGGAAGAGACATTCGGCGGTCGAACCTCACCGCGTAGCAACCTATTTTGTCGCTTTGGTCCCCATGTCCCACAGTCAGCTAAAAGAAATGTTCCAATTGTTGAAAACCTAGAACACCTCCACTCATATGTTTGCTTCGCGCTATTTCTTAGGTTTCTCCTCCCCACAATGCGCTACGCTGCAGGTGCGCTGAGCCAGTAGGGGATCAAAATAGTTCGTCTCCGAGCGGTGTTGTGTCGGTGAGAGCCCTAACTACTGCCACGTCTTAGACGTAGGCCCTCAAGCCGCGTTATTTGCCGAGCCCAACCCGATCACCAGTTAAGTGACAGGTTCGGACGGTGCATGGGAGTGGGAAGAGAGAGGCCGACACGGTAGGGTACATAATGGCAGCCAATCAATGCAATTCTCACTATGATAAATCTGATGCGCCTGCATCTATCACACCAAGCTAGAAGACGCGACCTGCAGGTCTGTCAACTAAGGAGTTACCTCGGTCTCCATTGTGAGTTTAGGGAAGTTACTGAAGGATTGAGAGTCAAATTGTGGTGGCCCCTTCATAATGCGGCCTTTAGGGACCCAAACTGCGCTGATTGTAGTCTGTCACCTATGGTAGGAAACCAGGTCGTGTATGGCAAGCATAGGCCGACTAATTAGCTTTGTCGGCCACTGTGTCCACGCCCACCTTCAGTCATCTTGACTTTGTGTCGCCATCGCAAAGAAGGCGGATAAGTAAGGAAGTGTGCAGTTGGTGCTGAGCAAGTCAACTACATTATAAACTAATTTACGTTCAAATCACCGCTGCGCCCACTCCGTGGGGCATGCAATGAGCGTTTTCGCCTGCGCCGGTCGAGCTTTCATTTAAGTAATATCCGTCATAATTTACCTTTTATGCAGAGGAAGGTTCAGCCTTGTAGTTGAAATCCTTATGAGGACTTCACTAACAAAAAGTCAGGTAGGTGGGTGCTCCTCTTGTTTTTCTTGACATTCATATAGCAATTTAACTTTTATAGCGACTCAAGATTCAGTATTTCGGTCACATCGTTCAATGTTCTTTAGTTATTTTAATTTGACTCCTTTTTAGTATCTGGAGAGTCAACCTTAGCGTCTGACGATTTAAAAAATGTCTGTATCGCCATTAGTTGACTGCGTGTCTTCAATGCCGTATTTCTTTAATTCCTCCGGATCAAATTTCTCTGGATGACGGGGCGCTCTTTCGATGGCAAGGTTCCGCTTCAGCTTTCCAGTCTGCAGGTCTACAATGTTGGGATGTGGTTGATAGTCACTGGTGGATGTATAGACATCGAGGTACTCTCGCACATAGGCCGGACTGCCCCTAGGATCGTGGAGACCGTGTTCCGGCTTCTCCCAGAACCGCCTCTGATCGTCAGTGATTTCTCGGTTGAGTTCGATTTCCATCTCCACCCACTTGGCAGTATCCTCGTCAAAGCGCTCCCTGAGGCCGGTGGAGATATCCTTTTTATCCAGGAATACCATCTTGTCGGCCGTGACGGGATCAAGAAACTTACGGATTGCTTTCCAGATGCTGTTGAAAACTTTCTTGTGGTTAACAATGATAGCTTGACCCAGACGTTCGGGGTAGTAGTTTCCAAACACATGCATCACTTGCTTGCCCAACTTTGGATTGCAGCAGGGAAGCGTCATTCCTGTGTTAAGAAAAAATTGTTCATGTTTTTATTACGTCTTAAATAAGATGAACTGAAATTTAGGATATTCAGTCAGGCAAACAAACCTCTCTTTCTTGAGATGTTTTTCTGAAAGCGATACTTGAATATTATTATACACTTTTCTTTTAATCATATTGACCCAACTGCGAAAAACTCTGCGCTTCGGTGGGATTCGAACCCACCACAGTAAGAGAAAGACTTTAGTGCAGCCAACGTTCTAACTACCTGAGCTACGAGGCCGCGCCGGACGACTCGAGTTTAATCACATTTGGGTCAAGTTACCCGCCTAACCTACTGCAACGTCTAGAATCCACCAAATCGGATGCAGTAAGTTGACTGTTCAAGCAAGATTTCCTAAGTAATTCAGCTAGAATCCGCCAGATGCCTACCAGGCTCACGTAATTCATAGACGGTTTGGCAATTTTGAACAATTCATACTGACCCAACTGTGTAAAACTCGGACTTTTCTATTAAGTGGCAATCACTTTTTCGACTGAAATATGAGAATATTTATGAAGCTGGCGGGGTCGAAGTGCCTGATTTGAGAATTTAGTTGCTACTTTTTAGAAGTACGGGTTATATCACGTTTCATTTATGTATGCGATCCTTCTGTTGGCCTAATAATGGCATCGAAATAGTGATACATGGTATTAAAAGTACGAATGGGCGTCATTTTCTGATCTCGCAGATGAAAATGCCCTCTCTTAGTGTGACTTTGCTTCTCTTATATGGCGAGATCGGCGGATAATGGAAGGTGCGCAGGCATCCCATGCCCTCTTAGTGATTTTCTTTGCGTAATTTTGAAAAAAGAGAATTTTACTTAATATAGATGACAAGCAGGTCTGATTAGTGAGCTCTTACTTTCTGCTGTGTTTACAGCCCGTGTAATCCTGTTTCGTAGACTAGATGAGCACTGTTGCTGTCCTACTCAGTGCTATCTCCTAGGACTTAGCCTTTCTTCTAAAAACGAAATTCTACAACGCCCTACTTCTGACAAGAAATGCGGTCTAATATATACATTATGTGGGCTAACGCATGAAATGTCAACCGAAATTCCGGAATGCGCTTTCGTTTAGAAAAGATTAATTAGGTAGGGTTGTAAGACTACTCATCGTACGGCATAATTATATACTAATTCACTTACCTAAGGATGCTGGCTCTCGAGCGAACTGCTTTCCAGCTGCATGCAAAAACTATACTCTGTAACAAAGGGCTACTTATGTAGCATGCATTTTTCCCATTGATTTTTATGCCCTTAAAAATTCAATTACATTTCATAGACGACACGCGTAAAAACATCCATTCTTTTGCTCTTTTGGTAGAAAATGACGTCTTATTCCAATTTTATGCTCGAACGAAGGGAAAAGTTCGGTTTTAAAAAAGTTTCTAATTGTGAGATTTTTTAATACCGTGAAATGGCCCTTCATAACATTCACGTCTCTGCATTTACCAATGTGGCCTGTAAAGTTAACAATATGGCTCAAATTCACTGCTAAATTTTATGAGCCGCATATGGTCTTCTCTCAATACCGTAGGGGAATGCATGGTTTTCCGTACGAGGAAAATATGTGGCTTGTAATTTGGAAACCCGGAATGCAAGTGTAACGGCAGGTCGGGTTCAAAATTATTCGGGATTTGGAAAGGTTTTTGGAAACCGAATTATACCCTTCCTTCGAACAGAAACTTGGAAGAAGACGTAATTTTTTACCGAATGAGCAAAAGGATGAATATTTCTACGCATGTTTTCCATGAAATATAATTCAGTTTTTGAGAACATCAAAAATCAGTGGGAAAAATGCATGCTACATAAGTAGCCATTTTTACAGAGTACAGTGTTTGCATGCAGCTTGAAGGAAGTTCGTTCGAGAGCCGGCATCCTGAGGTAACTGAATTATTATAGAATTATGCTTCACGATGATTAGTCTTACAGCCCTACCTAATTAATCTTCTCTAAACGAAAACGCATTTCGGGATTTCCGTTGACGTTTCATGAGTTAGCCCACCTACTGTCAATATTAAAAATGTATTTCAAATGAACATTCTTTGACTTTTTATGGAAAATATTTTTTGCACTAACCGGTGCAATCGAAAACGAAGACCCAGGTGGTAGCCGATTGCTTAAAGGTCTTCTTAGAGTTTTCGAGCATCTGGACACAGTGAGCGACGGTGTCTTCACCGGTATTTTTGTCTGTAGTGGCCTGCGAAAAGCAGGCGTACAAAACTGGTCTACCGGTTTTGTCATGGCCAATTTGTCTCTGAAAAACAACAATAGTATATTTTACCAAATAATTCGATTGTATTTTATACTACCTTAGATGGTTGATAATTATTATTTAAAATAAATTTCAGTTCTAATGCTTCCTCTGGGAATACGTTAAGTCCACGGTATATTCTGAAATATCTGATTCTTGGAGACACTAGTTAAAACTTCCTACATTCGGATGAACACAATTCCAACAGAGGATGCAAAGAAACGAAGTCGTCAACTGCTTATTGTGCCATTTATAATCGTTGGTGAAAAAGAAGGGAAATCAATGCGAAAATTAATAATACTTAAATGTTCCTTTTACGGGGCATAGTTAATAACAAACGTCCGAAAAAATCGCATCAGAAATTCTACATCCTGGCGTGACTGAAATATGTCACACGATAATAATTATTACAAACCCACATGAGTAATGCTTTCTGCTAAAAAGCATATTTCAGACTTCTGGTGATTTTTTTAGGTGCGCCGCCTAATGTACATACTGGGACATGGCTGAACAAGCAAATGTTGCACCAATTAAAAACGTGTGCAATTACGATTATCCAAGCGCTGTCTGCCAAAGAATGGCCCAGCGCTATAGCAAATGGCCCCTGAGTCTCATTCAATCTCCTTAATTTTGCCGCTGATGGTTGGTTCAAGTGTGAAGTAAACACATCAGCACACTAAAACTCTTGCTCCAGCGGCCGATTGCACCTCTTCTCGCCCATTACCCTGATGTCCCCACCTTGTGTGTATCGCCAAACTATCGTATCAGGGGTCTTTGCTAATTGCTGCTCTAAAACGACACAAATGTCATCACAACCGTTTTATCGAGTTCCGTAGGGTCTGCATACCTTAGCAGAAATACCAGAGGTCAGTCGAGAATTATATGCGAACTCTTGCTGTTGGGGAGGTCTCGAGACAGCTTGATCAAGGTGTCTTCTTAGGAGTTCACTCGCAGCGTCTCCTTGGAAACGAACTTTGAGGAACAAAGTTTTCTTTTCAGCGGTTAGTGTGATGGGCTCTGCGGGTCGTTCGGCAATGTTCTTTGCAATGAACTTGCCAGGATACTCGTTTTCACGAAGCAAGTGACGCTTGATAAAACATCACTTGAAGCATTATCCCTTGGTCTTCAGTTTTGAATACCTCGTCGAAAAGTTAGTCATTTAAAATTGGAAGCTCACTTCGAGGACCTCTGGAACCAAACCTACGATCTATTGCGCGCTTCCACAGATAGTATCCAACACGTTAAATCAACACTAGTGAGTTGCAGCTATCAATACCTAAACAAAGGGCCAGAAATTCGAGGTTTGCTGGCAAAAGCACACGTGGAAAAATCAAAAGAACTTCGGGATACCAAAGAGATATTAGTAACTACACCTGACAAAGGTACAGGCATCGTTATAATGAACAGATCGGACCACGCAGCGAAGATACAGTCCATAGTATCTGACCAGAGGAAATTTGGAAAAGTAGACAAAGAACACGATTACACGGATGACGCAGAAACGAAATTGACTGACTGTTTAAGAAGACTCCACACATGACGTTCCATAAGTGACCGTGACCTCGAACACCTCTGGCCAGTCGGCACACCTATCCCTCGACTACATGGCTTGCCTAAGATCCATAAGGAAGGCCTAACAGTTCGTCCGATTCTAGATATGCGAAATTCTCCCTATCATGCGATAACGAAGTGCTTAGCAGAGGAACTCAAGCCCACAGAGCATCAGCCAACACCACGCAGCTATCGAGATACCTTTCAATTCATTGACGACATTAAAGCTCTCAACATTAACGGCATGATGATGTTCTCACTAGACGTTGCACCACTTTTTACAGACGTCCCGCTCACCGAGACTTTTGATTACATCTGTGATTTCCTATCCGCCAGTCAGCAAGAAATTAGAATGTCGACGAACACACGGAAGGAACTATTACTAAGATGCACATTAACTGTGCAGTTCCTATTTGACAACCAACTCCATAGACAAATAGACGGCGTTGCTATGGGCTCGCCTCTTGGACCTCTCATAGCCGACGTCCTCATGGGCAAGCTGGAGAGATTTCAACTAAGCGATCAGATCGACAAGCTTAAACATTACGGTCGCTACGCTGATGATATCTTTGCGATTGCCGCCGCAGAAACCGAAGTTGCTGCTCTCTTAAATGCTGCAAATCGGGCATACCCGCAGATCAAATTCACGCTGGAGATGGAATCGGTCCCTTGTTTAGGTATTGATAGCTGCAATTCGCTGGTGTTGATTTAAAGTGTTGGATGATATCTGTGGAAGCGCGCAATAGATCGTAGGTTTGGTTCCAGAGGTTTTCGAAGTGAGTTTCCAATTTTAACTGACTAACTTTTCGACGAGGTACTCAAAACTTAGGACCAAGGGACAATGCTTCAAGTGATGTTTTATCAAGCGTCACTTGCTTCGCGAAAACGAGTATCCTGGCAAGTTCATTGCAAAGAACATTGCCGAACGGCCCACAAAATCCAGCACACTAACCGTTGAAAAGAAAACTTTGTTCCTCAAAGTTCGTTTCCAAGGAGACGCTGCGAGTGAACTCCTAAGAAGACACCTTGATCAAGCTGTCTCGAGAATCTTCCAAGCAGCAAGGATTCGCATATCATTCTCCATTAACCCTATTTTACGCGCCGAAGGCACTGATAGGCTGCCACCTCAGACCACCTCAATGGGCATATACTCATTAACTTGCTCCTGGGAGCAGGTTATATTGGTCGTACGAGTCAGCGCCTTTCCACAAGAATACTAGAGCACCTCCCCGCATGGCTGGCAAAAGGTGAAACTAGGAAAATATACAGAGCCATCCTTGCGCATGCAGTGGATTCAGGGTATCGTGTGGACCCCTTTGAAGCATTTCCTGTGATTTAGAAGGTCCCCTCGAGCTACCCTAAGCTACTGTGCCAGCGCCTGTTAACAACGGCAGAAGCGGCCGCCATCAGGTTACGAAAACCGGCCATATGCGCCCAGAAGAACCTCGTTCAGGCTCCGCGCTTACAGTAGTCAAAGGTTGACTAACCACATACAACTTTCTGCGCCCCTCCACTCCTGCCTAGCCTGTGTTTTTAAAACCAACTTCTATTGATTTTTTTCAATCACTGTACCCCGTGCTCATATAATTGTACCGACCTGAAGGGAAGTTATCGAAAGCAACTTTTGCTCGTAATCTCGTCTTCTGAAGAATACCGGAGGTCTTTCATTGTCGTTTACAGTAGTGCGGTAAATCCGTATTGCACAATACAGTTTGTAAAGCATTGCTTCTGTAGACTATATTAACCCACTGAGATTCGAATATTTGTTTTTACCCATTACCGATATCAGTAAAGTAGCATTGACTGCCAGAATATAATATTCAAAAACTTACAATGCAGTGGTAGCCCGGATATTTGTGGCACCAGGCACAGTTCACCTCGAGTGGTTTATATTCTCTGCGCCATTCGACCGTTGCTGTTAACATTTTAACTGCCGCATCAAGATCATATTTTCGTGCTCGCAGGTAGTCGATCAGCCTGGAATGAATATACATATTTCTCTGAAGTATGCGTAAAGTAATATGGGCAAAAAAACACCCATGGATTAGTGTTCGTTGTACTAACAGAAAACTGGCAAACGCGGCGAGGTCGTTAGAAGAAAAAACGAAAAATTAAAGAAAACTCTGATCAAGAGGACACGGTGCTACAGTACACGCATTAAAGGGAACTTCGACAGCCTGTGGACCTAATAGGGTACTAAACTCAATTATAAACTTCTTTAATCCACTTACAGAATCAAAGATTCCGGTGATGTGTTATTTTAACAAAGCAAATAAATCTGTCTTTCCAGGAATATCACAGCCCTTGAATCCACAAAATCGACTTAAACGAACTTTCTCGATAGAGACTTCTCAGTTGGTATCGTCGTAGAAGTCCAAGAGGAAGATAAGGACGGATTATTGAAACATGAAGTGTATTCGTCTGCCGTCTGAGATTTATTTCCGAATCCATAATTAGAACCAGCAACAGATAATGAGAGCGGATGTAGAGCGGTTGCAGATATAGTTACTACACGATTACGCATCTAAGAAAATAGGAGACTCCCGCATTCATCGCAGATTTTCGTACTTGATGTGATACTGGCTTGGATACCCACATTAGGGTCGTTAATAGTCACAATTTACTCGTCGGTCCTGGTGGTTGGATTTGTAATGACTCAGCAACTTTGCAGAGCAGTACGGTCATTGGCGTCAATGTTCACCAGCTCTCTATCCGCATGGCTGATGGCCTTGCCCAGTCAAAGTCTTGGGACGCAGTATGAGAGGCGGGGGATCATTTCGCTTTGTGAAGGACCATGGGTTGGAAAAGCATGAAGTAAGCAGTTTGCGGCCCACGCGGTCGCCACTTCTCGGGGATTTCTGCCTTGGAGGCGTGGTCGGGTTCTGTTGAGTGAGTCGAAGCCCGAAAATTGGCGTCTTTCATTCTCACATCCACGGCCAGTGCAGTCTTTCCTTTTTGCCTGCGCAGTTGTTCCGCCGGCAGCTGCAGCAGGTTCGGCAAACGACATCGGGTAGTTCTCCGCTGTGGCAGTTGGTCTTTCAGACTCTGTCCGGTCTGTCCTTCTCTACGGTTGTGAATGCTGGGCTTTGCGCGTGGATGACGAGCGTAAACTGGAATTATTTGACCACCACCGCTTGAGGACCATTCTTCGAGTGAAGTTCACCGACTTCGTCTCAAATGAGACAGTCCGCACTCGCTGCGACAACATCGCAAGGATAACTCAGGCCATCCAAGAAAGACGACTGAAGTGGTTCGGGCATGTTCTTCGTCGTGCACCTCAGGAGCTCAGTGTTACTGCCCTCGATCCGGCACCGTTGCCCCATTGGAGGCGTCGAAGAGGGGGTCAGTTCAAAACCTGGCTCGAGACAGTTCGTCAAGACATGGAGGTGGTTCTTGGACCTTCGGTATTCGGTATCCGTCGTTGGCGAAGGGAATGGGTTGAGCTGTCCAGATCTGTTGCCGCGGATCGTCACGCGTGGAGAGGTACAGTTCGGGACATCATTGAGACCGGCTAGATCAGGCATGATAGCAGCCGTATCAAGTACGATTAAGTAAGTACTCATCAACTGGCCCGCAACTATTGCCTTCGGTCAACGTACAATTCCAATTTCGAGCATCGTGAAAAGGTGGTTGAGGGTTCCGAGATATCCTTGAGGTACGCATGAACTTGCAAAGATTTGGAGTCGGTGCGGTTTGGTCCCTTCGCCTCGTCCTTTCATGCACTGGTCTACCAAGTTGTGAAGGTAGCTATTTGCCCTGAGCATAAATTGAAGGTATTCTGATTTTAACAACATTGTTTTTTTTGCTTTGCTCCTGTACGCCTCAACCCGCTGATACAGTGCCCCTGCACAAGTGTTTTTGCGACTGATTGGCTGGTTGATGTTGCAGCTCAGCACCTGTGTCTTATTTTTTGCTTTCCAGAACACATGGGGTTAGGGACTACGAAAAACTTTCCGACAGACGATGACAGCAAATAAGGCTATCCGTTATTCTCTTCCTCCCCCCTTGTGCCTGAGAAGAGGGCCTCGAAGTATTCGTGTTCTGGCGGTGGAGATTCCCTCTTTTAGAACGGCAACCTTAAACTCACCTTTTCCTGTTGTCGGCAAGAAAAGTCTGGGATTCTGACTACTTCGACTGGCAGGTTTTCATGCTGGTTACTCTCTCCAAATCTGACGTACTTGCTGCAAAAAGCGATCGTCTTAAAAAAAAGATTACGCCAAAGACACTGAAAATTGCTACAATAAAAGTGGGGAAGGATTGAGTGGTCGTATCTGATTCGTTTTTCGTTACTATTCTAGCCCACACAATCTCCCTCGAGGCTACAACTAATGACCCAGATAACAAATACTTTATGGGTCCTGAGCAGCAAGACCCGCAGGAAAAATGGTATCCACCCGCCTAAAATTTGAATATCTAACATCTAATATCAACGTCGTCAGGCAGATGGACAAAGCCCAGCCTTATGACTGTTGGCTACCACCAAGGTCACTGGGGCTATTCGCAGGAACACCGATTGCTTTCCTCCTGTTTCTGGTCAGGGGCCCAGGAAGGAGTTTGAAATCTCGGGAACTTTTCAACGAATAAGGGGCAATTTACTCAATACTAAAACTAGCTGGTCACCTCTCCCTTTACCCTGTCGGGGCAATGTGCGATCCCTTTTGCTCCTTGTATTCGGAGGACATTTAAACCGTCTTTCGGGAAATTTCGCGAAAATAAACGCCTTTCTACAGAATTACAAATTACCGACGTTTGAAATACACAAATTTAGCGGAAGCGTGAAATCGACCATTCAGGCAGATAGTATCCGCTCGAGACCAATTTGATTTTGACTTAAAATGGCTGGTCTTCACAGAATTCGCATGATATTTTACTACAGTGGTTGGTTCTTCGAAAAATTACGTTGATACCTGATGGTAATGTTTGAAATCTCGTATAGAATTATTCCATGTACCGCGGCGAGTTCGTACAAACACTAAATCTTTAAACCTCCTGCTGGCTTGACCAGCGCCAGGGTTTCGTTTAAGTAAGAATTTGCGGTTAATTAAGCCCTCTAACAAGGCTCAGGTTGACTGAACCTTCACAGTTTTCTCGAGCGTTCTGCTACGTTCTGAGAGCGAATCAGATTCCATAAGCAGCCTGGTTTGCACTTTATCATTTTGCCAGCGGCTGTCGTTTTATGCGTTAGCAAGCTACGCGACTTACACCTTGCCTGGTCGATTAACACTTCTTCAGGCGGTATCAAGCGTCTGCAACAGTCTGTGGTCGCTGACTTGTGCAAACCTGCCTCTGACAGACGGCTTATCAGTGTTTTCACGCAAGTTAAGGGTCAAAGTCTCCAGATGTGCGAAATTGTGCAGTCACGCAGTTTATCTGACAGTATTTCGGAGGACCTAGTTCTGCTCAGTCACATCAGATTTGAGTATCTGCCGCATTTTAAATTTGCTCAAACCGAATGAAAATAAAAGACATAAGCTGCGGGAGTGTTTGATGGGGCGATCTCCGTAGAGGCCAGATGGTCAGTCACGAGGTCAAGTGTGGGAACGGGGAATGGTGTAGTACTTATCCGAACGCCAGCAAAAGGGTATACAGTTGTACTTAACGAGGCAACGAACGCTCGTTACATTGACCGAGCACCTTGCTCGCGTACAAGAGGTTACGTTCTACCAGGCGGCGGGGGGAGTAAGGGGAATGTCAGCAATTTTACCTTAAGACACCTCTAACACTAACGTGAATGACACCGCTCTGTTTTTCACCCATAGTGCCGTGTATGGTGACAGAAATTAAGAAAGATGTTAAGAGGTCCACTTTTAAGAAATTGTTATTATTTATTATCTTTACCATCCGTACAAAGGCAATTTGCACGTCACACAACGGGTAGGTTTACATAGTGCTTGCATCCCAAGTTAACTGAGGGGGTGACAATTTCTGGCAGATCACCGACTATTTGAATTATTTCATATTTCCACGAAACTCGTTTTTTAATTTCCTGTTTAGCCATGGGGGGAGGCTACATCGACTTCTATAGTCAAGCGGTTACGTCATTCTTGTGTATGCTAGTTTTCGCATGCAAATCTCGGATTTCAGTGATGTAGTAAGCACTACTTTTAAACTTAAACATCCGAGGGTGCCAGCTACCTTCTAAAAGACGACAGGACACAGGAATACTACTCCCTTATTTCAAAGGCCTTGAGCTGATTTCCGTGAAGGTTAGCTCTAACCCTGACCCCGGGTTAGGGTTAGAGCTAAGGCTTGGGCGTGGGAAGGCTTACTCTTCCTGGAAATTCGGGCAAACCACCTGTATTACCTGAAGGCTGTTTACTCGCATACCATACCGAAAAGACAGTGAAATCTCACGTTAATACCATTTAAGTGTAAGCTGTTTAGTAGAAATATCTCCAGTTGAGAAATTAGGCCATTAGCTGATCCGTACATTCCCACCAGATTTCTTTTAATTGCAGTTACTACGAGGATGACTATTCGTACACCATCGTTGCCGTTCTCACATCATTTAGTGTCACCAGTTCATTGCAGGGGCTACTTGTGCAACAAACGGGTCAGGATAAAATCGACTTACGTGCTCTCAGAAGTGAAGAAATCGGGTTCATTGGGCAGTGGTTTACATTCTTTGACCATTCTAGACCGAAACTTTTCGATGAGCTCCTTGAACTTCCGCGGATCCTCCTCAATCTTCCCCCTGTTGGCCATTTTCCTAGAAAAAAAACACTTGCTGCTGACTTCAGAAAAGTTGGTGGTATGCAAAAACCCCTGGTCGTTGGAATAGGAGACCCAATCCCACACATAATGTGTACGACCTCCCTCACACAACGTGGACCGCCGATGATTGTTAGTGCCTTCGAAACACTCATGTATGTTTGTGTATTTAGTATAGCAGAGACCCTTGTGTGAATTGTTTGGCACGTCGTGAACCAACAACTCCGGCAACCGACCGCTCCCGTCATGTCCTTGATGTCAACGGGGATTCCGTGCATGGGTCGGCCTTAGATGTCTTCGGACCCAACGTCCTTCCAACGCGGCACCTTCTCCATCCGCCTCCGAAAACGTATCCATCGTTACCTCTACGCCAGCCACACAATGGTCACGGTCGCGACCACCACCATGGTTGAGCATGCCCCCTATTCCCCATCGCCCATCACTACTCCCACTGTCAATGCTACAACCCCTCGATGGCGGCATTGCCCCCCAAATGGGTCACGTGGTAGATACGCTGGACCAACACGGGGACCAAATCGGATTCTGGTAGGCGTTATCTTGCGCAATACAAATGTCAACATTTAGGGGATTCGGTGGCAGACCCTGTTTTCGGCAGTCGTCGCACAAACTGGGACCACTGCCATCCCCCTCCTCCCCATTGTTTTGTCGGTCAAAATCCTGGCCATTTGTTGTGTGGACCAGGGGGTGCGGGGTGGAGCGCCAAGGTGCGGATCCGTCCAAGCCATCCACCTGCGCCCTCTCCCGTCTCCGGTCTTCTTGACACCGGACTCAATTGGGGGGAGAGAGTGTGGTAGATGCAGCGCATGTCTACTCGCACTACAAACCCTGCTGTGGGGCATACGGTGGATATCGTCGAAATCGACGGTCGTACTATCGATGCGGCCACCACCACCGGTGAAAACACTCCTGACGCCCTGCCACTCACCACAGCCACCACCATTGCTTCTGCATCAGCAATGCGGACTCGATCTGAATCTGTCCTTTCTGCGATCGCACTTTCACATCGCACATTGACCCAGTCGATCACTCGTTAATTCCTCGCACTGGGACTGGCTGACCAGGGCCTGGAGCCAGTCATAGGCGTAGCAACTTTTCACAATGTGCCAGGACTTTCAGAGAGCTCATGGGTTTTTCCAGCCATATGTGCATATGCGATAGCGGAATTCCTCCCATTGCCGACAGACCAAGCCCATCTCGCATATCCGAAAATTTCTCCCCATTAGCGTTGCCTCCACTAACAGCATCATCATCACCACTAGCTCAGTAGCTATCAGCGTAACCTGTCTATATTGTCAGAGCTCGTTTAGATTAGGCATCGGCCCGGACAGTCGCATGTAGGTTCATCACCCTGAGGCTGGCGAACCAGTGCCAGGAGCTCCTGTCTCAACTACCTACGCTACTCACACACATTCAGTCACCGCATGAGCGTACTCGGTCATGTGCACCCCCGTGAAAATCTGCGATAAAACATCGCAGCTCAAACCTGCGAAGACTCTGGGTTGAGCTCGGGGATACAAAGGGACGAACGCGTCCAGTAACCTGATTGGTTAACGCACTTCCAGCCTAGTTAATATTCTCAGTCGCAACTGACAAGACAACGGGCCCATGACCCAATGGTAGGGAGTTGGACTTAACGACGTTCGATGAGCAAAGAATGCTAGTTCGAGTCTCAGGTTCTGCAAACCTAAGACTGGTTAAGCCTGGCTGTGGGCGGCCAATGAGCCAGAAATGACCATCTTGGTCTCCTTTACCACTGTCAGTATCCCTCTTTTGCATAAATATGTATATGTTCCGAGACAAAACTCGTCAAACCTTCACCAAAATTTCCAAATATGGTTTGAAATCGCATTTTACGGCATTGGTTAGTATACGTCGGGATTCAAAATGGGTTGAGGCACTTTCAAGCCACTCACATTAACCATACCCAAAAAACCTCGAATCTTAATGCCCCATACAAATCATTTTTAATAAAAGTTCTAAACGTGTTTATTACACTTGACGTCTAAGTTCCCCTACACCTGCCAGTTCTTATTCTGGCTTTTGAAAGATGTCTGCATTCTTCGTTAAATTCTGTATTTCATTCCTGTCATTCTTCTACTATGTATGGAAGAGTTATGCTAATTTTAATACACGTTCCTCGAATGCTCTCTTCCGCTGCCTCTGTTTCTTGCGCCCTTTTAGTCGATATCATAGTACAACGACATATCACAACGATCAAACGGTTTGCTGCTCCAGTCTGAATTAATTGCTGCGAAGTCGTTCCACTCCATGCGCCGTGGTTTCCGGTACATGTCTTGTCATACATTGGCATACCAACGTCTCGTATTACCGTTTCTGACACGATAACTTACGTGTACAAGACCGAAATAGTGGCTGCACGCTTTTATGTAAACCCACTGACTCTATCGTCATTTATTTATTTGTTTTCAGTCACGGTGAATGGCGGAGGTTTTTGCTAAAAAAAGAGTTGGAATCATACTTCCAAAATAAAGCGTATTTCTTTTTCTTTACTTCCCGAAATAGTATGTTAGAAATTTGGTATTTTCTAACTTGTTACTTAGTACAGGAATTTGTCACAATTTTAGTATGATGGTTTTCGGGGCGCCTGTACTAGTTTTTGTGAAAAAGAGTATTGCAGTTACATCAGAGACTGACAGAAGTGGTTAGACCGCTTGTCCATCGGAGGCCAGCAAACAGCCACGTTTGAAGTGGCTTGGTGTATTGCATCTTCACCGACACCATATTTCCTACTTGAGGGCTTAAGAACAATTTTAAGCTTATGTTTTATACTTCGGGCAAATGCGCCATTTGGGCTCAAAATGATCTTCGTGTTCTTCTTTGCCTTCTTTACTTTATTCCGATTTTAGAAAATTATTCGGACCTCGAATACTTGCCGCCATTCCCTGTACAAACGCATGCACATTAAATTCAGCAAAACTACGTCAATCTTCACATGCACCTTCCTTGGAGCAACAGTTTTTTTAAAAAAAACACTCAGTTTTATGCTGGGGAAGGCGTTCAACAATCAGATTGCTGGACGTACTTGTCCCTTTGCGTCCCTAGGGTTCAATCAAGAGCCCTCACAGACAGTCTTATAGCTACCAGTAAAATATGCAGTAATCTTAGGACTGAAGATTATAAGTTTTCAAGAAAAATGTTAAACGCAAGTAATAAAATAGTTGTCAATCCAACTTTTGCTAAAAAAATAGCCGACTTTGTATGAAGTGAAAAACGATGATATAAGGGATAGTATAACCCGCTTTAGCAAAATGACGCCACGCCCTGTTGATGAACAAATTATAATCTGAAAGCCAGAGCTATAGTACCACTGCATCTGTCATTCAAATTTATCGTGCAACTGTATTAAAGATATACCAGAAATTTCCAAAGCTTTTTGTTTCCTGGCTTGCATTATGCAGACCGTTTACATGTCTTTGTGAGGTAAACAAGGTTGTTTGTTAAAATGCCCAATGACAGAGTAGAAGTAAGGAATGACCGAAAGCAAACGCCTTGAAATAACGGACCTTATTTAGCTTTATTTCCCGTCCCGACTCCTAAAGCTGCAGTCTGGTATAACTGGCACCTTCCCCAAACTGCCCCCTATGGCTTTGAAGCGCCTTTTGGGACTACACTTCGGAAACGCGAATGACGTCTAGAAGTTTGCGTGCGGTTTATTAAATGTTGTTTGTCCAAAGTGCATCTGAGCACCGAATGTACATGAAAACTATGAAAGCAGAACACTTTCAAAATGCATGAAGTACGAAAAAGTCCGCGAAGCTCTAAAAGATGTGGTGCGTGATCGAGACTCTGAGCTTCGATCCCAGATACCTCCATCACCAGCCGTAGACAAATATCGAGCAAGCCTTCAGAATATCACTCCGCATAAAGAGAAACAGCAACAACTGTTGCATCCACTGCATAATTGCAAGGTTGACTTACCCACCCTCTGTCAGAGCCGCCGCTTTGCCCTGCAGTCAGAGAAAATGCATTAAGTTTGTTTGAGTGACCTTGAAGTTATCTACCCAGCGAGCTCTGCTGCGTCGGATAACAGAAATTGAGTGGGAGTAGGCAGACTTAAAATGGCGCGTTTTGCTGATCAGGTTGCAAGTGCGCGTGCTACTTCAGCGAGGACATCCAAGGAACTTTGTGCACTTGGTATCAAGCGATTTGTTTAATATTTCTGAAAGCGCTGTACCCAGTATCCGCACATGTGGTTCAGTAAGGCCTTAGTAAATGTTGACGTAAGTTAAATAAGCATCACTTCTTGCAGATGGCTTAGAATGAAGGTTCCCTCACTTCTTCTATCTCTGCAGTAAATCTTCATGCATTGCCATCGTTGCAAGAGCGACATAAGAATGAATTTTACTGCGAAACCAATAAATGTCAGCCGGTCGTAGCCCACTTCATTTTCTGATCATTTAGGGTCCGCACATGAATCGGATGAGGCCGACTTTCGGCTGCTTGATTTCGCGCAAAGGATGTGGACTAGCAGTCACTCGATGGTCAAGTTAATTTCCTACAAAAAAGTGTTACGGTCTCAGCCTTTAATCGGAATTGGGTTTACACATCGACTGGCATGTTTATTTATTTATTTAAGCGCGAGTTCAATTGGGTGCTTCTAAAAAGTCCTTCTGAACGATAAAGAGACGAAGTATTTGTAGTTTGGTAAGTCTTCAGTCGGTCTCTATGTATTGGCACATCTAATGACGGTTAATGCAATGTAGTCGAACTTAGAAGGTGGCGCGATAGACAACTGACATACTGGTATTCACAAGCTAACTGTGGCACTAAAGCTTCTCTTCCTGACGTAGCTTTTGGATTCAGGGCGGTTATGGGTACATTGCAGCATGAATGTCTTGGTTTGCAGAGGTTACGCCAGTATGCCATTCCTCTCCTTTGTCATACGTGGGAGTTCCCTGTCTGCAGTCCCTGTTTGCTGTGGTGATGCAAAGTCGGTCTTTTTTGCTTAATCGTCAACCAGGATTCCCCAAGACCATATGTGGTGCCAACAAAGTGCCTGTCGAAATAATCAAATAAGCGGCGATTTTTGGTCTCTAGAGGACACCCATTAGCTAGTTGCCCAGTTGTTCGACAGGGAAAAAAGACGTGCCGACACTTCTGAAACGTGAATTTAACATTTTTAGACACGTCTTTAAATAGAAACTTTTTGTTACTGAGGCTGCAATAGTGATGAGCATGGGACATGACTGTAAGGCAATTTATTTTCTGCAAAATAGAACTTGGTTTGATCACTTTCCAATCACCTTCGTGAGTTACACTAGGAGAAACAAACATTTCCTTGAAAAATACGTGTTTTCCGTCGACTTTTTATACTTCTCTTTACCCCCCAGAACAAATGAATTGGAATGTTTCCGATATCCTACATCAGCATAATATTTTTGACTTAAAATAAGGATTTTCCTCGTTCAAGAAAACTGACAAATTTCTCTATGCTTTTAAACACAACCCCCGTTTGCGTACTGTGTGATATGCACTTTCATCGTATATATCCTCGAGCCCATAGGAAAAGGTCATCAATTTCTCATGAAGTACTACAGTGGATATGAAGTAAGTTTTGCAATTCGTACGCCGCACTAGTAAACTTGCGTAAGTTATGATACGTAGCTCATCCTCGGGCGTCCCAAAAGGTCTCATAATTGCACATTTCTTCGAGAACAGGTTATGCTTTTCGCGTACAAAAACTATCGAATATGTAGCTTCAGACACAATGTCTGCATGAAATGAATATTCAGTGAACTCTTCTGGGCTGTCGAACTGGATGAATAGGGTGTCCCACGAGTCTAACACACGGGCTGGATGCACACACCAAGCACTCCTGTGTGCATGCGCCTGTACATTTGGACATTCGACGAATGCTTGCTCAGTAAATAGGTTGTTGATCGCACACATCGTTAAAACGTGTATCGATAACGGGGCGGCCTTCATATCCAAACCCATGCACTCCGTCAGCTAGTGTTGTGACAGGGTAACAATATGCTTGACTCATGTTCCTAGTAGACTCGCCAATGTCCCACCGCGATTTACCCGCTACCCTTCGCATTTGAAACCAGGCGCGCCACCAATAACTCCATGTGCCTTAGCTCTTTACGGTAATCATAATATTTAGAACAATTAACGACAAGTTGATCTCGTTGCACACCCCTTTTGCTAACAATGATCAGGGGATCAACAGTTGGGTGACTCACATATTGCCAACTCAACCCAAGTAACTGAGTTGTCTCGGGTCAATACTTAATTGCATTACGTTTCGCTGCCCGTTACCATTGTCTGCGTGCTGTTGTTTGTGTGCATTCTGATTGGCTGAGCGACCATTGCCGTTAAGTTAGGTCCTCAAAGTTGATTGGGGGCATGAGCTTGATGACGAATGCTGCTCTGTGGTCGATTCGCGATGCACCGACAAAGTAGTCCATTTGCCACGATTCTTTCAGGTACCACATTGGAAAATGTCGTAATCAGCCACAATATACGCACAAGAAATGAGACTTCTGGTCACCTTTTCGCGAGGTCTAGCACTGAATTTAAGCAGACATGGAGAGCAGCATAAAACTGCACACAATCCAATCAATGGTTGCTTTTTGCTGCGTGCCTAGGGCGGGTTTATGGAACGATTCTCAGTTGAAAGCCATCATCCTAGCATTTATTGCTTGATCTGGTATTAGGTTACGTGCCAATTTGTATTTCTAACCCTCGTAAGCAGCATTTATATTCGAGGGCGGATTCTAGAAGCCAGCCAGTCAGTTATGAGTTTTGATGTGTAAGACGGTGGTCAGATTCTGGTCCGTTTATTTGCATACGACGAACCTATAAGAGTGAATCTCAGTTTTGCGTCCTCAAGTTACTTTTGATTATTTTTATGACCTGACGAATAAGGTCGTGTTCGCACGCCACCTTCATTTAATTGCCTTCTTCGCATATTTACATTATTTTACTGCTTTGACTTCTAAAACGTTGTGCACCACCGTCCACCTACCGAACTTTGTCGCACGAAATAGTTAGCAGGTGTCCATGAGGAAGCTAGATTCGTTAGTCGGGTTTTATGGCATAATAGCCCGGGCATTCACACAGGTCAGGCTATATGAAGCCCGAAATCATGAAAACAGGAACAAAAACGCAATGCTGGCCCAATGTCCCAAGTAACCACCCACTTCCTTGAGATGGTCCTCTGATTGGACGGCGCGAATTCCAAAGATAACGAGTTAAGCCATCAAAGCGACGTGCGAAGGACTGCAAGAAGCCTTGACCTCCGATAGCAACTTCATACATGAGCACACTATTCCGTCGTCATTCATCAGCGCTGCTCCTTCTCTGATTGACTACACGCGAACACAACTCAGACAAGGCAAACCCGCACACACACGCGGGGCAGACAGAGAACCTCAACGGCGGACACTGATAAACTCCACGTCCGAAGAGACGGCTTGTGGAAGCTGCTTGCTGTGCCTCCTGTACGATCTTTCACAACAGTAAAGCTTGTCTAGTATAACCTGTCTTCCCTGACATGTGATTTGGGAAGCTTAGTTTTGTCGCCCATTGGGAACTCCAGCGTCAGCTTACCATTTCGACAATGTGACCCCAGTTTTTGCACACGCCTGGCACTCGGTAAGACAAAAAACGCGTCTGGCAGAGCATAAGAGACAGACGAATATGCCATCTAACCGTGCGTGCAGGGCCACCAGTTTATAAAGTTTTGGAATGAGAACTCAGTCCATAATTCCAAGCAACCGAGGAACAAAATGCACCATTGGAAGGAGCGATGCATTTTTCTATGTCACGTAAACTCTATTTAACTACTCGGTCTTTCTCTGCCGATGAACTAGACAGTAAATGTTTTCAACTTCGAAACTGATCTTCATGTGACTCACTGCTTGTTGCCATAAAAAACTTTCGTCTGCGACTAGGTAAATGGCTGTCGTTCTCATGAGCGTACAGCTATTATTAATTCAGATTGGCAATATTGAGGGATCCGGGTTGATGATATGAAGAAGATGGGCTCGCCGAAACGGGTTTATTTAAATGCTGATGTTTCAAAGAGCTTGGTCGGCTCTCCATTGCCAAAGCGTAAAATGCACTTAATCGACCAGAAATCCCAAGTGGAATGTCACATTGGTCGACCTCGTGCTGATCGATTTTTCTCTCGCGCTGTCTCGGCTTCTTGGGTTGACGGGCCTTTTGTCTGCGTGCTTTGTGATTCACCACTCCGTCGGAGTGGTCGGTCTGGCGGTTCTTGTTTTTCCTCATCGAGTAAACTCGCCGTCGGGCTGTCTGCGTAAGGCCTTCTTATGTCCGGTGTGGTTGTTTGGTCCTGAGCTCTACGATTGTGATGACGTAGGACTTTGTAAGTTGCAGGAAGGTCCAGATGCCTGTTTATGGAGTGGGCATCGGAGAAACACGCCTCGAGAGTTAGCCGTTCTGCTTTTCTGTTGCCCTGACCTAAGATGGTAGTCCTCGGGAGATCGAAAATATGCCCAGTTTCTCCAACGTGTGTTGCAATTTGAGAATTAGGGTCTAACATCCGAGTGGCCCTTTTGTGTTCATGTAGGCAAGTCGAAAATTCCCGCCCGGTTTCCCCACATAGTTCCAGTCGCCCTCATTGTCATTTATTTTGTAGATGACTGCTGAGGTTTGAGCGGGTGGTGATGGGTCTTTAGGTTGCATCAGACAGCGTCGAATTGTTGCCTGGGGTCGATGGAAGAGCAAGGGAACGGGGTAGATAATGAGTGAGAGATAGGGAGAGAGAGGGAGGGAGAGAGAGAATCAACGACCTAGGCGTGCAGGTTTTTGAACGCAAAGTCTGGAGACTGGAGCCCAATTCAGTAAATTCAAACTTCCTTGAGGGGGATGAGCGAAAATATAGTGACGCTCAGTACCAGCCATGGAATAGTTGCTTACAAGATCACGTACCGATGGTGTTCGCGGATGACTTCGTTCCAGAATGGAAAACAGACCATACGTTTCCGCGGAGGCCCAATCTGGGGTTCTCGTAGGCGATTCAGACAAGTGAGTAATAAGCTATTCAAGAAGTATATATCTGCGATTACGGCAGGGAAAGGAGGAATGATCGACTACGGATCCCCTCCCGTCTGTCCCCACAGGACTCCACTTTTCGCTCCATCGCCTTTGCAATATAAGAACTCTCCCTGTGGCCCTTAATTTCTAACAGCGCATTTCACACTTCTTATATTGGTTTCGCTCGACGGTAAATATATCTTAAGAGTTCCAAATTCGGGAGAAAATCCCAAATGTTTGGCAAATTCCTCGGTTCTTTCACACCTCGGAATAGTTGCCGCCAGAATAAGTCCAAGCCACGCGAAAGAAGCGTCCACCGGTCTATCCTGATTGCACGAAAGAATGCCTTGCCGGGTCGCGTCTGACCAGAGCTGTAAGCTGTTGGTGCAGGAATAAAATTCCATAATTCGGAAGTTTTTCCGAAAAGGGCAAAGGAGATCCGAAGGACGCATTCTGCATTTGTCATCCAGACCAGCAATGCATTTGACAGAGCCAGAAATTTGGAGGTTTTTCTCACTTTCTGCAGAATATTCTTGGTCACAGCTGCTGTGGCGAGTGTTTGACATGCAATAGTATTTGGCTTAATAACCAGGTAATCCGGGTCTTAACTCATGGGTTTCCCAGGCTTCTAACGGGAGAAAAGCTGGCTGAGGAAGGAAAACAAACTCAAATTATCGAAATAAATATTAAAAGGTATTTTGGCAGACATTGAATAATTTATTTCGACCCAACTTTGAAAGACTCGACAGCCTCCTTGGGATTCGGAATCACGATAGTAAGTGGGAGACTTGAGTACTGCCAACAGTGTATCCGCCTGAGCTACGAAACTCCACTGGGAGTCGGGAGTTTAATCACTCTTGTGTTCGAATCCCACTGAGTTCGCTTGCCTTTTCACAGTCGAGTTAAAAGAAATTATTCAAAATCTGTCAAAACACCCATCAACTACGTAATCCTGGTAATTATCTGATGGAATCTAGATGAATTACTTAGGAATTCCTGCTTGGACAGTCACCTAACTGTTCCCGATTTGGTGCATTCCATAGGATACGATAGGCTGGACGAGTAAATAAACTCGTATGTGATTAAACTCACAGCTCCCGTGGAGCCTCATAGCTCAATTGGCTGGAGCGTCGGCTGTACTCGAGCCTTTTCCTTGCTGTCGTGGGTTCGAATCCCACCGAGGTCATCGAATTTTTCACATATAGGTCAAAATAACTTATTCAAAATCTGCCAATGCATCCATTCGTCATTCGTTAAGGAGATATCGATCCCCGGTCTCCCTATGCACCCGGGGCAGGTCTTAATGCCACAACTTTTCCAGTTCCAATATCTTGGCCGCCGTGAAAGACGGAGCCAAGCACTCTCTCATATAGCGTGGACAACGGCAAGTTGCGCATGAATCCGATTATACGGCAGTAGACTCGCGCGGAGTTTACGTCAGTTTCTTCGCCCACACTTAGACGCTTTGTTGGGAAAACATGGTCATGACGATCGGAATTGAACGTGGACGCAGTGGCTAAAAGCCGTCTGTCCATGCGTGCCATACACCAACTTGTTCATACCCCACATATACCAGGCCACAATTGACAGACCCTAATATTACCTAGGTGACGGAAACCGTAAAGTCCCCATTGTTGTTAAGGTGCCACTGCAACCTGACCCTCAGTCTCGAGGAGGAAGGAGTCACCCCCTCATCTAACCGTCCTATATTCTATGATGGTTGGCATGTACCTATGATTTTTATGCACATTTGTGGTGTTTTGGTGAAGAATCGAACGCTGGATATGAGCTGGATTTACTTCTCTTTCTCTGCCACCTAGACGACTGATTTGTCTTATTCGAGCTAGCTTGGAAGGAGACTGGGAGTAGTGGTTGATGTGACACGAATTTGCCGTCTACATCATGCTAAACACGGACTTGACCTAGTAAACGTAAAGCCTGTCGTACAGAGCAATTGAAGACGTCACTCCAAAGGGGGGGAGGGCTGTGGCATCACGTCAGCTAGTGACTTCCCAAGCCATAACTGATAGCGCATCGTGATAAGTCCCATCACGTGATTATTTGCTATAGTGAGATATTCGCCGATTTACTGCAAGGGCGCATCCCCCAGCATCGACCTCACTCTCTCTTACCTCCCCTGTGCATCAGTGGGATTGGTTGCTGTGACGAATGCCCCCTTTCAGCTGCTCCACACGCATGTACGAAGCCAAGTCATCACGTAGATTCAGAGCAGACGTACTGCTTGAGCCAATGTAGCCCTAGTTTGTGTCCATTGCACCTACAGTGCACCCTGTTTGGAAGGACTACCCCGATCTAGGTTACGTAGGACGTGTAATCTCTTTCGGAGGCGCAAAGGACTGCAGACAGATGGAGACTTCGCCGGTTTGGCTGTCGGAGATTGGCTAACGTTTCGTTGATTGTTACCCTTGCATTCATTTCCATATTGACCGAAAGAGATTGAGGCAGATCGCATGACGAGCTTGTATTACCACGACAAAAACACGTCATGTAGACGTTGCCAATTTTCTAAATGTAGGTAAGCCAACTGTGACGGGTATAAGCGTACTACCCTGAACTATGGTCCAGGGTCTCCTGCAATACGGCGATGGTGGCAGTAGGGGGCCTTAATGCGTAGGATTTGATAGAAAAGGAAACGCGGAGTTCTTGAATATATAAAAAGGAAAAAACTAGTATCTGCGCGTATGCCTGCTTCGATTCAGGAGGTACACACATCCAAACCTTACCCTCAACGGGCATTGTCGAATGCTTGCTGGTATGCGATTAAGCGCGGGAAGGTCGATCACGGGGGATTGCAAACGCTTACGAGCGCTTTTGAAACCGACAGGCACAAAGAGTTGGTTAGCGAGTTAAGGTAAGTACGTGAATTGCTTGTTGGGTCTCTTTGAAATGAGTCATTTCCTGACGCAGATTCGACACATGTTCAGTAGTATCCACATCGGTAAGGCTTGGGCGTGGCTCGAAAAACTCTCGGTAAATGCTTGGGGTTGCGCCATAAACGAGATTGCTGACGAAGAACTGAAAATGACATTGATGAGCTGTATGGATATCGCGCATGCAAATGACAAATGCTCGTTCTGATGACTTGGGCTGTCATGAGCCCGGAGTAAAGCTTTTATTTTCGTAGTGGATGATATGATGTCGTGTGCACTTCAGAGCACCTGATGGGACCAATAAGGTTAGGGTAGTTTGGAATAAGAATGCCGGTTTTATTCGATTGTGATGTCTGGGCGGCACCATACTGGGATATCCAACGTTCCAGGAAGGCGGATACAAGTATCCTCGATGGGAGCTACGACTGGCCACTGCACAAAACAGCCAATCGCAGTGAGATGGTAGCTGAACCCTTGCGACCTGACAAGGGCATTATATGACTTATGCTGATGTGAAGAAAAAAGGCATCAGAGGGAAGAAAGACGCCAATGAAAACTGTATTGTGTCGTCCAACCCTGATCTTCTGCAGGCCAGGCATGAGTACGTGCAGTGGTAAACACTAGTGTTCACAGCAAATCATACGAAACGGTGCATTGAGT